AATTCACATTTTAACACAATTTTAAACTTATTTTGTCTCATTTTCCTGACCAGTATTTTTTAAAGAATATCGGCATAGTGTTTTTGTTTAAAGCAAAAACATTATTATAAATATTTTTATGTTACATAAAAAACCACAAAAATTGTCGTGGAATTTTATTTTTACCCCCATTATTTTTTAAACTCATCAACTATGTGTTTCACTGTGTAGTTCATGGCTTTAACTAAGTGTAGTTCATGGCTTTTATTTTCTTGTCAATTGTATATGCCTATGCGTTTGTGTGTGCTTAGGTGTTTAAATATCTGCGTGTATAATTATGTATATGTAGATATATATATGTGTTTATTGGGTATATATGTGTGTTTATTAGGTATGTCCGCTTGTATGTGTGGTTATGGGGATATGTTTACAAACCGTTTCACGGATGGCTGACCACGTTTAACAAGGCTGACTGAGACGTCATAGCTAGCAAGAAACATCGTCAGTCGCTCCATCAAATTTCCCGACCCATCTGCCCGACCCACGTTTTTTGTCATCAAATGTATGTAAATAGTTATTTTCTACTTTTTAGTCCACAAGAAAAACGTGGTTTTTTAAAAAGTTTTTTTTAAGTATTTTATTTTCTCCTTTTTAGTCCGTTGCTACACATGAAAAACGTGGTTTTTTAAAAAGTTTTTTATATAGTTTATTTTCTACTTTATCTAATGACTTGATTAAGTATGAATTGACTAAGTGTTTATAAATACACGGACTAAAAAAATCTTGAGCGACCAGGATTCGAACCTGGGTTGTCGCGGCCACAACGAGAAGTACTAACCACTATACGATCACGGCCAGCGCGCTCACATCGATTGGGGCCGAAGTAACTGTGTCAATAAGCCTCCAGTCTTGTCGGTATCTTTAGAAATCATGTCCTCAATTTTATGGTCCTTGGGGCGTAATTAAATTAAGCTAATTACGGTCTCTAATTGCTAGTTTTTATGATTGCATCTGAAATTGTTAGGCGAAAGTAACCTGCATGCCAAATTTCAGATCTATAGAGCAATCAGAAGTGGTCTAATTTTCGATGTCAATTTTAACAACAAACACACAAACGCGAAGCTGAGTTAATAAAAACGTGTTAAAAAGAAAAGTAGGCTGAAATCGGAGTCAATGGCCTCAATGGCGCATAACCTGTTGACACGTAACGCTTAATTGTGTTGGAGGCGTGGTCGAGTCGGCAAAAAAAAAAAAAAGAAGCTCATGGTTGATAAATTCGAATAGTCGAGTTCAAACCCACTGGCAGATAAATCTCGATCCCCTTCAACACTAATAATTAAGAACGAAGAAGAAGAAAGAATCATTGAATTTTTAGTACACACCTAAACATTTTCATATCTAAATGTATGTAAACATCACTCTATAGTCTGATCTTTAAACGCCGACATTTTCTCAATGACTAATTGATCATCATAAAACAACATGAGTAGCAGGGGAGGTAACCGCCAACAGAAGACAATCTTAATCCAAGATGAAACTCATTGGGCCGAGCTAACACCTTACCTTGTCTCCATAGCTATTACAACTTTTTTTTTTTAAATATACAAAAAATGACTTGGCTGTGAAAATATTTTGTGAGTAAATAAACTAATTTAAACGAAACGTTGGACGTTCCCCCATTTTTTTAAGCACGGGGTTTGTTTTTTTTTTAATGTTGGTAGTTTCTTTAACAGTGCTTTAGAGTACGTCACGAGCTCTATTTTCATTGGTTAGCTGCTCAACAGAAAAAAAAAAAAAGTTAGCTGCTCAACTTTACAAAAACTGACCGACAGTCACATTTTTGGTCTTTGAGCTTTCTAAACAGAACATTTAGGCAATAAAAAATGTTACAAATTTACATTGTTTTATTTATCTAGAAGTCCTGGAAGAATACAGATTATTATAACTTACCAGGTGAAACAAAACGTCGTAAGCGGAAGATAATTTGGGCGTACAAATTCGTTTGATGGAACAGCCGTTGTTGGGTGGGGGGGGGGAGCTTTCGTTCTTTACCGCCTTGGACTTTGGTTCCAGTAAGTAGCCATAGTGATGGTCACACAGTACTGAGACCGTATTGAGAGATGGTCTGACACCTCACGGCCCCCTTTTCCTTGATCATTTCGAAAGGTGGTCACATGACCCCCACCCGCCCTAACAGTGGCGTAGCCAGGATCGTCTCAAAGGGGGGGGGGGGGGTTCCAATTTTTACCCGGGGACAAACTTTCGATTTGCACCACCCCCCCCCCCCCCCTCAAACTCGATTTGCACCCCTCCCCTCATACTTTATATATATACCGAGGGGTCTATGGGGGAGGGGGTTATGACCCCCCCTGCCTACGCCACTGCGCCCTAACCACTTCTGGAAGACGCCTATGCCCGTGTACCCGACCCATTACGCCACTCATCAACCGGAATCCGGGTTGTTTTATCAGACTGAGCCCGGCTGCCCCAGACAACTGGCCAGATTTATTCGCCAGTCCTTGCCAACGTTATCAACGTGTGCAGCTTTTCCTCCCCTTGATTCGCTCGTTTGTTTTCAAACTTGTCAGTTGCCGGCCGCGTAAGGCGGAATTCTTTATTCAAGCTCCCTGGCTTAAAGTTTAGAAGCCACGTAAGCCCAACGCATCCATTTTCATCCTAACTGGCATATCGAGATTCCATTTACGTCATAAGTATAACCCGAGTCTAAAATTATATGCACCGGGGTTTAAAAAGAGCTTAAATCTATTTTTAGATGGTGGCCTAAATAGATTCTTTATTGACATTTCTCGTACATTGTTAAGTTAAATATGGTTCATGTGTTATTGTGTTCACATTTTTATACCACCTTAAGAAGGTTGAAGTAAGAAATATTTTAGGGGATGGGTTAGTATAGGCTTGTCGATCTGTAGGAGTGAGGGGTTTTAAAAAACTAATTGGTTATAGATAGAGCAAGGGGGGGGGGGGGGGGGGGCGGTACATTAGCCGTTCAAGTTGTTCTATAGAGCCTTTATAAGTTGTTCTATAGAGCCGTTCAAGTTGTTCTATAGAGCCGTACAAGTTGTTCTATAGATCCGTACAAGTTGTTCTATAGAGCCGTACAAGTTGTTCTATAGAGCCGTACAAGTTGTTCTATAGAGCAGTACAAGTTGTTCTATAGAGCCGTACAAGTTGTTCTATAGAGCCGTACAAGTTGTTCTATAGAGCCGTACAAGTTGTTCTATAGAGCCGTTCAAGTTGTTCTATAGAGCCGTTCAAGTTGTTCTATAGAGCCGTACAAGTTGTTCTATAGAGCCGTACACGTTGTTCTATAAAGCCGTACAAGTTGTTCTATAGAGCCGTACACGTTGTTCTATAGAGCCGTACACGGTACACGTTGTTCTATAGAGCCGTACAAGTTGTTCTATAAGGCCGTACTAGACATACTAAGTACCAATGTTTTTCTAACCTCCCCCCCCCCCCAATCTGCCATTACCCACCCCCTCAGGAGTAAAAAATGTCTGAAAGAACCCTTCAAATGCACCCCGCTATATTTTAACTGTGGCGTTGATAAAAAAAAGGGTGTAGATCTATAACATTTAGTTTTGCGACCAATGATTAGTAACCTGATCAAGACTTTTGAAACTTCTTGTCTCTGATAATTTAAGTCTTCTGTACTCTTGTCCAGCAAAAATAACTTAGCACATAAGCACGGAATCACGGGATCATAAAGATTTCATTTCGCGCCGTCTGCCGAATGACATGCTAAGTGGGTTACTTCCCTTATAGTTCATGCTTAATGTAAGTGGTCGTTCTATATTCTTTTAATAGTCTTTTTTATTTCTGTACTAGTGCACACAAATCTTCAAATCAATATTTTTAAAAATATGTTTTACGATAATTATGACATTATTTTAAATCCTGTACTTTGTTTTAAGGAGCGTTATGAAACACGTGTAAAAATGGTATAAGGGAAATCATGCTAGTAAATTGTATGAATTTAGAGTTGGGTCCCTTAATTAATTGTCTAAATTTCTTTAAATAAAGACATTTGAAAAATGCACTTATTTATTTTTTAGTCTCGCTAATAGTTTGTAGTTAGTAGCTATATCCCTATCACTGATCACCAATAGTTTGTAGCTAGTAGCTATATCTCTATCACTGATCCCCAATAGTTTGTAGCTAGTAGCTATATCTCTATCACTGATCCCCAATAGTTTGTAGCTAGTAGCTCTATCACTGATCACCAATAGTTTGTAGCTAGTAGCTATATCTCTATCACTGATGCCCAATAGTTTGTAGCTAGTAGCTATATCTCTATCACTGATCACCAATAGTTTGTAGAAGCCAACCAATTAGAACAATAACTGTGGACAATCTGTATCAAACCAGCAACAAGTGATAATTATTTTATAAAAACTTAATAAAAACCATGTCATTTTAGATTTTTTTAATTTTGTTATTGAAATAGAAATGATTGTTCACAACTCTTATTGCTATTACAACACCATGAGAAAAAGTTTGCTTTTTTTTTTAAATATTGGTGCACTGTCAAGGAATGTAAAATGTTATCACACAATTCATTAAATTATCCCCCTTGACGATCTACATTTTAAATAAATTCAACATGTCTACACAGAACATAAATGGATTTCAGCTGAATTAAACCAAATCAAAATAATAACATGATAATAATTAGCTTTTTGTGTTAAATGTAAATAGACAGTGATCATAAAGTATAATGAGGTTGAATGAATTATGATTTGCTTTCAAACTATGTCATTTTTTTTTACAATAAGTACTTTGTTAAAAAATATCTTAAAATACAACAAAACTTAATAACCTAACACTCAGCAGAGAGAGACCTGACTCATAAACTATATTAAAATTTAAAAAGAAAGAAAAATATTTGAGTTACGTCCCCTTTTATTCCCCAATGTAAACAAATGAAATCACCACCAACACTACAAGTTTAGTAAACCTGACACAATACTTTGGGGGGGGGGGGGGGGGGGGGGGGTTTACATAATCAGATAAAAGGAACAGCCATGTCAAGTTTTGATTATAGAAAGATCAAATTAAGTTAAAAAGTTTTGTAACAATATCAAATCATTTTGTCCTTTTAGAGTTTAGAATACTTTTGCCAAGTTTACATCATAGTGTTGGTGGATTAGTCAGATCATTGTTACTTAGCTACTTTAAACAAGTTAAATATGTTAGTGATTTTTTTAAAAAACATTGATATAATTTATACTGAAGTGCTTAAGCAACTACTAAACAGTTTTTAAAAAAGTGAAATTATACATATTGCAAATGTATACATACATAGAACTTTTTTTTAAAAAAAGAACTTAAAAATATAACAGTGTGAAGACTATTTACAAGAATCACATCATCAGTATAAGGAAACATTCATGATATGTGTGACATTAAACAACATTGTGGTCATAGGGATTGTGTGGTCAACAAAATGCCCAGCTGCGTTTGATCTTGTGAAATAGGTTTCTGGCACCCGTTGAGCCCATTCAACCATTCTGTCCCCAACACACTTCACAACAAGATTTACATGTTTTGGCCAGATTTGAAAAGAAAAAAAAACTGATGACATTCAACTACACCCACACCATCTACGCCCTAGACTATTTTTAGCACCAATAAAGATAAGAAATTGAGGTAAACCTAGAAATGTATTTTATAAATCTAAAGCTAATTAAAACTGATCAAACGACAAGAAAAAAAATGATTTGACCAGGTGCATAGATTAGACAGCCCCCATCTACCAGTAAGCATTCAACTTCTTGGCTGTTTCCTCCAGGAAATGAACATGACTGGCGTAGAGCTGCAGCTCATGATTAAGCTCCATCCACTTAACTCCGGCAGCATCGGAGCCTAGCATAGATTGAAACAAAATAATTATTGTCCTTGAAGAAATGTGAATTGTTTATTGTGAGTAGTGTTGTTAAAGTCAGACACCTTAGAGAAATAGAATTGTCCTTGAAGAAATGTGAATTGTTTATTGTGAGTAGTGTTGTTAAAGTCAGACACCTTAGAGAAATAGAATTGTCCTTGAAGAAATGTAAATTGTTTATTGTGAGTAGTGTTGTTAAAGTCAGACACCTTAGAGAAATAGAATTGTCCTTGAAGAAATGTGAATTGTTTATTGTGAGTAGTGTTGTTAAAGTCAGAAACCTTAGAGAAATAGAATTGTCCTTGAAGAAATGTGAATTGTTTATTGTGAGTAGTGTTGTTAAAGTCATACACCTTAGAGAAAAAGAATTGTCCTTGAAGAAATGTGAATTGTTTATTGTGAGTAGTGTTGTTAAAGTCAGACACCTTAGAGAAATAGAATTGTCCTTGAAGAAATGTGAATTGTTCATTGTGAGTAGTGTTGTTAAAGTCAGACACCTTAGAGAAACAGAATTGTCCTTGAAGAAATGTGAATTGTTCATTGTGAGTAGTGTTGTTAAAGTCAGACACCTTAGAGAAATTCATAACACACTCTCAAACTCAATTATAACTGTAATTTATTAATGGTTCAAATATAATGCAGTCTCAACATTCCTAAAGAACTAGAAAATTTGAAACTTACCACCATGCAGTTTCAACATTCCTACAGAACTAGAAAATTTGAAACTTACCAGCATGCAGTTTCAACATTCCTACAGGACTAGAAAATTTGAAACTTACCAGCATGCAGTTTCAACATTCCTACAGAACTAGAAAATTTGAAACTTACCAGCATGCAGTTTCAACATTCCTACAGAACTAGAAAATTTGAAACTTACCAGCATGCAGTTTCAACATTCCTACAGGACTAGAAAATTTGAAACTTACCAGCATGCAGTTTCAACATTCCTACAGAACTAGAAAATTTGAAACTTACCAGCATGCAGTTTCAACATTCCTACAGAACTACCATCATCATCATGGAAGTTCATGGCCACGGTTTCCATCCACGCATTGTCTGTGTTCCGAGGGTCGTCTACGTAGCCTTTATAAATCTACAACATTTGCATTAATAATAATTAATACAGCCTTACAGATCCTAAACAAACATATCATTACCATAGTTTTAAATCAAACTCATTCATCTTTCATTTCACTTAAACTCTCACCTTCTTGTGAGAGTTTAATTTAATTTTACTTATGTATTTTACTACATCAATGATTGAGACCACTTCAGTGTTAATACTAAAGACAACATTTTAAAACCTAAAAATCAACAGGTTAAAAAGAAAATAATTACCAAAGTGCCATTGTTGAAGACCGTGTCAATGGCCTTCAACATTCTATCCTTTTCTTTTGGTGAAACTTGCATAGAGTTGAGCGCTTCTTCTCCAAACTCCCTGCGCAGTGTGGCAGAGATGTTTTCTCCTGGGTCAACCATGCCCTATAACCAATGAATAGAAAACATGATTGATTAGTGCTCAAATTATTTTATTGAAAAATATATTAAATATTTTGTTTAAATTCATCCTTAAGCATTAACTAATTCCTTATATTGTAATGTAATACCTTTATAATAAACATAATTATGATTCTTAATTTATAAAAGTGAAAGAGTTCCTCTTACACCTGGGATAGCCCATTCCTTATTGTCAGTTCTCTGGACAGCAACAAATTCTAGAATGTATTTCCCATCTTTCTGTAATTTTTCTCCTTTTTCGTTTCTTTTCCACCTGCAAGCCCAAATTTTCATACTATAATCAAGTATAAGGCAAAATATTTTGAATACAAAGGATATAATGGTATATGGTATAATATGGTATAATCAATCACCAATAAACATTCATAGACAATTTATGATAAACACACTGTATATACATTTTTGTTTCCTTTGATGCAGTTATATGATTGTAATTGCAGTATTTTCTAATACTAACCTAGTGACAATAGGATCTGCTGCGTGATTAGGTCCCCACCTACCCAAACAGCCACGACCACTGATGCCAGTTCGTCCCACAGGGTTTCTGTGCTCAATTTAAAAAACATTTTTAAAACAAACCAGTTTTATAGCAGGGGTTTAAATGATGAAATCAACATTCTCTTTGCTTTTTTAAATAATAAATATGAAGGAAAAAAACTTCATAAAAAAACACAACTGGTTTTTTAACATACAGTAAATTGGTTAAAATAATGCCGAGGCTTTTGCATAAAATCTTAAGTATAAATATTTTTTTTAAATATCTGTAGGAGAAAAATTATTTTAATCATACTTAGGACGATCTGATCCATCCAAGTCATATGTCCCATGATAGCTGATTCTGTTCACGTCCCCATCTACTGTGTTAAACCTTTTCGGACTAAAATGAAAGGTTTTTTTCAAACACATTCATTAAAGTTGTCATACAAAACATACATCAAGATTATTTAATCATTACATCAATAAAATTACAAAATAAACCAGTAAGTAAAATATGTATTGTAAATTGTAATTATTAAATTCTTATGGCTTTCATTTTTTTTAGGAAGATAAGCAAAGTTGAAGAGACAAAATGTTGGATACATACCTCACTTTCCCTGTATCAGCCCATTCAGGAATTGGTTTCCCACTTTTACCAGAAACTGTGTCTGAGGTGTATTCATGTGGCTCGTATTGATCAAACTTCACACTCCAGCTGACCTGGTCATCTTTAACAGGTGTTCTGTCCTCTTTAGAACGAGGATACGGCTTTAAAGTGAAAAACATTGAGGTTTTTTTACTACATTTTGTTTTTGTTTAAGCTAAACAAAACAGTTATTTTAAAAATTATGGAGTGATAGCAAATGCACCCCTTGCTTAAACTGACAGCAAATGTATCTTATTCACTTCAACTAAACTATTACTTATTCACAAAATAAATGCAAATGACACAAGTATACCAAGACAATCAGAGAACCATAAGGTTCCCATTCACTTTAGTTGGTCCTGCACTGGTTGTTTAAAAATTACACACGGTTAGCACTAACCTTACTCCTTGCTTTTATGTGCGTTTTGGGCGCCTTGTTTTCCTGTAAAATTAAAATTTTATCATCTTTTTAAAAAGTAGTACATTTTGAAATAAGTGTATTATTATACAATAGTACTGACAATTAAAATTAGAGTGGTAAAGAATTATGAATTATAAGCTTTTACTTAAATCAAAATGTTTGTTGTCATTATTTTCTAACTCAAATTTGACAAATTTCTACTGAAGTGATTATTTTTTAGCCTTGCACATAGACAATGAATAATATCTACATTGCAATCCAATGAGATACAACATTAATTATTAAAACTTTTAAAAATTAATGGGTGGATTATTTATGTATGTAAAAGAAAAAGTACTGACCATCTCAAAGCTTTTAGTTAAATCCTTCTGTAACAGCTGAATACTGGTCCCAGAAGATACTGATGCTTTGGGATACTTAGCAAACGTATTGGTGGATCTTCCTATACTTTTGGCATTTATTATACTTATCACTGAATTGCGATATAACTGTAAGTTAGGCAGTGCCAGATACTTTATAAGAATGTCTTTAGATGGTCTATAACATATATTCCTAAAATAACAATTCCTAATTATGCAGCAAATAGGAATCATTAAGGAGCAGATGGTTAACACCTAAAGATGAAGAGAAGGAAAATATAGTCAGTGTCAGTATAGTTCAGTATACATAACAAGAACCTATTAAAAAGATTTTTATTAAATGAGGGGAAAAGTAAGAAATGGACAGTTGGTCTTCAGCTGTTGTGTTGAAATCTTCTCAATTACATCTCTAAATTTAAAAATTTTCTTCCAAAAACAATTTCAGACTTTTTGGCAAATTTTTAATTATCTTTCCCCATCATCATACATCATTATAACAAATCAGAGATCCCTCTTCACAAAATGATGTCACACTTTAGACTTATTATTAGATCTACATCCCCCCTCCTCCAGAGAAAGAAATCTTTGTTTAAATAAAGCCTTAAAATTAAAGCCATTATTTCTTAAATTATAAATACCAACTGTGCTGACAATTATGGGTGTGGGGAAATTGCGAGATGCGAAAAGCGAAATGGCGAGGCGGGAAAATGCGAGAAGGGCGCGAAAACGGTCGGTCACGTGACTTTTTGTCTCGCATTTTACCACAAGCCGATACTTACGCTGGGTGGTGTTGAAATGCGAAGATTTCTGCGAAAAATTTACCGCACCCGATTTTCAGTGGTATTTGGTCCAGACTTCAAAGACGTTTCGTTTACATTGTTAAAACTTCCGATTTTTCCGTCGCTAGACATACTGATGATTTGTCAACTCCCCCCATCTTTTGTGTCGACTTAGAATACCACCTTGTTCGAAACTGACGGAAATACCGCCGACGATAGATCAACTTCTGTCTTTTGTGTGGAACGCCGAGGCCGCCTGATTTACCGTCTTTGAAGATCGCCGTGCCCGGATCCGCTGCCGCCGCATACATATTTTCTATTGTTGCATAGAAATTTTGTATTATAGCCGCCGCCTACGATTTTTTTCTAGCTTTTTTTTACCATATAAATCTAAGCACAAGGAAATGCCTACATCATTTGGATACTACAAAATAAAGTGACGTCACCGATATTATCAGTTGCTCGTGCTATATGGTAAGCTATGGGCCTACATCAAATATTTTAAAAATTAAGTTGAACTTATCTGAATTTTTTGGTTTTGGTGGTGGTGTTATTTGGGGTCTTCCATAAATGACGTCACACTCGTAAAAGGGGGGGGGGTCTGTAATTTTATGACGATGTGTGATGAGGGGGAGGAGGGGGGGTAGATGTGAAGTCACACTATAAAAAGCAATGTTAGAAAAAGAATTTTAGACGTTTTTTCGCGTTTTAGAAAACTGTTTTAATAAAGTGTAATAGGAATTTATTAAAATACTCTATTTTGACCGAAATTAGACAAGATTTTGGGAAAATATCGATGTTTTAAAAAAAACTCAACTGCTGGTGACAACAATGAGCAAGACATTGCCAAAATTACAGAAATGATAAAAAATAAAAATTATAAAAAACGGAAAACAGATGTTGAGCGTGCGGATGATGATGATGAGAACATGGGTGCCAGTGTTGTTTGTGGGATGAACGAGGAGGTCAACTGTGATGAGAATATGAAATGTTGTGAATGTGGATTGGAAGAAGTAGCAAAAGAAAAATGTATAAATGGGAGTCTAATGAACTGGGTTGGGTGTACTATGTGTGAAATATGGTGTCACTAGGTGTGTTTGAGGACTGTTTCAGAAGATTTTGTTTGTAAATTTTGTTTGTAATTAAAATTACTTAAAAAAATAAATTGCACTTTTTAGAATTGTTTATACTTTTACACTTTTTGCAAGTACAAAAATCCATAAATAGATGTTGCAAAATATCTCTCCTGCTGACAAGATTATACCAATTCACAATGACACAGCTCACGTTTGTATAAACATGAGCGGGCTAGATTTTTAAATTAATGCCGACTGAGACGGGAATTTCCTCTCGCTAACAAGAGCGGGCGATGACAGTAGCACAGCAACGATGTTAGGATTTTTAAATAGATAGATCTAGATATAGATCTATCTAGATCCTCTCTATCTTCTTAGTATCTAGATAAAAAATAACATACAACACTCGTGTTAAAGGGTATGGCTAAATGCTTGTTTATTTTAAAACAAAAAAAATAATTTAAATAAATAAACATGGAAAAAAAAGGAAAAAACTTTTTTCGCAAAAAGTGTCTCGCTATTTACCCTTAATTCCGCAGGTATGTCTCGCATTACCTTCTCGCATTTTCCCGCCTCGCCATTTCGCTTTTCGCGTCTCGCAATTTCCCCACACCCGACAATTATTTATAATTGATCAATCAATATTTTTTCACAATTTACAAAACATTGGTATTAAGTTTTAATAATTAATTATTTAACTAAAGATTATTTTTAGTTTACTAATATTTTTGCCAGGTTTTCAAGTTCAAGTTGTTTTTATTTGTTAGTTATAGGCCCTAGTTTCCATGGAAATAGATAATAATAAATAAAAATAAAATATTTTTTGAACAGCTAACCCAGAAAAATAATATAGGCCTAAGTCTTAATCCGAATAATTGACCTAGAATCTATCTCCTAGGCTATTTCTAAATAGGTCATTTTAAAACAGAAACAGGTGATTTTCTCTGAAGTTGTTTAATTAAGCTAAACCATTTACACATAAAAATAAGTTAATAAACATCAATACAAATTTTTATTTACAGATACTACTTTACTATAGGGTGGAATCCTGAGAAATGTATTCGCAGAGGTTTGTTTTTACGATTCCAAGTATACGATACCAAATCATTTAATAATAGAAAAAAAATATTTATGTTTTGGTACTATTTTTGTCAGCTATAACGACATAATTTTTTTATCATTACATTCTAATAGTCAATGGTGTGAAATTTCGTTAAAAAATAAAAAATATCTTATCTGTAAAACGAATGTAGATCTACATGATAATTACAGAAAGTATCGAGTACAACTAGCGACTGTGCCAGGAAGTAGAAAGGTTTCAAAGTTATTATAGTATAGATCTAGAGAATCTATTGCCGTGTAGATCTATATATTTGTAACGTTAACAAATACTTACTGCCAAAAGTTTAGAGGGTTGTAATCGTCAATTTGTGTATATCGGGTATATTGGATAATATCCAATAATACATGTGGCTTACACCTCGAAGCCTAATAGGCTATTTACTATTTAAGCCAGTTTACTTTAAACCCCAAGAGAAGCTTATTTAAATTAAGGCATCTTAATTCTAGACTGCTAAGTGCTGTACAAACATACAAGGAAAACAAATCTTTCTGGAAACTTGCGAGTTTTACTTGTCAAAATGCCGGTTTTTAGCATTGCAACAAATCTTAAACGGGATCAGATCCCAGAAAACTTTGTTCGAGAGGCTTCAAAATTTATTGCTTCAGAACTTAAAAAGCCTGAATCTGTAAGCATGATCATATTTTTGAGAAATCTATTACTATTAGTTTTTTAAATAATCTATTGACACTGACAGCCATGCCAAGGGCGGTAATTTACTCACTACTGTCGACATTGTGTTTTGATCTGTTTTGTATAGGCCTACCATCGTTTTATTTAAATAGATTCTACTAGCGTACCCAAACTGTGCGTTGCCGCTATCTTAGAAGAAAGGCTGGTAATCTATCATTTTACTATTTAGTTTAGGTACGTTAAATCGGCAGAGACTAGTTTAAGTAATGTATGTGACTCATTAAATTTTAGCATGCTAATATTTCTCATTTTTAGGAGGATTTATGTTTTGAAAGTTACAAAAATGTTTTAAATTGCATTCATTTACCCGTTTTTAAACATTTGTATTAATAACTTCAGTAATAAATAAAGACTAGTGATGTTTTCATCAATATTCAGTTATCTATATTTGACACACAAATATATTACAATATACTATATACTTCTATTAAAGCCTTAAAAATAAGGCAACTTTTTTTGACATTACTAGCCTCCTACGATTTTACGCACTTAAAACGATAGATTACAGAAAAGCTAAAGCATCATTTTAGAGGATTTCACCAGTGTGTTACCAATCATGTAATTTAGACAATTGACATTTTTGTTATTTATGTAGGCCCAAACAATGCTAGCAATATAGTTCTTGGATCCTAGTTGTTGGGGCTAGGTTTGTCCACACTACCATCTAGACACCCCAGGGAGTGTTGTATGAAAGCCATAAGTGTGTGTTAATCACCCTGTGTAATAGAGAGGTAGAAAACAACTTATCGACCAACCAGGTGTTTAGGTCATCAAAAGAAGCTATCAGGATCCACTCATTACACTACTGCAGGGACGCCGAGTGTGACTCCTGATTCGGTTTTGTCATTGAATGTTGTAGCCCACAATGTCAGAAGTGTAGGGTGCTCTTCAAAATGAATGTAGGTGCCATAGTGTTTCAGTTTGACAGTTGAATCAAATAGTACACTTGACTCCCTGTGTAGTATGCCCAATTAACAGATTCCAGGTGCTAAAGTAGCAGCTGGTGAACTCACTGTGCAAAACAGCACCCTACTTCCCCAATTTTCATGCCAATTGAATAAAAAGTGTAGCAGTGCATAAAGGACACACAGACAGACATACTTTCATTTATTTATAGAGAGAGAGGCTAGCGTGCCCATCCTGCTAGTTGCTGCAGTCTCTAAGAAAGCCTGATGCAATATATTAAGAGGATTTCATAATTAGTGTGAACTACAACACCAAATCAATCTCAATTAATTTTTACCACAAAAGATGCTATTTCTTATATTTTCCAGTATGTATTGGTACAAATTTCACCTGATCAGTTAATGACATTTGGTGGCAGTGATGAACCGTGTGCTAACATTTCTTTGAGCAGTATTGGTGTGGTTTGTGCTGATAAAAATCGTAAGATGGCTTCAAAGTTATGCCAGTTTATTGAGCAGCATCTTGGAATTAAGCAGAATAGGTAGGAGTTGCTTTATAAGATTAAATATTTTTATTTTAAACACTTAACCTTCTATTAGCACTAAACAAATATTGGGAAAACACATTTTTTTACCTCTATTTTCATATTTAAGCCACACAAGTAGGTATTTATTTTGAAATGTCCACTCACATTTAACTGTTTGATTAAAAAAAGTGTTTTAATACAGTGCATGTTTACCTATTTTTATTTAGGTTCTACATCAATGTTCATGATATTGATGCAGCTTGGTGCATTTGGAATGGCACAACATTTGGCTAATAAGTGTCTGAATTGTTTTGAATCTCTTCTTATCATCATAAATTTAAACGTGTTGTGCTACTTTGTTGTCAATTTTGTTGTGTTAAAAGTTGATCCTCCTTTTTTAAGTTTTGTTTTTGTATGAGATTTTTTTTTGTTTGTTAACAAGCCTTCAAGTTTGTGTAGTATTATTATGCACATTTTTAAATTTTATGTTTATAAACATTTTGAAAACTTGTGACAATAAAATTTTGTTTAATGTGAGCATTTATTCATAAAATAAATTTTAAAACTAGCTTTTGCTTAGTTTTGTGTTTGTGATCCCTAATCTGTCATGTTCTACAAACTTAAATTTATATTAAGTGGTAAAACACAGGGTTCATGTGAATTTTTTTTTACTTGTAAAAAGCAAAGCAACATTATGAGAGAAGATGTAAGGTTAAGGTTAATTTTAGTGTCGCTTTGACAGATTTATTATTGTGAGCCTGCAAGACAACTGACATCTACTTTCCTCCAACGAGAAGCTGCCAAACTGTCGTGCATGGGTCTTTATACCCAAGAGAAATGTAAAATAATATAAATAATCCCTTAACCCTTGTTGGTGTGTCAAGGGCTGTTCCATGGTGGTGGCCACCTCTCTCCATGCCTGACCACAGCTGGATGTGTCCTTATAGGTGGCTTGCCTTGGTCACAAACACGTGGCCATCAAAGATAGTCTAGGAACTCTTGCCCCCTGGCAGGTGACCAGTGTGGCAGCGTTAGCATCTTTTGTTTGAATTTTGGGAGTTTTTTTCCCGTGATGGGTTGCTGTTGCCAGCTTTTGAGCCTTATCTGCCTGGGGTTCAAACTCTGGACATTTTGGTTCAGCAACAAAGATCTTTACCAACTCACAAGGGAAACAACAGGCATAAACTCACTGGAGTTCTTATCTATTTCTAACCTGGCTTTAAAATATAATGAGAAAATTCTGTTTTGGCATAGGGTAATTTTTAAAAAATATTTGTTTAACCACTTAACTTTTATAGACATAATGTAATTATTAATAACTTAAAAACCACTTAAGGTCGACAGGTGTTTTATTAATTTTCCAAAAAATTGACAACCTCTCAGATACACAGGGAATTACAAACTTATATCGAGAGAGTATCATATTTAATTACAACTAAATATTATAATCATACTATAATTTTAATATGAACAAGAACAGTCATAAAATACACTGAAATTATGATGAAGCTCAACTTGATGAAAGGAAAAAAGAATACACTATTAAAAACTCTGGAAATGGAGTTTATAAACTGATAATTAAACAAATGACTGCGCTTTTAGTTTTAGAATATTTTTTTTATATAATAATAGTTGTTAATTACTAATTGCTCCCCTTTCCGTGCTGAAAAAAATATCACAGGCAATTATTTTTATGTGTATTTCTTTTGGGTATTTATACTGCGAAATAAAATGAATGTGATTGACAATGTAAACGTGCATGTCAAAACATTAAAAATCACAGTATAATGAAAGAATTGAGAAGTTAACTGTAGCCACATAAAATTTGTAACCAAGATTTTCTCATGCAGATTAATTTGACAATTTAAATTTGTAGAATTCCATAACACTTTAAAGTTTTTTTGTAATCTATTAGTGCAAATACCCTTTATAAAAATTGAACACATCTTTAAAAAAAAGGATGACAATTTAAAAGATCACATGAAAAAATGGACTTAAAAACTACAACTATGTTGTTTATTTAGCAGTTAAAAAACAACAACCGATCAATGAATGATACACAACATCTATCCCAGTAATGGCCAGCCATTTAAAAGATGTTCAACTGGAGTAGGTACTGTGTACATTTTCAAGAGACCACTGCTATTATTCAACTCTTTCAACATTTCAATTAACTAAATACTTGGAATTATAATTTACAAACAAAATAGTTCATGTTTATTATTCAAATATTGTTTCAGTTTAAGAAATGAAGTTGAATACATTTAGTGTTGGAAATAAAAGAATCTTTTCTAAGTCTGGCCATTACCGATCCACAGCGTCACAAAAATTAATAAATATTTTATCCCCTTCATATTATCTAATCATTCATACATGCAGCCAACGTATAACTGAAAGCTTTACATAAGTGCTGATAATTTCACACAAAGAAAAACTAAAAAATTCTCTTGATTTTTGCAGAGTAGCACAAATCTGCAAGATTTAAAGCTAGATTAGAAATAAAATAATACTGTTACAAAGAATAAATCATACTTTAAACAAGTAATATTAAATACAGTATTCAGCATTAGAGTTGCCATTGTGAAATTTAAAACTCTAGACAGAATTGAAAAGCTGTTAGACTTACTGCACATCTTTATCTGTTATTTCATACACTGAAATTACATTTAAAAATACGCTATGCTTTAATAGACAGATAACACATCAGTATAGTTAAATAAATAGAGAAAATTTGCCACCATGCATACAACAATTTTTAAATATTACCAATCATTTGTAGCATAATCTACAATCATATATACTGTTAGTGTTCTTGATGGTACTGGTAAAATTCTATATACATTTTAAAACTTGGAAAAAAAGTGTAGCATAAAACTTAGTAGACATTAATATCAATCAGATCAAGTTAATTCCCTAATATAGGTGGGAGTATAGGTAGTACTGTTATTTAGGTAAATACATAAAAACAATGTGTTCGTATTCCCTAATAATTATGTGCAATTCTGTCTGTCTGTATATATATGTATATATATTAATTTATACATATATATACATATAAATATACACAGAGAGAGAAATAGACATTTTAATTCTATTCCACATTTGTATTGGAAATAACATATACCTTAGCTAGCCAATTTTTTTACAAAGCCATTATAGTGCTGTTATAATTAAAGCACTGCCTAAATAATTTAACAATTCAAACCATGATGTAAACCTCTGGATGAAATTTTCTTTTTAGTCCTAGTTTTTTTATGTCATGGAAAAAGTAAAACAAATTACAGCATATTACATCGTTGTTTGGTAGCTACATGTGGACCTCTACATTATACTACATTCTTCAAAACAGTTCAAAAACAAAGGTTTCAGGTTGTAACTTAAAGATAATTTACCATGCACTAGAAGTATTTGCTCACCCAAATACTGATTTGATCTAACCAAGCAACAATCTATCAATACATTTAGGATACAAAGTACTCATTAGCACAATCATGCCACCTGTGAGATATATCAACTCTACTAGTTATTCCACTTTAATATTAATCAAACTTTCCAATTATCAAGCTTTTTATGTTTTAAGTTTCTCTTCAGTATATAAAATAACAGGTAAACCAGTAATTATGTTCTATAACCATGTATGGATATTTTTAAAAACCTATGGCTGCTGAGTAAAAGTGTCAAAAGAATAAGTTCTATGTAGAGGTAACACATATAACAGTGATCTCTTCTTTAATGCTCTCATATTTTAAATAGATAAAAGTGTATATATATGTATCAAAAAGGTAGCTTAACACAGAAAAGATACAACATTTAAGCAAAGTTGTATAAAAAAACTAAGTCAAAAAACAAGAAAGCAGAAATTGTGTAGCCTTAAATAAGTACAGAAAAGAAATATACACTAGGCGTACAAAAAGTGTGAACATATGAAAAGATATACTGACTTAGATATCACTAAAAACAAGATGCCATTATTTTACATACACGACAAATTATTTACATCAATAAAATGCACTTTATAGTAACACTTAAAAGAATGAGAAACTTTTTGTATACAAACAAAACCACTCACAAAAAATATACTAAAATTTAAAATAAATCTCTTAAATGCAGAAATAAAATTTGATATAAGGCTCTATCCATAGAATTGTTTTGAAATATCAATCTCAAGTTGTAAAATTGATGTAAAACATTTGATTTCCCAAAATATGAACATTAAAAACCTATTACAGAGAAAATTGTTTGTATTCTAAAGCATGAATTATTATACTGCTCTATAACCACTAGTACAATTTACTACTTTAAACTTGATGGATATAATCAAACACAACATCATATTATTGTTGAATGTGGATTCCTAAGCTTGAGGTATCAGATGTTAGAAACTACTAAGCAGCTTATGATACAGAATCAACTGGGAGGTTCAGTAGAGTTCAAGTTTATCAAAAGCTCACAGACTGGACCAAGTCCTGTGCAATTATTTAGACAGAAATGTAGTAACTTTCAAAGAAAAGTTCATTTCTTATTAAATATAGGTAGAAAAGTATTTCTTTTTTAAAATCAAACATGTTGCAAGTAAAATAAAAACTTGTGTGACTAAAACTATATCAAACCTCCTAAATATGTGGTTTAAATCAGCTGGAGTTTATAAATATATAATTATCGGAGTAATAACATTGCTAATTATAACTAAAACAACCATCTTTCTTCATTGACACAGTCTGCAATAAGCAGCAGCTTTCTGCTTTAAGCTGAAGACTCCTTAAGATTGTCAAAATACTCCATCAGCTGCTCATATGTCATCCCCATTGCTTCGTAGTCCCATTCAGCTTCATTGTACCCCATACCACAGTCATTATCTGGAAGAGGGTTGGAAGTTATCCGAATGCTGCATTCTGACCCTTTGTAAGTGGACACCATGCTGCTACGGTTACTCTCAGAACCTGCTGTTACACTTCCAGTAACTCCGCTAGTAGATTTGCTATCGTTGAGTTCATTACTTACAGGTCTTCTAGCAGAATGGCGGTGTCTTTCAGTGGGTAAGGCGTTGGGCACAACCATTTGATTACCATTAAAATCTTCTTCTGCCATTAAAGCATGATTGCAGCCAGCATTTGCTGCACCGTGTCGTTCCAGTGTTGCACGCCCAATCCACACCCAATCAGGAGCTTGAGAAATGGATCCCGTCATGATTCGTGAATTTTTAGGTGAGCGCTTTCGCTGATATCTCACCATGAAAACAGCACAGTTGGCAGTGAAGACTAGAATGGCAAAAACAAAAACAGCCACCAAGACATACATGCCTATTTCTAGTGGAGATGGATGCTTTACTTTAGTACTGACAGGCTGCTCTAGGGCTTCTGACTTGGGCTCCTGGGTCACTTCGTCATCATCAACATCAGGCAGAGTGTGGGTGTCAAATTTATCAACAGGGGAGACCTTATGTTTAAAACATTACAATCTTTTGAAAATTCTTAACCATAAAATGATTTCATTAATAACAAAATTAATTTTTTTATAGCTAATTTTTAATTATGAAAAAGCATTTAAGTTTAAGAACTATAAAACCAAAAATGAATAACCTACAGTACCATAAAAATTTGATAGTTATTTAATGCAGACAATGAAAATATATATTACCTTGGGAGCAGGCTTTATAAATTTACTCTCTTGATGCTTTAAACTGAAGAATTCATCTTTGCTCATAATTTCTGAATGATGATCATTCACATTCACATCACTTTGAATCGCAGCATTGTAATTGTCCATATCTTTAGTAAATTCAACCTATCCAGATATTTGATAAACATGTAAAAATCTATTTATTAATGGCTACCATGAAATAATTTACTTTTTTTCCTCTGTTGTTTTTTAATGTGCTATTTGACGATAGCATAAAATAGAATTTAGCTTGAATATTAAGATTGTAATCATATATTGGTATACTTCCTAAAAAAAGAACATTGCTTTGTTTTTGATGAAGTTGTTTTTTTTATAAATCTGCTTACCTGAACATGGACATACTCAGCATCCAGTGTGCGAGGTTTCTTTTTCGTGCATGCTTTAGTTTCTCTCAAGATGACCTTGACTATTTCACCTTTGCCATTACCAACAGCTCTAATGCTAGGAGGAAAATTTGCTTCAGTAAAGTGTTGTTTTGTCACTTCAACTATATCAGTATTTACTGAGGTCACCACCAATTCATACTCCTCTGGGTCTACACTAGACAATGGCAGAGTTGTCCCATCTTTAAATTCTATATCAATGTCAAGCAAAGCTTCCTGTGGAGACAACAAGAACAAAATAAAAAATGCTTATTCAACTACTTTTTGATGTTTAAATACTAATATTTTTTACATTATTCTGTACTAACCTGTGATTTAGAATTCAGTTGATCTCTGAGATAAACAGTTGCTAACAAAGCACCAGGTATATTTTTATCCTCTGAAATGTGCAGCTTCATACCACTAACCACGCGCACCATCATGCGCTCTATAGCTATTTTATCTTCACCAACTTTGATCTCCCTAGTACCCAGTATTTTTCCAGAAGCGGAAGTAACCTAAAATAATCAACCAATAAATAAGTTTGAACTACCACATTGTATTACTTCATATAACAGCAAAAGCAATCACAAGTATGAAAGCTAAAAAATGATCTGCTAGGTTGGTTGTTAAAAAAAACAGCTGTACCTGAATCTCAGTAACACCTGGTGACAACCCTATAACAGAGTCTCTCACTATTGTGGCTATATTGGTGTTCTTCACTTTCAGCCTGTCCATTACAAACTTTGTAACCTTGAAGGCGGTCTTTTTATTTCTATAGTACAGGGTGGCTTCACCTGGTACATTGATTGTAAACTTGGCAAAGACATCAATTAAAGACTGCTGATACTTGTTGCGGCAGGTTGGAGACTCAGCTTGTTCACTTTCATTCCCCATTATGACTCTTGAGTGGGTCAAAAGACCAAGATCAACACTTCTTTTTGATCTGACAAATACATGTTTCATTAGACACAGCTAACCAACTACATTAGAAACATTGGTTTAAATTTATTCACACACAAAACTGTTACTATGGTAGCTTACATGTGTTTGGGCTTATTGACTTTCCACCCCCTCACTTGACTCAGCTTGATATCTGAGAGTTGGATATCCAGCCGTGGGTCTGGAACCCAAACTCTGACGCCCACAAGTGCGATTTGGTCAGCTGTTCTCACCATGATAGTTACATTTTTGGCTCCACGAGTTTCTGTGCCATCCAAGAAAATATTTTCACACGAGCTGGACACCTAATAATAGAATTCAATGCATTGTGAAGGAAATGAATAACATTAACAAAGCAGGTGACTGAAACAGATTGAAATGGTTAGTTATGGTCCATTTCTCTCCCTGTAAATAAATACTCTATTTTAACTTTAATTCAAGCTAAAAAAAATATTTACTTGAAGAGCTTCATAATCTGATGAGCGACATGTGCAATCTGTTGTTATCTCCTTGAAGGTGTTATTGTAGGACACAGAATACACTAGCATATCATGAGTCAAAGCAGTTCCAGTTAGAATAGCTGTATTCAGAATATTGCGCTCCTGTTATAAGAAAAATATATATAAATCATTGATGCATATATGTATATTTTAAAAACTTGAAATATTCTAAGAAGGTGTCTATGTAAAAAATACCTTAAAATAAATGATAAAAACCAACCTTCAAAACAGTAACTATGTGATCTGTTTTTCCATTAACAATAGTAAATTTTGCAACTATACGGCTTCCTTCAGGGTTAAAAAAAGCATTCCTGGACAAACCATTCTTCTCGTAATCAACATTCCACACAATTCTGGCAGCTGATGTAGAACTAGTACTTGAGAGGACTCGAAACTGCCATCGCATAATTTCGTCGACTCTGAGGTTTGATGATAAAAGTTTTTTTAATTAACTAAAAAGTAATAATAGAAGAATGTGCTATGCAAGAAAAATCTTTTTAATTCTTTTTCTGTATGTTTAACAACTGTAGTTGCAATACCTATTCTTAACTAATTGTAAAAAGATATAATTATTCTTCACTATACTTACTTAGTTGTTTTTGTATTTTTAACATCTTGCTTCTGAAAAATTGTAACAGTTGAAGTCCCATCTTTTCCTTCTGACTCAAACTTTAAACTCCAAGGGCCATCTTTAGCTGTATAGGCTCCTTCAACAGCAATATTTCCTCTGATTTTTACTCTATAAAAATGTTGTAATGATCAGTTGGCTACTTACAGGCAGTTCATACACTCAATTTAATTTTTAATGTGTAAAACTCATCAAACGGACGTTGTTGGCAATGGTCGAGCTTCCATCTGCTAACCCGAAAGTCTCAAATTACAGATCCAATGCTAGAATCTGAAAGATGTCCCTGAGTCTACCCAGCTTTGATTTACGTTAGAGAAACAGAGGCGACTGGGCATAGTGTTGACCACACTATCCCCCTGTATGCCAAAGTCATTGAAACAGATATAACTCTACTTCAGTCTGCTACAGGTGTCTTGGGAACAAAAAGATGATGAAAACATATCAAAGTAAATTTTACTATATAACAAATGCTATAAAATTATAGAAGTGATAAATAAATATATATATATATATATATATATATATATATATATATATATATATATATATATATATATATATATATATATATATATATATATATATATATATATATATATAATATATATATATATAGTATTTACTTACTGCACAACAAACTCTTTTAAAGCTGAATTTTTCTCCAAAAGGACAGGTACTTCAAATTTGGAATTTGGCAAAAGGTCAGTCTTGGGGATCCTAAAGATTAGGTCTTTATCTCTATGCTCCTCATAGCTGTAGTTCTCCTGCTTGAGCTTGAAGGTGGAGATGAGTTTTTTCTCTTTGTTGATGGACTGAGCTTCAACACGAGCTGGTACAATAGTGTTGGACACACTAGCGCATTCTTGACTTTGCTCCACTCTAGATAAATCATAGAAGACTTGAACATCCTGGTCAAAAACAGATGTGTTGGATGTATCCCACCAATGCTCTGGGATGGTCAAGCTTGCAACACACGCATTACTGTCCCCGTTTAGTACACACACTGAAGTATACTGTTCATTCCCTCTGGTCAAAAAGATTTGAGCACACCAACGTTGACTGTAAACATAATAAACATTATTGAATTCCTGTTTCTGTTTTCTGGCTATTGATACATGGACTAAAACCTGCACAAGCGGATTGGAATATGACACCTTCCGAGAAACAAGATGTGCACTAACATCCATATTGTGAATTATATGTCTATGCATATCAGTTTCAATGTCACTTGTCTCATCAAATTTTAAAATGTTTGCAAGAACTTTATTTGGCACAACCTGCATTGAATGAAACAGAATTATTATAAGTCAGTGAAGAGATCAAATATAAATAGCACACTTTAAAAATATTACATATTATACAGTACCCACCTCATACATTTCAAACGGGCCATGGCTTGCTCGAAGTTTATACACCTCAGCTGGATGAGTTAGGATCAAGGATTCTTTCACCACATTAGGCTCTGAAATTCTCAGTTTGTGGTATGGTGATTTTAGAAAGAATCCATCTTTACTATCATCAAGATCTAAGTTTATACACTGCAAGCATCCTAAAAAAAGAAAGGAAAAAATAATTTAATCGTAATAATAAAAAAAATTTCAAACATAGATACAAATTAAATTATTAATTAAAGTTACGTGTTAGAAATATCAATATGAAAATTAATTACTATAGGTCTATAATTAATGTAATTTAGGCCCTATGTCCATTTATATATTACAAATATTTAGTTATGTTGGGTCTACCTAATATATATACTTAGCCTTTTTAACTACATTTTTAATTAAATTGCTTTCTAACTTAACCTATAACATTGTAAAATATAGGGCCTATCAATTATAAGAAAAAAAAAACAATTTAAGCCCAAATAAAAATTATGTTTTAAAAACTCTAAATTCTATTCATAGCCTACAAAAATCAAGAAAACCAGAATGAACTTTATCTTCTATATTCTTGCATCTAGATTAAAATGAATGAGATTCTGCTAGGTCAGCAAATTCATACATTTATCCAGTGAGGACCCTCACCCCTTTTCAGTCAAAACTCAACTGCAACAACCTACCAAGCCATAGTTAGACTAGGGCTCAAAGGTAATTTCCGGTCTGGTGCCAAATGACATACAGATATAATAAAAAATACACTGAATTTGTAAAAAAGTAGCACACAGTAAGATAATTCAAAGTAATAATATAAACAATCTAATTTAAATAAATAGGTCAGGCCACATACCACACACAAATAATGTGTCGTGCCTTAGCAAAATAAACAACAGTGAGAAAAAAAGGCTTTACTGCTCATTTTAGCCAATTTTACACGTTGCATATTGTCAGGCAAATTAATAGCAGGGGATCGGAAGAAATGGAAGGAAATGGTGGAGGCATAATGTTCAATAAAGAGCAAAGAGGACTAAGTCAATTAAGTCAATAATGTCAGGCACCAACCAAAATGCTGCGAAAGTGCGCATTAGATTGGTTGGCAGCTGACACTACTTGTGACTACTACACTTAGACTACACTAGTCTCCTTCCATGAGCACTATGGGCCTAATATATAAATATAATGACATCTATTTTCAATAGGTGCCTACTTACTTTTCATGAGGATCTAATCTAGAAAATATTCTAGCTAGATCTATGGGGGGAAGGGGGCTAAGACCAAACTAACGGTAACAGTGTCTGGCACTGTCTGGGTGTTAGATCTAGAAATCTAGTAACAATACCATGACCACAGCATTAAGTTGAATAAGTGCAGCAGGCATTAGATTAGCCTAGGCAGGGCTTTAGTAGGCAGGCTATAGGCCTAATCTAATGTTATTAATATTTAGATCTAGACAACTGCTAGTCTTGGACCTCAGAAGTTCAGTGAATGTAGATCTAGATCTAGATTTCTAGATCTTATCTACACAGTAGATCTCTAGATCTAGACAGACAATCAAACTACAGAAAAAAACCTGTTCTTTTTTTTTTAGTTCTTACCAAAAGAAACAAAAACAACCAAGCAAGAGAGCAGAGTATAGCCTGGTTTCTCAGCCATGGTTAATTAATATATCTTTGAATCTTCGTTATATCAAATGCAATCAATACAGCGTCTATCAGAATGTACGTGCATGACCCAATTCGCTGACCAGCGAAAGGTGCTCGCTTCCTTCGATAGGCACTGTTCCTAGTGTTATTCTACCAATAATCCGCCATCTTTGGGCCGTATTACAGATCGCAAGAAACGGAAAATTATCTCCGAATCTGCATATAGTTCGAAGCTAATATCAAAATATAAAAACAAATATTGTAAAAATCTACTTTTTTCGTTTTAATAAAATATAACATGTTACTATTGTATATATTATTTTAAATTTATTAACGAGCTATTTCGAATTTATAAATGTATTTATAAATGTTTATTACTTTGTATTCATTCCCCTTTTCCATTTTCTTTTGATCTTGTTAGGATCTACTTTTAAATAACATGATTGTCAGTCTATAAAGCGCTAGGCTACTACTTGAAAGCTAGTACTACCAAAGTGCTACTTGTTTTTTTTTAATCGTTTTTAAATCTAGCAACAGTTGGCAAATAAACGTGTGATGTGGAGGGAAGGGGAGTAAATCTATAACAAATTATGTCCACATTAGTGGCTCCCGACAAATGAGCTGAGGGTTCCTACATATTATTGACACGACAGAATGATTTCATAGATATGGTTCCAGACAAACAGGTCAACACTTTATGACCAATTTTAGTGAGATGTAGCTTAACCAATTTACCCAACCCACCAACCACACATATTTTCCCTCCACTACCACAATAATCTTTTTTTTTTCAAAATGCCTCTTATAAATAACTATTATAGCGTGCCCGTCCCCGCACAATGCTGCGGTCTCAGAAGAAAGGCTGATGAAATATTTCAAGAGGATTTCATCAATGCGTTACCAATCCTGTATTTTTAAACGCGTGACCTTGTTTTCTACAACCGAGTTATTTCAATGTAAGCAAAGCAGCCGCTATATTTCTTGGATCATAGTTGTTGAGGGGCGGGTTTGTCCAGATTACTGCCCATGACGCCCCAGGGCGGCCGCGTGAAAGCCTAGAGTGTACGTTAATCGATTGTAGGAAAAATGGTCACAGGAAAAAAAAAACAGGAAAAAAGTCACAGGAAAAAAGTCACAAATATATATTTACATGGAATTTGTTAATACTTTTATGTATTAAATATTCAGAGAGTGCAAATTAACTTAGGATTAATTTAATGTAATGTAATGTGTGTAGGTTGTATAAGCATAGTAATTTTTATAATTCATCTAAAAATATTTAGTATGAAGTGTGTGATTGTAATTATGTTAAACATAATATCAATAGTATTCAATAGAATGCTCCAAAGTCCGCGGTTTTCATCGTGTTTTTTTTTAAATATCAACATCTGACTTACTGCCCTCAACTCATCGCAACCACCTTTACTGCCCACATTTATCACGCTCATTACATAACAAAGCATGGGATCAAAACAGAAAGCCGACAAGGTTCAAAGGCTGTCATTGACACAAAAAATCAACAACACACAACATGTTCGGACAATGCCTGCTGAGGAGAGGCCGACAACAGAGTAGCCTACGGCAAAACATATGCAAAACACAATAATGTGCCTAATTTCTTTTATAATTAACGTCTCTACCGCGTATTTGACTAAATACGTAACAACATTTGAGATTGTTGTGTAAATTATGTTAGAGTATTATTACTTACAATTATTATAAACCACAATGCTTTTAACGTCTATAAATAATTCATGCTATCAAAAAATACAACCCACAACAATAAACATACAAAATTTTACAATTCTTAATTAATAAATCAAAATATTTTTAAAAAGATTTTTGTGACTTTTTTCTGTGACTTTTTTCCGATAACATTTTTCCATTGTGACTTTTTTTCTGTGACTTTTTTCCTAGCAAAAACTGTGACTTTTTTTCTGTTTTTTTTTCCTGTGACTTTTTTTCCGCTCACCCGTTAATCACCCTCCATAGTGAGATGAACACACTTCAGCGACCACCCAAACATTTTAATCTAAAATAATTAGAATGTTTTTTTTATTATTATTTAAGACCACTTTTTAAAGGATCGAGCACATACATTTTAATATTGCCTATACACTCAGTATGTATGTAGCCTATATAGAAAAATGTCGTATAAATAACTTATGAATGTACTCCACCACCGTCCCCTTTCCATACTTCGTCCACACGCGTCAAATAAAAGCGTTTGTATTGACGTCATAACTTGTTGACTTTTAAACAAGCTTTTTCTTAAAAAGAAGAAACAAAAATGTAAAGATAAGTGCCTTATCCTTATAAGTGCCTTATCCTTATCCCCAAGTGTTTCTTCCAGACTTTTAACTCCCCCCCCCCCCCCCCCCGAAGAGATGCCTGGAAGAAACTCTGCTTATGCCCAAACAAAAACTATCATACTTCATTATTTATTGAGGTGCATCGATGAAGGAGTGCCACTGGTAGGGGTACCGGGTAATATTGAATGAGGTAGTTTCGCTAGGAGACTTGTTGTAGGGAGCCGTATTGACGGGGGCTCAATTGTCGGTCTTTTATCGATAGCCTTATCGACGGGAATGGGACGGCGTTTTTGTATGGTAGAGCATTCGGTTGCTAGCCCGAAGGTCTCGAGTTCGGATCTCGGGACCCAGCTGTGATGGGTAGCCTACCTGACTCACGATGGATAAAGTAAAAGTGATACCATCCCTAAAAATGCCGAGGTCAACAACATATGAACTCTACTTCATTAGCCATAAAGATCGTTATGGCGCATAAATTCTTTTCAAAGAGCTCCACTGCACTAGGTATACAGAACCCTCCCAAAATGAAACAAAAAATGTTGTGTCAGTTTGATGTTTAGGACTAGATTTTGGACAGTTCGTGCAGATTGAAAAGTATGTGGCCAGTTATCAAAACGCACTCGTTTTAATAAATAACATTGAAACGACAATTTGAACTGTTTTCCATGTTGAAAATGAATAATAAGTTTCAATTGTAAAATTGACACCGTGAACATTGTATGTTATCACAGAGAGTGTCTTTCAATTATCTTTCTCGCAGCAACGGACGAGTGGTCAGTAAGTCTTGAAATAAATGACTGTAGAGCTGACGCTGGAAAATTGCTACAATTGTCTGTCGTAGTCTATATGATGCAAATGTAAGATAATTATTGTAAACTATTCATTGTTGTTTAATACATTTGTGGTGTAACAAAATGTACCGTACGAGCTGACCCGCGGCATATCATATGCCGCTATTTAGTTGTTTTATTTTCTACTTTTCAGTAATTCATAATTTGTGAATTCAACAGTACCAATGCTGCCACTGAAAATATTTGCTTTAAAACACTATCAGTAGGTCGTTAAGAACGATACTACCCCCACCCTCCTTTCCCCAACCCCTACCCAATACCCCCCCCCCCCTCTCCCCGTGAAAGCAGCCTCCTCTTAGTTACCTCACCTAAGTTTAAAATAGTTTCAAACTAAATTATCTGCCCCTAATAGCCGTCACTAAACCCGCTCTATGATTGTAAACATTTAGCATGAACCACAGCTCACCAGACCATGTAGGGGTAGGGTGGTAGGGAGCGCGCTTAAGAAGAGAATTATATATAGGCTATAGAAGATTCGAATAACTCTTCCGCAACTAGATCTAGATGTTCAGGTTATTATTGACATTTCTCGTCATTTAGTTTTAAGCATTTCAAGTAAAGGGAAAGTACTCATGAAATTTATTGATCGTATATGTCACTTCCTACAAACCTAGGCTAGTCATTTTCATAACAACGAAGTTGAAACAATTGATTCTAATTTTAGCTTTCGGATTGTATTTGTATTATCAGGTTGAGATAGATCCAGATCAACATGCAGCAACAATGGATGGATATGAACTTTGTCTAATGCTGTTGTAAAATAAATGTACGCCTAAATAATGAAAGATAAATTTAGGCTAAATCTTTTAGTAAAAAATAAATTTAAATTTAAATTTTACTTCTCTGAATTCTGAATGATAATCTTTAAAAATAATTTAAAATTTAATCAAATTCTTATTCTACTTTCAGTACTAGATCTAGATGATGATATAGATCTAGATCTAGTAGTTAACTAGAATTAGAATCTATCTAGATTCTAGATGTAGAAGTAGATCTATCACTTATTCACTAGTATAGAAGAGGGTATCTCACGATATAGCGTAGGGTAGGAAATTATCCGGTAATGTTTGTTTGGTTTAGTTAACATTCGCTACTGTAAACCCTGGTTTAATTGAAATAAAACTTAAGTCAAGTGCATTAAATTAATGTTTTAACTGATGTTTTAAAACTTAAAGTTTGATTGACAGAAAATTACTAAATTAGTAACAATTAGTTATAGGTTATACTTATATATTATATATTATATAGATCTATAAGTAGATCTAAATATTATTAATAAAGTTGTGTGTAATAATTAATGTTTTTTCTTAAGAAGACGATTAGACTTACTAAATTTTAAAAAAGTAAGAAGAACCAGAACAATGTTTAGTAGCAGCAATAATTAGCTCATATAGAGAGCCTACTTAAAATAATTAGGAATACAAAATAATTAGTAAAACCGTATTTAAAATGCAACTTAACAATCTATGCATATTTTTAAACATTGTGTATTAAAAATAATATGGCACCAAATAAATGATGGTTTACAGTATTTCCTGTGGTTTCCAGAACTGACTGACTTCGCCATGGTTTTACTGTTTTTTACTGCTGTTTTAGTCCGGAATAATAACCGACACTATATCGTGATATTACCCAGAAGAGATCTTTGACTCCATAACTCACTAAAAGCCTAAGCTGAACTCTTCATCTACTGTGTACTTACTTACTCTACCGACTACTTGTCTACCCTACCTAACACTACTAGATCTAATCACTTTGTAACAAACTTATTTATTTAATCTGACATGCTAGTTATTGCCAACAGAAACTTCATTTTGTTTTTACCACAATGTTTTTTGTATTTAACTATTCATAATAATTTATAGTATTTAGGCCTATTGTACTTCAATCGTCCTAATTTTTAAACCTGTTATTTTTTAGTGGGCTATGCAATATTTTAAAATAATAAGCCCAACTAAATAAATAACCTGGGGGGGGGGGGGGGGTGGGGGGGGGGGAGAGAAAGAGAGTTAAGTAACCACATTTGACTTTATAAACTACCTTACTAACATTAATTATTAATTTCATGAGTGGCACGCCTGGTTTGTAAATAACCTTTTATTTAAAAAGTGTTAGGCTACAGTAATATGTTTTAAAATAATGTTTTGGGATGGATACATACAAATATTGATTTAATTTGGATTGTATAACTAAGATAAGATAAACCTACAATTGCTTTGGTTTAATAAAATAATTAACTGAATAGCATTAACATACTTCTAATTTTTTTTCAGATTTTGTGGAGAAAAATCTTGAATGGAGATTGCCATGTAATCTATATGATGTGGTTGTTCCTCTGCTCTCCATAAGCATGTCTGGAAGTCATAAATCACCTTCCACAGACAACAGCCTGGGGGCTGGTCTGGACCATGAAGAGAGCAAGACAGAAGAAGACGACATCTTTGCACAGCTGGCCCAGAAAGAAAGAGACCTAATTTTGGCTGCAGAATTAGGAAAAGCCTTGTTAGATTCCAATCAGGAGCTGCAGTCTCGCTATGACCACGTTGTTGATGATTTCACACACAAGATGGAGGTAACACATTCATTTATTTTAGATAAATTTGAATTAAATATTAAACTAAGTAGACATTTCAACTAAATTTAAAAAGGAAAGAGCATAATTGAATTGAATTTAAAAATGTATTTAGATAAAATCCTGGAAAAGTTTGTTACTTTGTAGGTTGGAATATTCAAAACTTGTCTCTGCTTATTTTTCACTTTGAATATATTAAAAATAGAAAGTTTAACACTAACACTGATTCAAAATTGAATATTATGTTTTTTATTTTAAATCAAAACAGGATTTACAACAAGAGAAATACAACCTTCACCTTGAACTTGAAAAAATGGAGGCAGAATATCAAAATGCTATCAAAGACTTGCAAGATGATATCATATCTCTCCGTAAACAGCTTCAAACAAATGACGATCTACAGATCTCTGAGCGGGAGAGGTCTAGGTCCTTACGTGAAGCACAGCGTAACTCAGACTTTCTAGCAGAACAAGTGAAAAAAGTGTGTATTGATTTAATAAATTGTAGTTTTTATGGTTAAATGTGTTGCTTTTTTTATTCAATGTATTTCATTAAAAAAAATTCCAGAAGAAAATCTTAAGTGTTATCTATAAAAAAAACAATCGTTGACCAGTATTTTACACATTTTTGTTAGTTTTTGGAGCATAAATTTGCTTCTATTATACAATTATAAAATTTAAATGTATTGTAGGCAGCTGTGAGAGAAGAGGAACTCTTGAGGGAACTGAATGAACAGAAGGAGAAGAATGAGTCGAGTTCAGCCACCATCAAGGATCAGATGGACCATATAGCTATGTTAAGAGACCAGGTAAAAACACAATTTTACAGTACTTTCTTTACTTTATAGTTGGTTTTTTTTTACCAGTCAGTGATCATATGGAAATCTGCACATGCTCTATGTTTTTGATATTATGTCTATAGGTAGAATATTTGAGTGAAAAATTGAAGGAGACAAATCAAAAGCTAATAGAAGTTCAGGGGGAGAGAGACACACTGCTGAACTCTATAGAGGCCACACAGGAGCAGATCCAGTCCTTGGAGAGCAAGATTTTACTGCAGGAGGAAAAGGTGAAACTCATCAATAAAGTTTTTATTTGATTTTGTCTAGGAGAGGTTCTTTTTTAAAAACATTTAAATCATTCCTGGTTTTGTTTTAAATATTAGTTAAGTAAAAGTAAAGTAACCTTACAGTCCATGGGGCAGGTGGAGCAGAGTTAACCAGGTTTAGTGACCTCAGCATATGAATGGAAAGTGTGGTTAGCACTATACCCTGGCATCTTGGATTTGAACTCAAGACTTTTGAATCAGTAGTCAATTGATCTACCATTTAACCTCACCATCGCATATTGTTTTAACTATAATGATTAAATTATGGTACTTGTGCACTCTTTTTATTGTTAATATAAAAAGAGCCTGAATTGGAGTTTTAAATTGTCGAACCTTTCAGCTTCACCGGCAAGCCAACGACATGGTAGAGCTGCAGGAGTCCAATTCTGATCTACAGCTTCAGCTTGAGCACCAGCAACAGCAGCCACTCTACCGCCACTACAGCAGCAGGGCAGGCAGTAAAGGGAACTTCAATGGAAACAACCTGAAAAATACCAGACCACAGACTCTGTTTTTTGAACTGACTCAGGAGAAACATAAACAATTCCAGCTACAACAGTCTGTTGAGGGAAGTAACAAGCATTCCAGGGCAGTTCCAGACGCTATGCCATCAGGTGAACACACGTCTGAGAGGTCGTTGTTTGATGAACTCAACAGCTCACAAGCCAAAGGTCGTGAGCTCAGTGCCACATCACTGCTGGCGGAGTTTTCGACTCACCATGGCCACTGTAGAAACGCCAGTGACTGCAGTTTGTCATCACTCACCGAGGGCTCTCGCAAGCGCCACCACAACAATATTGGTGGGAGCAGCGATGACGACTCAGATGGAGGGGCAGACAAATGCAACAGGAACAGCAACTGCAAGCAGACAGTGTACTCCAACCCTGATGCCCCCTACCATCACAGCTTCACTCTGGGGAATGTCAACACAGCATCCACGGATAAAAATGGAAACAGAGTCCTGTTGATTGAGTCCTCCAACTTGGGGACATCAAAGAGTGGCATTAAAACTATATCTAAGTCTCCAGAACTTTTCCTCGAATCACAAACAGCATTTGACCCACAAGATACTCTGTCTGACTCTTCCTCCTACTCCAAAAATGTGACTGATGACTCTCCGCAGTCTTTGTTTGCTGAACTTGACTCCTACAGTGGCACCAACAGCCCAGTCTTATTCTCCGAGCTCAACGCTCAAGAATATGAGCTCCACTCCAGAAGTTTCCAGGAGCCCCAGGAGCAGTCTCTGTTTACTGAGCTCTCTTCCAGGTTGTTTGATGATAAAAATGGGTCGGGGTCCGACTCGTCTTCAAACTGCATGCTCGGCGTCTTCGACTTTCACTCAGGTGGGGATTCTCACTCTCAAGAAGGGGATCGTCAGAGCAATGAATCTTTGAATCACTCAATGGAAATGAGATCACGCTTGGAATCTGATTTGGTAATTATTTTAAATTTATTTTTTCATCTTCAATTTTTTTATTGTTTAAATCTCTTATTTATTTGATTTTAAGTTAAAAGTTTTAAACAATGGAAATATAACTGGTGGTACATCAATATTAAGTCGTGTTGAACTGTAGCTAAACGGTATCAATTAGTAAACAAAGAATAACTAGTATCCTCAGTGTAAGGATATTTTGAGTATCAGCACACAAAACTGGTGCTGACAGAATTTTGTCCGTCTAGTGTAAAACGTTCCAAATTTTAAAAAGTTTGTAATGACCTTGCCAGAGCTACACTAATGACTGGTACTACATGACCCCTGTTACTGCTGAGATGCTGGAAGAAGATGACTTTGAGTGTGATGATGATGACTTTCTAGTGGGAAACATGGTGGGAACTACCCTGTCCATTGGTGATGGAGGTGGTGGTAAGTTTTGATTTATCTTCTCATTAGGTTTGTGGTAAGCTTTGATTCATTATGATGTAGGAAGGGTTCAATGCTGGCCTTAGGTTTGCTTCATTAGTTGGCTGTCTCTAATGGATGGTTAACATAACAGGCTATGAATCTTCCAGTAGAGTAAAGCACAATCAGTTCTGCTGGGTTGATATCTTTTCTTTATGCAGAATGTCATCCAGCTTAGGAGGTTATCCACCCAAACTGTATTTTTTTTTATGTAAACTTAATGCAAATTAATTTTTTTACCTTTATTCTAAGTACTTCAATCAGCTCGTAAATAATGTACAGTATATGCAAAGTTTTAATGGAAAAATGTTTCTTTAAAAAACTTTTCATATTCTATTGCTATTGATCAAAGACATTTAGCTTCACTATATAACAGTCATATACAAATGTGTGTATAAATAACAGGAACAAATTTCAACTATCATTTCTATGATGGGCCTGTGGATATGGAGAAACACAGTACCCCGGAGATGACTGAGGTCGACAGTCATGACAAGAGCAATGTCTGTGGCAAAACCAAAGAGGTAAACATTGCAGTCATCACTGTATCACAAGTCTGTAGTTAACACTTCATGAGAGATTAAGCAAAGTCTTTCCAGTGTTGAATAATATCCAGTGTTTGAATATGTGGGTGTGAATTTGTACAAAGCTAAATTTTTCCATGAATGATCCTGACTTGCTTGTTTGCTTCTGAACAAAGGACGCTGTTGATGAAAAAATACACAAGTTTTTATGTCAGCATCATTTTAAATGTGAGGAGTTAGCAGTTTTATTTCTACTAGTAGCTCTCTGACCTTCTATCCTAGACACAGTTGTTGCATTACATTTTATTGTTGGGTTTACAGCAGGTACAGCTGACAGTTTTATTTCTACTAGTAGCTCTCTGACCTTCTATCCTAGACTCAGTTGTTGCATTACATTTTATTGTTGGGTTAACAGCAGGTACAGCTGACAGTTTTATTTCTAGTAGTAGCTCTCTGACCTTCTATCATTGAAGCAGTTGTTGCATTACATTTTATTGTTGGGTTTACAGCAGGTACAGCTGACAGTTTTATTTCTACTAGTAGCTCTCTGACCTTCTATCCTTGAAGCAGTTGTTGCATTACATTTTATTGTTGGGTTTACAGCAGGTACAGCTGACAGAGGCCTGCAGGCAGCTTAAAGAACTAGTGGTGAGAATCCAAGGGGAACCAGTTGTAGTTGAAGAAAAGGAGCAGGTTACTACAGAAGATTTACTGGCCCTTGTTGCCCAGATGAGATTGTGTATTGACAAACTGACCAATGAAAAAGTAAAGCACTTTTTTTTTTACTTGCTGAAACTTTAAAATTTATTGTTTTATATATTTACCTAGGAAGTCATTGTACATTCTAAATCTTTTAAATCCTAGTAATTGATTATTATTTTTTAACAGGAAGAAGCTTTGACGAAAGCAGATACATTAGCAAAAGAACAGGGTGAAAAAGTTATGGAGGAAAACAAATGCACAAGTGTTTCAGTAATAACTTCACAGACAGGGCTGGATCCTAGATGAGCTGAACTCAAGTAGGGGGAAGTTAAGTTGTCTTGCTGATGGCATTAGCTGTTGGACCCAAGATGAACTGAACTCAAGTAGGGGGAAGTTAAGTTGTCTTGCTATGGCATTAGCTGTTGGACCCAAGATGAGCTGAACTCAAGTAGGGGGAAGTTAAGTTGTCTTGCTATGGCATTAGCTGTTGGATCCAAGATGAACTGAACTCAAGTAGGGGGAAGTTAAGTTGTCTTGCTATGGCATTAGCTGTTGGACCCAAGATGAGCTGAACTCAAGTAGGGGGAAGTTAAGTTGTCTTGCTATGGCATTAGCTGTTGGATCTAAGATGAACTGAACTCAAGTAGGGGGAAGTTAAGTTGTCTTGCTATGGCATTAGCTGTTGGACCCAAGATGAACTGAACTCAATTAGGGGGAAGTTAAGTTGTCTTGCTATGGCATTAGCTGTTGGACCCAAGATGAGCTGAGCTCAAGTAGGGGGAAGTTAAGTTGTCTTGCTATAGCATTAGCTGTTGGGATTCTGAGAGTTGAATTAATACTCTTCATGTTTTTTCTTTGTGTTCAATGCTTCTCAAACTTTGTCAGTTGTTTGCACTGTGTTGGTGTTAATGTCACCCCCCTCACCCTCCCCTTTACCTGATTGCTGTTGTTGCTTGCATAATTTACAAAACCAAGTTAACTGTATGGATTGTATTTTCCTTAGTAGTATTTGGCAGGAAAGGCTAATTTGACAACTTATTTCATAATAAATATAAATTGCCCACAGTTAATTATTTGTATTTTGGGATCCAAAATGAAACAAAACGCCTTGGGAGGCTTTTCTTTTAAGTAATGACATAATTGTATTAGGACCATACCAGGAGTATTTGGTGTCCTGCTTATTTATTTCAACTGTTTTTATTGTGATGAAATGTTTTATTGCATAATATGTTTAGAAAGTTTCACTCTTTAATGCCAACACCACATTCTGGATAAATTTCACAAATATTCCATGACTGTGTGTAAATTGTAGGAAGATATCCATTGACTATTTTGGTTTCATTGCCATGTTTATTTAAAAACAAAACATCACTAGGTTGAGAATTTTTAAAATATCTTTAATAAGAGATTTTAATAAGATTTGCTTTGAAAATTAAAAATGTAATGAGCACACAAGCTTTTTAAAACAAGCTATATTTAGGGTGAGTGCAAATCAGCAGCTCTATACACTATTGATTTACATGTGCTTGCACTGAAAAACATTACTTGAAATTATCCATGTATTTTTTTCACTGTCTTTTAAATGTACAAAAAAAAATAAAGTTAAAAAAAAACAGTTTTAAAAAAGTCAGTATTACACACTTGAAGAAACTTTACATAAGAACAGAATTATCCCAGCTTTAGTAAACCCTGGCTAACTTATTGATATATTTTGTACAGCTTTGTTTAACAGATTTTTTTTCCCTTATATTTTTCCCATTTCTTCCTCCTTCCATGTTTTCTATAACCCAAGTTTTCTGTTTTCTCTATTTATAATACCATAGACATGTATTGACTTATCTACTTAACCATCCCCTCCTTGTTGTTGGTGTAGGACTCTTTAAGGAAGAATTCATGACAGATTGATTCTTTTCATTATTGTTTTAATATTCTTTGATTTATAGTGATGCCTAAAGATTTTAATGTCTTTGAATTTTGGGGGATTTTTTTATCTGTTCTTCTCAGCCATAACTTGTTTACCAAGATTAGATTGAATCTCATTGAGGAATTTTGTTTTTTTTAAATTGTGTGCCATGCATTTTCTTGATGATGCTATAATTTTAAATATCTTTTCTGGCCATCTGTAGAACCTTGAGAGAAGACAGTTGTAGAAAACAACTTAATTTTCTCACTGGTTATGCCAGGATGGGTTTGAGGGATGGCTTAATACACCGCCAGATGTTGAAGGATACCTGGCACCAGACAAGCCAAAAATACTAATCTCAAGGGTGACCCAAGCTACAGACCCAAGATAAGAAAATGTTTTAGAATGAAGTCTATTATTATAATAATACATTAGAAATGCAAGAATACAAACTCCAGTACAAGAGAGAATTGGAATAATATTTTTTTTCCTGCATGTTAGTAATAGTATGACTATTTGGGTTGGGATTGTGGCTGGGTTATGGTCATGAAAACACCTTGTATTCTAACAAGTTCCCATTCCTTGTACACATCCTTGATTTTTTGTTCTTTGATTACTCTATCAGATCTGCCAACTTGTAACTTTAAAAACATTTTTAGAGTTGGAAGCAAGCTATCACTATTTGCTTATGCCATGTTCTTCTATATACTTATTTCACTGTTTGACAGTAAAAGTAGGGAAGAAATTATATTTCCTAATGTTACTCTGAGCTAAGACACTGCCTAATTTAGTCAAATCAAAACACTACACTGCCTTGTTAAGATCAAACTGCTTTATTAAATATTACATTGCTAGATAGTTTTTATAATATAACCTAAGATGAGCCAAAATTATGTGCTTTGCTTTATTTTCCAAGTTGGCATGTCTGTGTTGACCACAGCCAGATAAATGTTGGTGAATTGTGACAACATGTACATACAAAACTGGGTCCAGTTTTTCTTTTTTCTTACATCCATGTGTCTTAATTTACACTGCATTATATACTGCATTCCATTCTTTTATCTCCCCTGGAAATCATTCCTTGTTTAACTTTTATTGAAAACAAATCCTTTACTAGTCATTGATGTGAAAATAAATCTCAGGTAATATAACATTTGTTTCCCTCCAGTCTGAATTGATTACATTAATTATATCCTTATTGTTATCTCAGATGTGAGTGTTAATGAACATCTTGGGAAATGGAAGTACAAAGTAAGGTTGACAAAAATAATGAGTTAATATACAGCAGGATCACACTGTCATGTTTTAGTTGATTCAATACACATGGTGAAATTTTGAGTGATTTTTTATTTTGGTCATTGGATAGTCACATGGATGTGTATATGTATTTACCATACATATGTATCCATTGTGTGTTCTGATTCTCTGATTTACACAATACACCCATAGAAATGACTGTTTTCTTCTGTTAAGAAAATTTTTAAAATTCAGTGCACATTTAAAAAAATGCTTTTACTTTGTATGTTTTTTTTTAACAATGTATCTTATTTAGATTCATTCCTTTTAATTTTTCTGAAAATCTTAAATTAAAAACTATTTTATTTGAAAGTCAACTCCATCACTTCATTTTTTACATTGATTGTGATGGGGTTAACCATTTTAAGCTCATAACTTTTTAAACCTTATCCTCTGGTTATTTCTACAGCAGTTAAGTTCTCTCGTATTATATTTTAGTGCCAAATATTTTGACAGATATTTTTTGTGTTGAGATAGTCAACACAAGTAGATAAAACACTGTTTAATTTTTGTATATCCTCAAAGTGAAATCCAAGTTGATAATGTCATACTTCCTAGACTGTTCTCTCTGTTCATAAAAACAACTCTTATGGATAATTTAGGCGGTTTTTTTTTTTTAAATTACGTTTGATAAAACCTGAAAAAATCCTAATCTAGTGGAATCAATATCTTTTTCTGTTAATGAAAACTTATAAAATTGAGTTAATTATACTAAAACAATTTGCTGAAATCATGTTTAAAGTTTTTCTCCTTAACTAATCAGGAAAAAGTTACTAGAGTTACCCCCCTCTGACATGTTATTTGTTGTTTATCTTGTAAGCATTCCATATACCTGGTGGATCACTGTTACTTACTTTTGAAATCTACTTTCAAGTTTGTGGCCAATCATTCATGTAAAGGACTTGGGTTACTTTTCTCTGCTAGTCACTTGTTGATGTAACCTCATGGTCCAGCCTTTATTGCTTCATTGCCCTTACACTTCTTTCTTTCTTCAGATTTCTGTTCAACCGACTGTTTATCTCCCTTTTCCCATCCCCTGCTGTGTATTTACATTGTACCTTGAATTACTGTTGCTAAATGTATGTCTGCTATATTCAAACATGTCATAAAAACTAATTATTTGTTCAATCAGTTTGATTGTGTAAATCACAAATAAGAAATGTACATTTTTTTTCCAGACATTGTATATTTTAGCTGAAAGATATTTACAGAATTGTAAAGTTTTAAGTACCAAATTATGTTTCTCTTACAAACCAGTTGTGAGATACTTATTATATCTTGTTGAATGAGGTGAAACCTGTGCTTATCTAATCATATTTAGTCATAACAAGTATTTTTTATATAAGCCAGACATTTGCTGACAGAAAAGCTGGCCTTTTTTCAGTAAGGAAACAAGCATCTGGAGATGTGCTATTATTAGCTTCTAGTTAAAATGATTAGTGAAGATGCACCACTAATCCATCTTTTATTTTAGCAATTTTACAAAAAGATTTCCTTTTCTATGGCTGATATTTAAACCTCTTCTTTATAGTTTTTGAGGCCACAATACTTTTCAAAGTTAATGTGTCCATCAGGCAGATGTAGTAGAGTTCACCCTTTTCTGTGAACTCTGTATATGAAGGGATTATAGTGTTTGTCAGCATCATGCCCAGCTGATCACTCAATGAGATATATACATGAGGTCATGAATTTTTTAGTTTTTAAGAATATTTTCTGCCTGCTTGGGGAGTCAACCTTTTAAAATATAACATCATGGGAAAAACAGTGTAACTGACAAAAGTTTTGCAACAGAAATTGTGTCCATAAAAAGCAATATTGAATTGGGATCTTTGGACAGGCTGTATCAAGGGGGGGAAATGTTGATTTAAGTGTTCTGTACAGTTGTATATTACCTTTTGGAAATATAAGAAAATAGTTTACTTTTGGTGATATAAGTAAATTACATTGTTAACTTTGTGCATGTTGAATGGTCACGTATATACATATTTTGTAAGTTTTCAGTATTTGTTTTAAAAACCAATAGTATTGTTCAATTTTGCTAAACATAAGTTGGGGAAGGTGTAAAAAAAAAAGTTGTTCAAGTATTTGCTAAGGAACAGTTTGTTTGCAGCATCTTATACTTTGCATTGATGTGATACCAAACAATATAAACTGACCACATAGCATGGTAGCTAGTATTTTGCATGAAATCCAAGGTTATGTTATATACAAATAAATCTATATCACATTGTCAAGGCTTAAAGTGAGGAACTAGTCCAGTTGATGGATTCAGTAGTTAATGTTTGCATTCCTTTAGACTGGTATAGTGTAGGGGTAGTTTAATGTAATATGATCCAGTAATTGTGTAGGTTTTATGGTGACTTTATATCAGTTCAATTTGTCTTTTAAAATTAACAAAAAGTATTTACATTGCCAATTTAACTCTAGCCTTTTGCAAGATAGGCATTAAAAAAAAGAAAGACAGACGTGCTTCAGTTGTAGTGATAATTGAAAATAATAAAATGTTGATTCATTAATATTTGTCCAGCCCCATCATCCCAATATTGTAAAATCCAGACGTTAAAGAATTTTGAGAAAAAACTTTCCAGTGTTGTCATGTGTGCCAATCAGTGTTCAGATCTCTGCATTTATATCCATTTCTGGTGATTGATTCTAGATATTTGCTGCTGATGTTTCTAACATGCTTTATGATTCTTGTGTATTGTTTCAGTTCAGGACAAGGATTTTGTGTTATTGGTATTGTAGACTTTGAACTGTTGAATTGATATATGCTACTAATGCTAATAGATTTTTTTTTTTAAAATGCCCACTTTTTTAAAAGAAGCTTTATTTAAACCATTACTTTAGCAAACAATACTATCTTATTTGATAAGTCCTATGCATCAGAAAAAGATTTTATATTTTTAGGTAATGATATCCAATTTCATAAGTTTTATGTGTTGTAACAAAGTTCATTAGAATTACTGTTAAAGAAAAGATAAGAACAAATATATCATTGGGCTAATTTTTATTGTATAACCCAGGACGAATTCTATTATTTGAATATAGATTAAAGCTTCTGTTACCAGTCTAAAAATTACTCTAGCAAATAGTTTTAATTCATGTCAATGTTCACACACTTTGACTTTTAAATGTTTACAACAGATTTTAAATGAATTTAATTAAGGCCAAACTGTTTACAATTTGTGAATAGAAATATTAATATTTTTTGTCTAGTCATTCATATTTTTATGTGTTAAATTATTTCTGTTTTAATTTCTAGTCACTCTTTTAGTATTATCTTAATTACAAATAGTTGGTTGGAAGAGTCCATTTTTGAAATACCTCCAAGAACATATTGTACACTTTTCACAAAACAGCAAGTTTAAATCAAACTTACTAAATTGAGTACAATTTTTTGTGACCTTAATTTCCTTAAAAAGGTAAAAGGAATAATTCTGTTTATAAGTAGTTTTATATTTTAAAACCTTAGAACCTATTTCTTTTTTATTTTATTTTTATAAATTGTATATCCTAAACAAACTGCCAACAACTAAAAACATTTACTGTAAGAATGTAGCTGTAAAAATAGCTTGTTTACTAATGTATATCAAAAGCTCAACTTACAATTTATATTTTAGCCCAAAAACAGCAGAAACTCACTGTACCTTTTGAAAGGGCCAAATTATTTATAAATCATACAACTCTCCATAAGATTTAGTGTACAGTTTTCATTTTGTGCCAATTTAAAAAAATTGAGTAATGATTATTTTAGTGATTTAATGTAACTTTGTTTCAATGGATGTGGCTTTCAAGCTTTGTATGTTGTAGCAAAGTCTCATCAATAAACAAATCAAGCAAAATGATGGGTTGTTTCTTTTTGTTCCTTTTATTTACAACATTTTGCAAGTAATATTTGTACAAATAATAAAGGCAGCAAGTTTAGCATCAAGGCTTTACCAATGTAAATGTGTTGATCACCATATAACGAGAGAAAATTATGTACAGTATTCTGAACCACACCAACTGGGTTTTGTGGGCAATCATGGCACGCTGAAAACAAATAGTACAACTTTTAAGTTTAAGTAAGATGAATTCACATTACATTAAACAAATGTGTATTCACTTTTGTTTTTAATAAAAACTTTATTCTGGAGTGATAAAGGTAAATAAATAAATCAACAGGAGAGATACCTGAGCTTTCAATATGTTTGACAGAGAGGAAACAAACATCAGTTGACCTGAAGCTAAGCTTAAAGGTAAATCAAAAATGCCACAGTACTTTCTGACCAAAGGAACACTCTCCAATTCATAAACCTTTATTTTCTCTGTTCAAACACAAGGAAAAAAATTACCAGTTTTCATGGTAATGTAGTAATACTAAAATTTTACTTGAACCATTATTAATTGAATATAAAATCTGACATTAGTTCTGTAGAGCAAAGGATATCACAACACTACTGGCATCTGACATTAAAATACAAGTGGTATGTATAGAGAATGATATCACAGCACTTTCATCCTCAATGAAAAACCCTAGGTGTTAAAACTGTAATTATTTATATACAGACTACTTACTTTCAGTACTGTAAATAGTTCTGAAAAGAACAATGCAGGATTTAGTAGAAGATGAAATAATATTTATTGATTTACAATTGGGTTTTAAGTTAATTGGGCCTAATAATAGTAAATTAAGCAAATTTTTATTTTTAAATTACTGTTAAAACTTACCTTACTAACTGTGAGATGGCTATATGGTTTGGATGATGGCTGACTCCTTTTAAATCAAATGTCAAAATCTGTTAACAAAAATATTTTACATTTGTAATTAGTCAAAAAATGAAAATGAAACAATTTTACATATACTAATCAAACTGTTCTCTATTAAAATGTAAAGGTACCTACACAATGGGGTTGGATTTTTGCAATAAAAGATTTTATTTCAACACTCAGTTTCTTTAAATCCCAAACTGCTTTAGGATCATCAGGAAATGAGCTGGAAAAAAAATGAAATTTTTTTTAAAGTGGAGAATTTAAAAGACAGATAAACTGTATAGTTACCAAATTCAGTTCTAGCCTTTGCTTGGTTCTATAGAATGAATAAGTATGAACCTATCAAATTCTTATAAGTAAGCTACTATTTAATGTTGAAACATCTGTATTTATAAATAGTATAGTGATGATTTAAATAGTAAATAATCCTTTTTATTTTTCCCAGGTTTCATTTTGGTTGATGATTAATTTTTTAATATAACATCTTTCATTTTCAAAAATTAAACGTGCAGCTATGAAAAAATTACTTATTTTTACCTTTACCTATCATCCAATATCTTGACATTTTCTTTATCTATTCCAAGAATCTGGCAACTATTTATTAACTCATTTTTACGAAGGAATCCTTGTTTGTAATAGTCACCTAAGAATAAAAAAAAACATAATTTATTTAGAATATAATTGGCTAATGTCATCTCTAATATCCTTCCTGTCAATGACCCCAAATATTTTGAATAACCCTTAGTTAAAAATGCTCAAATGTCTATGATACAAATATGCATTCAAATTGTAAGTATAGTCTACACTTCAGCTCTTCAAAGACTAACCATAAAAGTAAAGTATAGGCCAATTATTTTAAAAATAGAATTCAATATTTAATAACATCAAAATAAAAAATATTGAATTTTTTAAAAATAATGATCACAATTTGTAAATTAGACTCAATGACTTGTTAATCCCATCCCATGAAGACCAGTGCTTATTTTTTGTTACTTTTAGCTTAGCATTGAGGTAAGGAACCATAGCACTTAATTGAGCAGGCTTTTCACTTTTGATTGTAGAGTATAGAGACTGACAAAAAAAAACACTATTTTTTCATTATATACTAAAAAAAATTATAGCGCAATTTTTTTCTGCCATAGGAGATTTTGCAAGACTAGATGTGTTTTTATTAATTAATCCAAGTGAAGACCACTATATTAACAGACGGTACAGGAAAAACCAGAATGGTATGACCATTGTTATTTGTTATGGCTAGACGTCACATTTGACCTGCTGATAACTTGATAAGGCTGATAAGGGTTTTCATGGGGCATGTGAAATATAGTTCACCTGTTTCAGCTATCTCTGAATAGGGGTAGTGTGGGCAGCACTATGCCCATCTGCCTTACTTAGGCATGTCAGGTATTCCTCACTCAGAGTTGGGTGGCTTCAGAAACATTCTACTGAAACTCTAAAATAAACATGTCTAAACATTGTTCTAGTTCTAGACTAGTTCTTCTTACTACTTTTAACTTTAGTAAATCTAATTGTCTTATTTTACTAGATCTAGATCTAGTTGTTGCAAATCTTCCTCAAGTTTTTTTTCTGTTTCTTAAAAAAAAAAACTTTAGCCTAATTAGTAATTACTACACTCGACTTTATCGATAATATTTAGATTTACTAATTGCTACTCATTTTCTGTCAATTAAACTTTAAATTAAGTTTAAAAATTAATTTAATGCACATGACTTTATTTTTATTTCAACAGTCAAATAAACTATGGTTTATGGTTTATGGTAACAAATGTTTACTAAACTCAACAAAAATCACCGGATAATTTAGGACGCTATACTACTACTAGTATATCGTGATTTTACCGGGATTTGAACTTGAGACTTTTGGGTTAGCAGTGAGTTCTACTAGGGTTGTCGGTATCGGCCGAGATCGCGGTAAAAACATGACCCGAAATCGCCCATTACTTTCTGATACCGGGCGCACGAGATTTGGTTTTGCATACTAATAAGTTTTTAATTTATGGTAATTAATTAAGTTTAAAAGGTCATTTCCTAATGTTAAATGAAAAGTAGAATGGTTTTCCCATTGTTTTGATGGCTTAGCGATCTGATTGCACGCTGTCTCTGCCTTGGTCTTCCCCCTGTATGAAGGCTAGTTTCAAATACGTTGGAATCACGATTTTTTAAAAGGTTATTCTAGATGAGTGAAGATTACTGAGCAGACATATCTTATATATGTGGAAATGATATTTGTTTTTGGATATTTTGACTCTGACATTAGATATACTCGTTTAGAGGTGGTCACTGTATGTAGGTCGCGTTGCCACCATTGTTATATTTGTTCATCCCGATCTTCCGGCCTTTAAGTTTGATCAACTAACAACAGCATTCTTATGGAATGTGCAAACAAATCTCCTAATTTTTTATTTCAGAATATATTTACATACCCATCTTTAATTTTTTCAGCTCTAGTTCTAGTTTTGCAGAATGTTTTTCCTAAAATCCAATTTTGTCAGACTAGACTGACAAGAGTCAGACCTAGATCTAGGTTACCTGTCTGTTGCTATACACTAGCATTGTGCTAACTGTAATTTTAAGTATTCAAGTTCTACTTACCCTTAGATATAGTTATATGCTGAAAATCAGAATCCATACACAATTCACACATAAAAACATTGATCTGATAACTTCATTTAAATTATTACAAAATGGCTTATATGGGCTCTACTTCACCTGCCCAAAATAACAAGGCAGTTATATACACATTACAGTGTTCAAGTCATTTAGATTTCTAACTATGTAGTTCTTACATTCACTGTATTTATATAAAATATTGCTTTAGAAACATTTTCATATTTGCGCAGCAGTTTTATAACAAAATGGCTTAAAGATGGACTCTACTTCACCTGCCCAAAATAATGAGGCAATTATAATATTATATGCACATAACAGTTTTCAAGTCATTTACTTTAGATTTCAAACTTTGTAGTTCTTTCATTTGCTGTATTTATATAAAATATGGCTTTAGAAACATTTTCATATTTGCGCAGCACACAGTTTTTTGGGGTTATGGGAGGAAGCCAACACAAAAATATAAGTTCTGTATTATTTTTATTCATTTCAACAACATTTACAAGTTCTAGACTCTATATATCATTCTAGCTAAACTCTGCAAATATGAACAAAATACAACTGCAATTAAAATAACTATGCTCAATTTATTCAGGTATACCATGACTTGTCACAATTGGCCAATGCAAAAGTAAGGGGATTCCACCCCTTACAAAAAAATTCGCAAAAAAAAAACTATTTGAGCTAGACAAAAAATATTTTTTGTTTTGTTTTCATTTTGTTGAGCTCTACAAGAATATGTAATTTTTATTTTTATATGATGATTAGTGCTTTTTTACCAAAATCCCTAGTTCTACACTCTACCATTCAACCATGCCATCCCCTTACTTATAATTTTAAAGTATGTTATTATAATTATTATTAGATCAATAATCCTACCAGTTGTTGCACAAAGTATATGAACGTTGCATGTCTCGGATAATTCAAGCAAAGCTGGTGCAAAGAACATGCATTCATCATCTGGGTGCGCGGTAATAACAGCAATACCACTCCTAAGGGGGAAACTATGCCTATTAAATTTGAAAACTTTTCTTGAAGCTAAACAATATAGAAGTAAACAAGCTAAGACTAATGTGCCTAAAATAACCAGGAGATAATAAACGTCGATGCTCATTTTTTAATATTTATTGTTTAATTTAAGTAAGTTTTATGTTTACAAAACTTTGTTTTTTTTTTTTTGGTCTTACTAAGTGTCAGAAGATGTTAAATGTCAATGTACTAACACATTTTTTTTAGTAGATCTAGTTGTTATCAATATTTTTAAAAATGTATAAACAAAAAAAATAATAAAGACAAATTAAACTAGGTCTAAAACCTTTATATTTAGATCCGCTTTAATATAGTAAGCTAGATTTTACATATTTTGTATTTGAGACAACTATAATTAAAGAAAGGTTTCGGGTTTGAATGGTATTTAGTATTTAGTCTATATTTACCTTAGGCTAGTCCAAAATAAAACGTATAGGTTATGTCGCTATTTTATTTACAAAACATAATGTGCAGTTATTTAAGTTTATAACACACAAAATCTAATCTTAAATTGGTTTCATAGTACTATCACAGTAATTGTAATACTGTTAAAACGGCATCAAATATAATGGATTTAAGCCTAGTTTATGAATATTTCAAATGCAAACGAATGTCGTAAATTCATTATTTCCCGAGTTATCTCCTACTGACTCCTAGCAACAAACTATTACAATAAATTCAATGAATGTTTTCATTGCTTCATACATGTTTAGTTAAAATAAATCTTCCTAAAACTAATATTAAAACGCATGAGAGACTAATAAATGGCAGACCACGAAGATCAACAGGTCGATGATGAACTGAAATCTCACAAGGAAGGTAAATTTTAAAAATATAATTAATTTTAAATGGAAATTTTGTTTAGACCATTAAAAAAAAAGGCCCTAATTTTTTAAATTAATTTAATTTATTAATTAATTTATTAATTATTTTATATTTTATTATTATTATTATTAAACTTAGGCCTATTGAATAATATTTAATGTTGATATTCTTAAACTTTAGGTCTTAGTTAGGCCTATATATTATTATATTAATTTTATTAATTTATTAGTTTGAAGTTTAAATTTATAATAATATATTTTGAAACAGGAGATTAAGGAATAATAGTGAAAATATTTATAGATCATATAATAAAGTTATAATAATAATATTATGAAAAAACAAGTGAATATGGAATATTTATCAAACACACATTTTTTATATAACTAACATTTAGATCCAGAAGAAGACATAAATGAGAATAACTCTGCTATAGGAAAAGATGAAGAAGATCAAAATAATGAGAACAACGAAAGAACACAAGATGAAAGTGAAAACCAAGGTAGAGTTTGCATGTAAAAAAACTACTACTAAAACTGAATATATAAAATAATTATCCTATATAGGCTCTATACACATATATATATATATATATATATATATATATATATATATATATATATATATATATATATATATATATATATATATATATATATATAAGCCCTATAATTATCTTTATTTATTTATTTTCTTAAGTTGAATTAGATGAAAAACAAACTGAAGATAATGAAGAATTATACTTTGAACAAACTTCATACAATGATGCTGAAAATGAAGAAGTGAATGCAGATGATGCATCTGAAGGCAAAGAAAATGCTGGAATGGAGTATTATCAATATGATGAAGAAGGTACATATACATTTGATTTATTCAAGGCACTTGTCTACCAATAAGTTAAACATCCCAGAACACATGATAATAAGCAAAAATAACATACACAGCAATTAGCAGTAAGTTAGATCCTACAGATACAATTTATTCAAAGTTTAATTTTTCAAACGATTGAGCATCACATTTTTTTTTCAGTATTAGGATATGTACACACTTTTTAAAATTTTATAATCTGTTTTTGTTGTTTCAATCTTTATATCAGTGTGTATAGAGTCAAGTTACTTAGTTTATTTTAATTAGTTATTTCAATTCAAATAAATGTTATCTAACATTTTTGAAAAGGAAAAATAAATAAAGTAAGTTTAACGTTCTTCTTAATATCCATATTTCTTTTCTAATATATTTTAATTAAAACTCATTTAATCCACATCACAGATGCTTTAGCAGGTGAAGATCAAGAGAATCAGGAAGAAAAAGATGTGGAAAGTCCAAAGGAATTTTTTAGAGAACAAACAGAAGATGGAGCAGTGGACGATGAGAAACAGGATGAGAAAGAAGATTTAAATCAGGATGATTCTCAAAATAATTTTTCCAATGATGAACACTCTGCTCAAAATAATATAGAGGATTCTGAAAACTTAAATGAAGAAGAAGTATATGGATACACTGAACCGATAGATGATGAAACAGCTGACAATGAAAGAAGTGATGGGAATGAAGGAATTAATCAGGATGGTTATGAAGATAATATTTTAAATGATGAAGAACTAGTTCAGGATAATGAAGAAGATTTGACTGGTCAGGAAGATGTTGCTGAACAGGATGCATATTCATATTATAATGATGAAGAACAAAATTATAATAATAATAATGTTGATGGTGGAGAAAATGAAGAAGAAAAGAATTATGAAAATGAGCTAATTGAAAATGAAGAAGGTATTTATGCATTATGTGAACATTTTAGAAAGGCTATTAAATTAATTTATTTTCAAAATTTAAGGTGAGCCCAGTAAAGTCGGCATTGAGAATTAATATGATAGAGCTTTATTTATTAGAGCTCTTCTTTATATTTTCCCTTTTCTTTGTCTGGTATATTGTGTGTCACTTATTATAATTAAATGTTGTTTGGTTCAATGCTTGAAGCATTAAATGATATAACTGAAAAAAATACATTTTCAAATACTTTTTTATCAGAAAATGACCATCTATCTACTAATATTCCGGCTGAAGAGGATATTAATGATAATCAGGTGATTTTTTTTTTACACATTGATTATTTTCATTGATTTTAAAATATTAACTAGAGATTATGTATACTTACACATAAAGAAGAAATATAATATCTATGTAACATTATTAATTAAAAACAAACATTAGGCAAATGAAACAGGAAGAACGTCAGAAGAGCCAATAAAATCACCAACAACTGAAGTAGGTACTGAGACAAACCTGCCCGAATTGAACGATGGTGAATCTAACATCACTGTTGGACAAGAGATTCAGTTTGATGCTGAAAAATCCAGTTCTACTCTGTATGACAAGGTAAATTGAAATTGTCATTGTGTCTAACTAAAGCATTTATTTTTTCAAACTTTTTAATTTATAACTTTTATACACAATAAATATATTTTTTTACACACATAGGTACTTCATGTAAAAAGTGAAATGAATCTTTTCCAAAAATATGTTATGTTAAATTTAATTGATCTATTTCCCAGGAAACCTCAAACACAAATAAAAATGCCAGTAAGTAAAAATCATTTTAAAAAATAGCTATATATTAAACATTTATAATAATATATAACATAGAAAGCATACAGAAAGTAATGTATATTTAAAAATGAAACCTTTACAATTATGTATTAAAATATTTATTTTACTCATGTATACCTTTTTGTTTAATAAAAATAAATGCTCATATTATAATTCTTTGAATAGGCACAGCTGATACACTTGTAAGTATAGTTTTTATAAAAAAAAATTATTATTTATGATAACTTCTATGGGAGTAAATCTCTGCTCTATTTAATTCAAGTTAAGCTAATGACAAGCATTAAGTATAGTAATAAGAAAATAACTTATGTTTAATAAAAGTAAAAGCTAGTATCATATGCAAAACAATTGTATGTATTTGAATATATTTTTTACACTGACCAAGATTTAACCTTGTGTGATAAGTAAATATTTATAAGCCAAATGTATCGCCACAAATAAACTCACAATAATTTCTTGTAACGTTACGCATTGTGACTTTCAAGTCCTTAATTCTAATTGAAACTTCAATTAGCTTCTTGATATCAAACTGCTTTAAATAATAAAAGTCCTTTAAATTTTTGTACTTTTTTCAAAGATTTCCCAGTCACCTAAAACAAACTTACCCACACCTGCTAGATCATACACAAGTATTGAAGGTCAAATGTCAACCTCAGCATTGGTAATTCATTGCAGCTTTAATTCTTTAGTAATCAAATGTTCATGGAAATACCTTTTAAAAAAGCATATATGTATATATTTTACTGTGAACAAATATGCTTTAATTATGTAAAGAATGTTATAGTAATTAATCCTTTTCATCTATCCATATATAGATATTTATTAATGATAAAAATTAACTTTTAATATGATCTACATGCTTAGAATATTGTCTGGTCTTTTGGCTTGAATCGCAACGTTCCAGTTCTTAACCTCAGTGATGGTGTACGACATGCAATTATGTACCCTTGTGCACATGTTGGAATTATGTATGATTACAAAAACAACAAACAACATATTCTCCAAGCTCATGTATGTGGTACATTAGATTTTTCTATCTTTTACAAAATACTATCAAATTTACAAATTAAAAAAGTATTATATTAAGTAAGCATAAATATGAGTTTCCCTTGGTTTTAAAATTTAAATGAACATGTTGTAATTTGTAAACAAGGTAGCTTAGTAAGAATGATGAGAAAAGGAGGCTTATTTTAAAATAGAGTATCATTTAACCCTTAAAAAATTAATTTTGATTTGTATTAAGCGTAAGTATATTTATTTATTTATTTTTCAATTAAAATAATTATCTGATCTATATTTGGTTTTTCTTCTAGCTAAATCCTATTACCTGTTCAGCTGTGTCACATGATAAGAGATGGCTAGTCACAGGAGATGTTGGGCCTGATGCCATGGTTAACATATGGGACACCTACACTGGGTTGGTAGAGCTTTAAAAATGTATTCAATCTTGACTAATTTCTGAAATATTTTTACTGACTTTTCAGAATAAATAGTATAATTTTAAAAATACCTGGACTATAATTAATGCTTGTAGGAAAACAAACCATTAGGTCTACATCTTTCATTATTTTATACCTTTAAAATGTTTGTTTTTTACAGTACTCCAATACAGACAATGTTTGATCCCAACCCTAAAGGTGGAGTTGTAGCTGTTGCATTAACACCAGACTCTAGATACCTGGCCACACTAAGTGCTTTACCTATCCAGGTAACACCAGACTCTATATATACCTAAGTGCTTTACCTATCCAGGTAACCTCCCTAACACCAGACTCTAGATACCTGGCTACACTTGTATGTTGCTGTGTTAATTAAAACCTTATTAAAGTAACCTACCTTTTAAGACACCACAGATGAAGCAGATTTTATCGGTGTGGATGAAATTCTTATTTGCCTCAGCCACTTTTATCTGACAGTAAATAGCCTACCCATAATCAGAGCTTTGAATAGCAGTTATATCAATCCTATTAGTTTTCACAAAAATAAAATAATGTAGCCATTTAAAACTCATCAAGAATTTATTTATGACTTTAACTTGTGCACTGTACTTAATGCAAATTTTTTTTTAGCTTGCTTTTCAAGATCCTATCTCCCCCCCCCCCCCCCCCCCCCCCCCCCCTTAGAATCACTTTAGTAGTACAAATGATTTAATTTCTCACTTGTTTTTACAGCATAAAAAATTACGTCCATCATAAAACTATTTTTATCGTAATGTTTTCAAAGAACATTTTAAAATCAATTCTTTCCACTTTGTTACAGACACTTGCCATATGGGATTGGACAGTTGATGGAGATGTTCCCATTTGTTCAGCAGATCTGAAACCTGAATATGGACTACAAAACTTTATCTGCTTTGATTCTACAGACTGCCACCATTTAGTGACCAATAGTGAAACTCAAGTGTTGTTTCTACACTGGGTAAGCCTTTCTTTATATAATGGATTAGGTATTCAACAACGGAGACAGAAGCCATCAGCATGTAGCCATCTTTATTTGTTAACCGGAAGAGGAGCAATGATAGATAAATACAAGGGACATCACTCAATAACAACATTATAAATATAACTAATACAAGAAGAGTGAGTTCCCCTGACCTCACAAATCCCAATATGTTACATCCCTTTACCCTTAGTAAACACAACACATCTCTCAATAGAACAATTTACAGTATCCTAAAATCACCAATTATATTGTAACATGAACACTATGGTAGATTACATCCTTACAAACAATGCACAATATGTTACAACATAATTAAAATACAAAACAATGATGTCAAAGTCCTTTTGACCTTTAAAATCATAGGTCTAACTTATTTGGGACTTTGATTGGCCTGTTTGACCTTCTCAGTGGCTTTTGATTTGGTGACTCAAGATTCTGACCATATGGATTCTCTATCTCAGGAGGTCTAGGATCTAAATCATTAATTCCAGAATTTACATTTTCTGACTCAAGACAACTTGGTTCACTCATATCAACAGAACTTGGTTGTGGAACAAACTGAGTTGGTGTGAACTGTTCAGATTTGGTGGGATTGACAGATTCACACTTATTATCTGCACAAGTTATTTTTAACTGGTCTGCATGTCTACGGACAATAAGTCCATCATTTGTTTTTACTTTATAAGACACAGGTCCTGTACATTGAACAATTTGACCTGGTATCCATTTTTCCTTTCTCCCATAATTTCTCAGATACACATTCTCATTAACACCAAATTCTCTTTCAATGCATGTTTTGTCATGATTTAATGGAACTATTTTTGAATTGGCATCTGGAAGTATTATGCTGTTATTCAGATCCTTGACTGACATAGATTTCTTTGATTGATCAATTTTCTCAGGTACTCTGATAGTGCTTTCCTGGTAACCAAAAATACTGTTTAAAAGTACTATCCTGGACCATATCAATTTGCAACTGTGATCCAGTATTTGAAATGGGTGTATTAAATGGCAAAAATCTTTTTTTTCTTTTCTTTTGATGTTACCCTTTTAGTTTCTGTAAGTGCTAATGATGTTAGCAAGGTTGTTTGATGATCACATTCCTTCTTACTTAAAGCATTTGAAATTGCCATATCACCTTAATCATTTATTAAGTTACAAATACTTTGTTTAGGCAACTCTGACTGATAATGGACTGCATCTTCTCCATCTTTTAGACTTAATTCCATTTTTCTTATTTGACATGGCCTTAAGTCATTATTCACAGATTCTTCAGGCCAACCATTCTTACAGTACTCATATACTTTTATTAAGCACTCATCTTTTTGTGTTTCTCTTTTAATATCATTCAAATTTATATTGGAGTTATCTTCTGGTACATAGCTAAGGCTTTGGTTTTTTAAAGGTAATCTACTAAGACTATCTGCACTATTCTCAGATCCAGGTTTGTATTTCAATTCATAATTGTATGCAGTTAGTGTGATAGCCCATCTTTGAATTCTTGGTGAGGCATGCTCAGGTAGGGTTTTGTTTTCTCCAAATAAACCTAGCAATGGTTTATGATCTGTAAAGATGGTGAATTTCCTACCAAACAGAAACTTATGAAATTTCTTAACACCAAAAATGATGCCTAAGCCTTCCCTATCTAACTGAGAATAATTTTTCTCAGCCTGGTTCAAAGATCTACTGGCAAAAGCAATGGGTCTGTCACCCTTCTCATCCATGTGGGACAAGACTGCTCCTACACCATCTGGTGAAGCATCACATGTTAATATAAGTCTTTTCCCTGGGTCATAGTGAGTTAGTAAGGTGTCAGCAGACAAAGCCTCTTTTGCTGTATTAAAAGCAGTATCTTGTTGTTTACCCCAGTGCCAAGTTGCATTTTTCTGTAGCAGCTTGTACAGTGGTGATAGTTTACCAGACAGATTCCCTATGAACTTTGCATAGTAATTTATCAAGCCCAAAAAAGCTCTTAGTTGTTGGGTATTTTCAGGTTTGGGTGCTTCTTTAATGGCTTTTGTTTTCTCAGGTTGAGGTCTGATACCTTGTTTGCTCAATATATAACCAAGAAAACTAATTTCTGTCAACATGAATTGACATTTATCTTTGTTTATCTTTAAACCTTTTTCACCAACTACTTTCAATACTTTATCAAGTGTTTTAAGATGTTCAGTGTCATTCTTACCAGTTATGTACACATTGTCAAGGTAAACACAAACATTTGGAATATCCTTAAAAATACTGTCCATGACAGCTTGGAAAATTCCAGGGCTGGATGATATGCCAAAACATAGTCTTTCATATTGGTAGAGTCCTTTATGTGTGTTTATTGTCGTATAGACTTTTGAATCTGGATGCAGTTCTAGTTGAGTGTAAGCATGACTAAAGTCTAATTCAGTGAATTTGTCTCCTCCTGCCAAATTCAAAGAAATTTCCTCAATGTTAGGAATAGGGTACCTATTTAGCTCTATTTGCTTATTCAGTGTAGTTTTATAGTCTCCACAAATTCTTATAGAACCATCCTTCTTTAACACTGGCACAATGGGCGTTGCCCAATCGGAATAGTCTACCTTCTTTATGATGCCATTAGATTCCAATCTACTTAGCTCATTTTCAATTTTATTCCTCATTGCATAAGGTGGAACTCTAGCTTTGCAGTATCTTGGATTTGTGTCTTTAATGCTTATCTTCACTGTTCTATCATTTAGTAAACCTGAATTGCCAAAAACACTTTTATTTTCAGATATTACTTTATCTATTGAAGTAAGACTAGATTCTCTTGCATTGTTCAATGAACATATACTCTTCCAATTTAACTTAAGATCACTTAACCAGTTCCTACCTAGTAATGGTGGTCCATTTCCTTCAACCACAAGAAGAGGAAGTTTAACACTTTGACCATTATAACTTACATGAACCATACACTCTCCTATTACCGGAACATTGTCACCTGTGTATGTTGTTAGACACTTGTGACATGGTTGTAGAGGCACTGATCCTCCTGTGACAGCGTCAAAATCTTTCTTTGTGATGACTGTTAGAGATGCTCCAGTGTCAAGTTGGAAGCTGATGCTCTTACCGTTGATATTAACTAGTACATTGATGGGAGCATGACTTATTGATTTCACAGAGAACAGGTTGAAATCCGGCTGCGAATCAGTTTGAGCATTTTCACAGGTAGAGTGGTTCATTGGTTGGGTTAGGTAGTCTTGGTGAGAGTTAACATAGTGCTGCCTTTGGTTGCGGTACTGTCTTGACTGGCTAGATTTAGCAACAGACGAAGACTTTGCAAAGCAGGCCTTGGCAATGTGACCTTGCTTACCGCACTTATAACAAGTTGCTAACTTGAACTTGCACCGATGAGATGCATGGGGACCTTTGCATCGATGACATTTTTGATAATTATTACTAGATTTAGATCTAGGCTTTAAACGTGCAGGCTGTTTAGCATAAGTTGGAATGCTCTGATGGGGTTGGTGTTTATTGACTAACCTGCTGTTTACTGCATGGATCCCTGAAGGCGTTAGAGATTTTGCCGCATCTGATGACTGCTGGAATGAAGTTGCTAGTTGTATTGCTTTTTCTAATGTTAGATCTGACTCGAGCAGCAACTTTCTTTGAACATCAGGACTGTTTACACCTGTCACAAACTTTTCACATAGTCTGTCAGACAGCGTGTCTCCGAATTCACAGAATCTACTTAAATGACGTAAAGCAGCAACATATTCTGATATTGACTCGTTTGGTTGACGAGTCCTACCGTCAAATCTAGCTCTACATAGAAACTTTGATGGTACAGGCGCATGGTGGTCTGTTAGCAGTTTGCTCAGCTCGTTAAAGCTCTTGGTAGTTAGACTAGCTGGTGCGCATAAGTCCTTTAGTAGCCTAAATTGTTGAGGCCCTATGACTGTTAACAAAACAGCTCTCTTTTTGGCTTCTATCGTCACGTTGTTTGCTTCAAGGTAAAAGCTTAACCTATCTAGGTAATCCTGAATGATTTCATCATTCGAATCAAATTCTTTTATTTGGCCATACAGCGCCATTATTCTAGAAATACTTAGCTAATATGCTCTAGCAAACCTCTTTTTTGCGTAAGTAGGTGCTCTTTCTAGTGGATTATCTATCCTCGTCGCCAGATATAATGGATTAGGTATTCAACAACGGAGACAGAAGCCATCAGCATGTAGCCATCTTTATTTGTTAACCGGAAGAGGAGCAATGATAGATAAATACAAGGGACATCACTCAATAACAACATTATAAATATAACTAATACAAGAAGAGTGAGTTCCCCTGACCTCACAAATCCCAATATGTTACACTTTACATAGCTTATCTTGCTCTTTGTTGCTTTGTTAATTTTTTTATTTTAACCCATTGATTACCAATATGTATGTTAAAGTGTAGCTCTTAAAATTTATTTTAAAACACAATTTTAATACATTGTAGTGGTTGATTTGATGATTCTTTTTAAGAGAAATGTATGTATAGTGGAAGAAACAATAAAAATAGTTTATAAAATATCATTTAAACCAAAGTGTAAGCCTAGACCACTATGTATGTTTTCAAGAAATACTTTACTGACTGAATGCTTTTATAAAACCTAGCTATGCAGAGTAATTTGAAAAGTAATATACCTTGTATTTTAGAAAGTTGACTAAGCTAAAGTGTTTTTATTAATATTTTCCACAGGAGGACAACAGTATAAAATATTATGCTCCACCACTCTCTGATGAGGATTTTAATAAACCAGTGGGCCGATACAGCCAGTCCATGTTCCAGATTGGGATTGCTAGGGCCCTTACAGCTACCTCAATTGGCAATCTTGTTGTATGGGATAACAACAGACCTTTATCTAAAAGTTTGTCTTCATAAAAAATTTAAATATTTTAAATCTGGTTATCAATTAATTTAATTTATTTAGTATATTTGTTATCATAGGTCTAACTTGCTTTAAAATGTGATTATATTTCAATTTTGAAATATAGTGTACGTCAGACCAGAGATAGATGTATGGACAGGCCTGCCTAGTAAAATTGTCCATTGTTTCTTTTCAGTTTCTGTCTGTTCATTTGTTCGACATTTGTAGTCTGTTTCTGTTCCAATTTGGAATTTTTAAATTTGTTTTTTATTTTCATTTTTGTCATAGGCTAATCTAGGGAATTGCTTTGGGGTACATCCCTCTAAAAAATAAAAAAAGTTTATAGGGGGAGAGGAGGTTAAAAATATTTTATGTGTATAAAATGCTTTGTACCTATTCTCCACGTAGGGTTCTCAAGAACAATAACCCTTACGCTGTGCATAAAATTTACAGTTGTGTAGCTAGGGGAATATCTAATGGGGAGATGGAGGTTTAACCCTCACAATATATATGTCTTTTTATATATCTCAACTGAAAAATTATGGTTCTTTTAAGTTATAATTATAAACTTTAGAATAAATTGATAAAAAAAAACAACAAGAAATATTGTAAATACAAAAGAAATTATTTTTAAAATAACACTTCTTTGTATATCTACATATTTTGTTTGACGATTCAAAAGAGGCATGTGTTATCTTAAATTTTTAATTTAAAACATTCTACTTTCAATTTTCAGTCCAAAAAAATTTTTTATTGAATCTTAAATTTGAATGGAATACAGTTTAGAGAATGATGTAAAAAATTAGTTTTTTTTTAAATCAGTGCTAAAATTATTTATTAATATTTTCAGTCATGGATGTAAACCAAAGTGCTGATAAAAAACCACTTAAGATTATTAAAGTTCATGACAAGGGAATTAATGTGTTGACCAATACTGATAAGTAAGTGTAAAGCAGGTAACTTAGGATACTTAGCAGTTGTGAGTTGAGGTCTAAAATTCTATATGCTATATTCTATTAGAATACTACGACTCACACTTAAATTTAAATTTGAAATTTTTTTTTCTGTAAGCCTAAAAATATTGTCCATGATATTGACTTAATTGATTTTCACAGCTATATTGTGATTGGTGACACTGCAGGACATATAAAATTTTATGACCAAGGCCTGCGTCTGATATACTGGTAAGGATTTTCATGATATGTAACTCATAAATTCATTTTCTATTTTCTATTTTATACAAATTAAAAACTCTTTGTATATTTTTTAGGTATCAAGAATTCCACTCAGGTTCTTGCACATCAATCTCCTTTGCTCATATGCCAGATTTTGTTCCAGTGTAAGTGATTGCATTAGTTAAAACTGCCTGATGCACACTAACACACATGAAGTAGTATTCTGTTATTAAAAAATAACTTTTTATTTAATAGTTTTCTTTTTTTTAATAATTTTATAATAGGGCAACAGAAGGAAGTAAATATCCATCAGATGCAACAAAACAGGCAAAACCTTTTGTCATTAGAGATTTTATAGTAGGAACAGCTATAGCCATTTACTGCAGTATTAACACAGATGGAAGTAAATTAAAGGTAAATTGTTATTGTATTTACTTATTTCCTTGAATAGACTTTAATTATTATTCATTTTTACTTTCTCATATACTTTCTCCAGATTTATTTTAAAAGTCATTATTAAATACATTTTAGTTACAAAAATTGTGTTTTTTTTTCCATTATTTAACTCTAGCAAGATTAAATATAACAATCGCTACATCTAATTGTTAATGTCCAATAAACTTCTGTAAATATATTCATAGTGCAATGCACAATTGATAATTTTACTTTACAGTATTTCAGTGATACATGTAACAATTCCATTTTTTTGTTTAGATAATTCATAGGGAGCATGATGCAGCTGTACATGCATTAGCTGCTCACCCAAAATTGTAAGTGTCTTAAATTTAAAGATGATAGTAAAATATGTAAGAACATTTTTAGAAAATCTGTATAATTTGTTATGAACAACTTTTCTTCTTGTGTTCTTAACCTTTGGCTTAATTTCTGTTTGAAATATTTTAAAAAATTGATTTGGTGAACTTCTTTTTAACAATTTATATAACAGTTGGAGAACAAATCATAGTTATATATTTATACCATTGGTCTGAATTATATTCTTTACATTTTGTTTTGGTTTGTTTATTCTTATCTTTTAAACTCCTGATTTATTTTTCAGGCCTATTGTGGCCATAGGAAGCTACTCAGGTCTACTTAAGCTATGGAATTATAGAACAAAGTAAGGGGATTCTGAACAATTATTTAAAAACAGAAAATTATTGCCAACTTTTTAAAATATTAATTTAAGAAATATTTTTCTGTAACTTTTCAATAATTGTTCTTTTTACTTTCCCACAGAGAAGTTGTAGCATCAAAAATATTTGAAAAGTCACATATTCAGTGTTGCACATTTGATCCTAAAGGATTCAACATTGGTAGGTGATAATGGAATATGGTGTATGCCAGCATATAGAAATGTTACATCATATATTTTAAAAATAAAACTAAATTTATAATTTTTTTCACCTAGTATTTCCTTGATCAAAAGTCTACTAGTTTTGTAGCTGATATATCAGTAGCGTTTAGAGGGATTTCCAATTGGAAATTTTCCAACACGTCGATGGTCTGGGGGTGTGTTACATACCAATTAGCCAAAATTTAGTATTCAATATTGAGAGTCCATGGACAACACATCACTGTTATATACAATAGTGATATTGCCAAATAAAATGCTTCTTATTTTATCTTAACTTCAGTAATATGTTTGCAGTATAAAATTTGGAGTTTTTAGAGTGAGCTGTATCAAAAATTCTTATTTTACAATTTAAACTAGTAAAACTAGTTTTGCTAAATGAAAATGTGTTTTTGTTGTAAATATAAAATTAATTTACTTAACCATGAATACTTTTACATAATCTTATACAACAAAATTTTATACATATAATAATGTATTAATGGTAATGTGGTGTGATTTTTAAAAAAAAACACTCTGGTATAACAAGAGCACATTTATATTCCCTTCAGCAATTGGATGTACAAATGGCGCCCTCTTTCTTGTTGACTCTGTGGCATTGCTAGATCAGCTAAAAGAACCCTTCAAGTATGCCAGAGATGCTATCACCCACATAGCTTTCAGCCACAACTCCATGTTCATGGCAACTGCTGTAAGAATCGTAATTTAACTTGTAAAAATATGATAGCCAATGAATGTAGTAGGCCCTACTGTTTTGTTTTAGAAATACAGAAATAGATTGATTGATGTTTTTAGTAATGTAAAAATATTTCAATAATTAGTTGTTAATTATAGGAGTTTTCCAAACCTAGGTCAATTCACAGAAAAAGTTATCATTGAAAACTCAATTATTTTATTTTTAACGACTGTAAAACAATAAATCAAACACAGAGGCTTACATTTTATTGTACCATATTTCTGTATAGGACCTACAATTTTAAAACAGTTAAAATTTCTATTGTGTCCAGGATGCTGGTTTTACAATTACTGTATACAAACGCCAGCGCAAGGAAATGCGAAGTCCTTACATTTGGCATGGAAGATACAGATCTCACTACAAACCTATAAAAGATTTACTTTTTGAAATACACTTAGACACTAATATGCCTAAGCTATTATCACTTGGAGAAGACAGAATGTTGGTAAGAATCTGGAGAAAATTTCCTTGACAAAAATGTTTAGTGTAATATATTAAAAAGTATTCAAGTAGAAACTATTGTTATTTTTTAGAGAACCATTCATACATACTTTTAAATTAGCTAATTAATGTTTCACAAATTATGGAGTTTGCGGGTTATGAAAACATAACTATTATTATTATGTTTTTTGCAGATTGAGTATGATCTTTTCCACCATGGAAAGACTAACAAAGTTGTACCATGTGCATTTGATAGAATAGAACAAGCTGCTATTCCTCAATGCATGACAAAATATCCCCCTATCACTAAAGAACAGTTTTTCCTTACAGCAAATGATCAGGTAAGCAGGCATATACATCAACTATGTATATTAAAAAGTAAGATGTTTAAAACCTAAACTTATCTCTAACTTATGACTGTAAGACAAAATCCATTCCCAACCGATGGTTAATGGACATCAACAAACTGACAAAAATTCTTCCATCATTGTTGGTGACATGGAAAAAATCGTTTTTTGTCAATTTTGCAACCATAGCATAAATACCTGTAATATAAATATGAAAGAATCTTTCTAAGTTGAGTTAAATTTGTATTATAATAAATGTTTTTTCCCCAAATATTTTTGTGAACAGTACAAGTTTAAATGCTACAACAGTACAACCAAGATGTGCAGAAAAGTAGTATTAGGACCAACATATGGATCTCCTATCAGAAAGTATTAACTTATTATATAACATTTTTTTCTTAAAAACTGTATGTTAGAAATTTTTTTAAAGATCATCTTTAGAGCTTCATTGCATCTAGGCAAAAACTAGCTTTGGATTAAAAACAACCACATTTCAAACCTTTGATTTTTTTTAACAAGGTTTAAAATATGAAAATAAAATGAGCTGTAGTTAATAGAGCCACAACTTTAAGTTTTAATTATTGATATAACATCCGTTATATAAATCTAACACAATGTAAGGTTATATCTATAGCTCTTAATTGTAGTTAAAAGAACCAAATTATCAATTTATCCTCATAAAGAATGAACAACACATTTCATGTTTTTTTACAGAATGATGGTTGTCCCAACTGACAAAGATGAAACCAAAAACAGATTCCTTGCATACATCACAGATGATAAAATTGGACTGCATTTTTTGCCAGCAACTGGCAATCCACACCTTGCTATGGCTCTCATTGCACATCCAAGTGGAGTTAGTCAACATTTTTATATATTAGGAGTTTTGTTTACATATATATATATATATATATATATATATATATATATATATATATATATATATATATATATATATATATATATATATATATATATATATATATATATATATATATATATATATATATATATATATATATATATATATATATATATATATATATATATATATATATATATATATATATATATATATATATGATTTAATTCTTATATATAAATTTTCTCTTTGCAGGTTTCCAACTTGACTTGTAGTTTTGATGGAGCATATTTGTTTACAGCTGGTGGACCAGATTTTGCAGTTCACATGTGGGAAATAAACATTGCGTAAGTCCCTGTAGTTAAAAATATTTACTCAAAATCTGTTAGAAAAATCTTGTGTGCAAGACACATGGGACAGAGGAAGTAGAGTTCATTTGTTACAGAGATGTCAACTTATGAAGGGATAGTGTTGTCAGCACTATGCCCAGCATCCTTTGCTTTCCAGGGATGTTCTACTGACTTGAAATCAGATTCAAACTTGAGACTTTTTGGTCAGCAGATTAGCGCTCTACTGCTATATCTATTTTTAGAAAAATACAATGCTCTTAAAAATATTTAGTCCTGGGTTTTAATTTGAAAATATTTAAGTCCTTTATTTTATTTTCTAAAATGATATCTAAAACTATTTTTTTTACAAACATAAGGGCCTTGAGTGCCCAGGCTAAACTTGGAGGAGAAGATCTGGTCCCATTCTATGGGTTGCTAGAGGGAGGAAGAGATGGAGAACTATTTGCAGAACTAGAAGATTTATTTTACTATGCTCAACTCAGACAGTAAGTATTTGTTCCATGTGGCATCTATCAATCAACTCAGACTGTTTACTAGCTGCTGTTCAGCGTGACTTCTATCAATACAAATTATTGCAAAATGTACTGCTCTTACATGGTTTGGATTTTTCTATGGCTCTTCTGCTGAAGCAGATCCAGTTGATATTAAATTTAGATCTGTTGTATTAGTTATATTGTCTGTTATTATCCATAGTAGCCTCACTGTTACTCTCTCATTTTTACTTTACAATGTATCGTGACTGCAACATTAATAGTATGTTTTCATACTATATATTATTTTGCTAATTTGTACTCTTCAAAAATAATTCACATTTTCTTGTTATAATAACCCCCTACCTTAAAAAGTTGTTTATTTGCTTTAATTTTATCAATTCAATAGAACTATTCTGCAAAATTTTGAGAACAGAATATAATGAGTGAATATTTCTTAAATTTATCACAATAAGTACTGTAACATTTTAAAATTTCTAATAGCCAAGGTATAAATTGTCTGGATACAAGACAAATCAGCAACAGAGTGCCACTCACTGAGGTGCCATATATCATGAGAGCCATGGGGTTTTATCCCTCTGAACAAGAGGTGACTACTTTTTTTTATTCCAATATTATTATTTATTTTCAGAGCAATCCACATTATTTTGAATGATCTGTGGTCAAATTTTACTTAACTTTGTAATATAATTTTTAACTTAGAAATAATATTTGAAGCTAAACTGTAAATGTAAAGAACATTTTTTTTTAGCATCAGAGTAATACTAAAGCAAACATTCTGTTCAAACTGTGTGCCTGACTAGTAGTCCCAGTAACCACCAGTAATGTAGTACTTTATTTTCTTCAATTATTTTTTGAATAAAGTTTTTTTTAACTTTTCAGATTGAAGACATGCTTAATGAAATCAAATATGATGAATATGTCAATCTGGGTCACTACCAAGAGGACATTGACCTTGGGGGGTTTATAAAATGTGAGTACCTTCTCTGGTGTTTGCATATATTCAATCAAAAGTTTTTTGTAAAAAAAACGACTTTCTAATTGATTAAATTCTTAATAAATCTGACTTGTTATTATTGCTGCTAACAGTGTACGTGAACCACCGGCCAGCCTTTGGTTTATCTGCTGAAAAGCTGCTGTGGGCTTTTGAAACCTTGGCTGAATCTGTGGAACTGGGGAAAGGAGGAATGATAGAGCGAGGAGATTTCCTTCAGATGCTTGAGAGAAAAGGTTTTTGGTTTTAGTTTTTACCACCTATTTTCCTGACGTTAAGATATAAAATGTCTAGAGAATTTGAGCAAGTCTTCTAATACAACTAAATCATAACTGCTGACATTATTTTAGGTGAGCACATGACAGAGGAAGAGCTAACAGACCACCTGACTACTCTGCTAGGATTCAATAAAGAAGGTGGATCAGCTGAAGAGGATCATGTAGAGACATCAGAAGAGTATGGGCACTTTATCCATGATGCGCTACCATTTGATATCAATGCCGAGATTCTTATAAATGAAATACTAGGGTTCTCAATGACGGTGGATCCACCAGCAAAAGTTGGTACCAAAGATGTTGTCAAATCTGGAGCATCTTAGTGCAGTCTTTTCCAATATTGCCTACTTTATTGCATCCTTAAAATGTCTTTTTGCTTAAAATTGAGTGAAATAATGTTGATTTATTTTTTTTAAAAGTTTATTTTTACTGAAATATATATTGATTTCATTCTTACCAGCCATCTTTCATGTGATTTATTAGCATATCATAATTAACAAGTGTTTTTTTTAACATTTTTGATTGTTCAACATCAAACTGTTTAGTGTACGTGGCATAGTGTACGTAACAGTTTTACAATTAGTACATTTCATTTTATTCATCCAGTAAACAAATATGCTATGCAAACTAGTTTTATCTTGGGAAAGTTTGTATGAACTTGTGTTAAAGAGCTAAAATACTTAAAAAAAGAATGTCCAATATTCTATCATGTGGTGTAAATATACTTATCTTACTTCTTTAATACATCTGAAGCTAATTTTAAAAATGTACATAATGACTATATTGAACATATTTATTATTAAATGATTTAAAATATTTGTTGAATTGTTAGTATCTTTTAAAAGCTTACAAAATTTACTATCAAAATTCTTGTTTAAAATTTTTATTCCTAAAGATTTTGAATATCAACAACTCGTAAACAGAAGTAAAAGTAAATTATTTATTTCTAGTCAATGATTTATAAAACAAAACCATCTGATAAATATAATCCACCAATCTTCATAAAATTTATTGGAACATTGTCTTTCTTTATCTTTTTTCCATATGCTCCAATTATCTGTGGAATGGTAAAATTCTCTTTTAACTTAAAAATGTATAAATATAGGAAAGACCTAAAGATAATTAAGCAATAAATATATTTGAGCTAAAAATTTTTCATTTAGTTTTCTTTCTAATTTGTTCCATAAAAAAAAATAGCTATAAATGCAAAGTTATTAACTCTACTTCATCAGCCCAATGGATCACTAGGTCTAAAGACGAGTCAGTACTTTATGTAAAAAAGGTACTTACATCAGTAGATGTTGCTTCTAATAAAGTTGACAAATCTGTCTCTGTTTCAGTCTTTCTTTTGCTGGCTTTCAATGACAAATCTGGATCATAATGTCTCTCTAATACCTGCAAGTTTTGAAAGCTTTAAAATTCTTGTCTCAGTACATCATGTTTATATAGTGGATAATTTAATGCAAGAACATATCTATTTAAATAGAATTTAACGGCTTTAAAATTCTTGTCTCAGTACATCATGTTTATATAGTGGATAATTTAATGCAAGAACATATCTATTTAAATAGAATTTAACTTTTAAAAATTATATATATATATATAAATTCATTCTTCATACACAAGTGGGTTCCTTAAAAATATAAGCTGTAGCTTTAAATCCTGATTTAACTAGCATGTCAACCACCATGAAACAAAATGGTTTAACTTTGATAACAAATTCAACATTTTTCATTGACTTGCAATATGTTTTGTACTTCTGTAAACATACAGAACTTGTTATACTTACTTGTAACTCCCACAAACAGCTTTCTAAGGCATTGCATTTACATGGATCTTTTTCATCAGGCATATAGGGATCACTATCAAGTTCTGAAAATGGAGCAGAGAGTGCACATCAACAAAGTTATTTATTTGTGAGAACTCTAAAATTATTTTGTAGTATAAAGTCCCAGAAGGTGGAACTGACCATCACTAATTTAACAGTGACTCCTTGGCTGTTTGACTTACCTGTGGGACCATCTGATCTACCCAGCATGACATTTAAAGCTGGGTGGCGATTTATTAAGTTGAAGATAAATGGTATAATAATATATACAGCAGACGCTGGAGCATGTAAAGATAATCTTGCCAGACGTTTTACAAATGCTGCCACCAAGTATGAGGGAAGATGCCTACAACAAAATGTAAAGCAAAAAAAAATTAGTTCCCTCCAATTAAAAAAAGAAAAAAATTACATATGGAGCAAATTTACAGTTATTCTATTTATGCATCTTTAATATACTAGGCATAGTAAATTGAATCTAAATATGGTCAACAGCTTATTGTTATAACCTAAATATATAAAAAACAAAGGGTGGCATACGTTGATGATAAAAATGTATCTGCTAAATGGAAAAATCTGGCTTTGTATTTGGCACTGAACACTTGAGGTTCAAACATTGAGTAGAGTTTGTTATAAAAATCTGGGTAGTCCCTGGAAAATTACATGAAAAATTAAATTTTTATTCATTTACATATCTCTAAATAATAAATATTGAGACTTATGCAGATTACTCCATAAATAATAGATTGAATTCAAGTGGCCCTTAATGCTTATTATCACCAACACTGAACTACCCTGCCAAACATGACCAGCAACTTGTCTATTTTGAAGATGGTCTACAATAGGTGTCTTACTGTATATTTATAATTTATACCTAAATTTGCAAAATTGGTTTAATGTGTATGTTACAAATAATACTCACAGATTATGCTTATGCATTAGGATGAAAAGCCCATGCAAGCTCATCAAACTGATAGCCCCACCTACAATTTAAAAAAAAAGCAAATAAATTGACCAACAAATTAGTGCACTACATTTCACACACATATTTTTATGTACACAACAGTGAAATCACAAAAAAAAAGCAATAAAATAAAAAAGATAAAAAAATTGTGCTGTAAATTTGGGTCATTAAAGAGTTTACTGGTCCCAGTATATAGGTGCTAAACCAGGGAGTCTGACCAATGTCTCAGAGAGTGAAGAATCCCAGGCTTTATACTAGTCAGAATCTCTTCGTATGCATGGGTAAAAGAAAAAAGATTGAACTCTACTTCATCTTCAGACTGACTGGTCTCAATGGATATTTTAATTAAAGAGCATGATCAACAAGCTCACAGAAACATCATTTCAACATGTTAATTTAAAGAAATCAATGTATAAAGATGTTAAACCTTTACAACTATCTATTTAATCTAAACCAGGGGTCTCCAAACTACGGCCCGCGGGCCGGATGCGGCCCTCGAAGTCCTCTCACCCGGCCCGCGGAGATCTTTTAGTCCAAGGAAAAATTGTGTGTTGGTGATGGCTGAGGAACTTTGCCAAGAAAAATCAAAGACATGACTGGAAGAAACTGGCCCCCGAACTGAAATTTGATTGTTAATGCCGCCCTCGGACTGAAAAGTTCGGAGACCCCTGATCTAAACGAACAAAGCTATAAAAAACACAACTAGTTACCAATATCAAATGAATGTGACAAAAAATCTGTCAGCCTCTGTGGCGTAGACATCTTCTCCATTATAGGCGATATACCAGTTAGAATATCCCTATATAATTCAGTAGGTATCTGAAAATACATTACTTTTTAAAATGAATTTTTATGGCAATAGAAAAACATTTTCAGCATCCCAGTTTGAGGGAATAGAATCTACAAAGCAATTGACAATGAGAGTAAGAAACTGAGGACTGGAAAAATATGAAAGCTAGACTGTAAGGTTTATTTCTACTGCAATAATTGTTTTAATTCTTATTTAAAGTGCCTGTCAAAAGGTAATAAAAAACACTAGTATTTTTGGAAGAGGAACCATTACCTTGTAAGATAAGAAATTGCATATTACTCCAGTAAGCTGACGAGATGTTGAATTATCTGTGAATAGAATTTCAAAATCTAATTCAAATTTTGTAATGACTCAGGTTTAATATACTATAACTTAAGTATCCCTTTCTCGAATTACTAAAGAGCAGACAGAAAAGTTTTTTTTTTTGATAACTCAACCATACATACCCATGTTATATGAAGCAACTTTTTTAATCAACCTCCAGCAGTTGAATAAAAATACATTCGTGTGTAGCTAAAGAACAAAAATGATAGATTTAATTTACAATCTAAACTTTATTATAATGCACAAATAACTAACAAAAAATAATGGGCAACAAAATAAACAATAGTAGGTTCACCTCATTGTTATGCTTTATCTGGTTTTTTATATGCGTCAAACAGGCTGAGGAAAATTTTGTTCCTTTTTCCCAATGCGATACATCTGATGGTAAGCAATTTATTATGGCTGACCGATCTTCATCCTCACTCAACAGTTGAGTAATCAAATTCTTGAAGAAAAAAAAACAGTTTAATGAAACTATCAAAATATAGTCCTCTGCTTTATGTAAATGGTTTTTAGTTATAAAACTGCGAAAGGAAAACACCAAGTTATTTATTCTCAGTGTTAGCACATACTTACTCCAATTAAATGTCCACTGATATCATCACAATTGCACTCAAATAAACTTTGAAGTAGTGTAACAATTGCTGCCAAAGAAGATTCCTATAATATAAAGAATGGTGTGGAAAAAAATCTGCTTTCACTCTCTATCAGTTATTAACACTAATACAAATATCTACAATCATTGCTTAAAAGATATTTCAACTCCAAACCAAACTTAACACTTAAGCTTATGGATTTAAGTATTATTATTGTCAAGCTAAGGGCATGGCTATTAGAGAAGAACCATAACCAAAAATATGTGAAAAAATCATATAATATAGGGCACTATATAATACAGTAATATGTGCCTAGCACAAATGGTTATTAATAAATATTTTAGGCCTATAAGCTATTACCTGAACTTCAACATTTTTATGAGATAAAAATTCACACAAAACATCACAAGTAGTTCCAAACTGCTCTTTAAGCCAAGTTGAAAATTGATCTTCTTTACTTAAATCTGTAGAAACAATCATTGATACAATAAAAAAGAGAGGTAAAATAATTGTATGCAATGGCCTGTAACTGCTAATTTAAGTGAAAATAACTTACCCTCTTCAGCTGCAGTTATTTTTGAAGTGTTCAAAATAGCTTTGGTCGAAATATAATGGGAAAATATCTCTGCCAATGACTTGCAGGCTAGACAGATTACTTGAATATTTTTACACTGTAGAAGAAAAAAAGGGAAAGCATTTACTTTTAGTTGCATTTTTAAAGTCTATCAAATTAAAATTATCAAATTGCTATCAGAGGCTATCAATTAGGCCCTAAGCTAATTAATATAATTAGGCCCTATTATTATAAACAGGCCAAGTTCACTAAAAACTAAAAAGGCAGCTAATAATTTAATAAATGAGTAAGGAACTAGATCTAGGCCTATACTATGATAGGCCATATATACTAAATATATAGGCTAAATATACTTATAGTAATTATAATTAATATTAAATTTAAAATTAGTAGGCCCTAATGAATCTGCTAGCAGCTAGCTGCTAGATCTAGTTATCTGTAGAGTATCTATCTATAATAGTTAGAAAGTTAGAATCATTAAATGATTATGATTATAACTTAAATAAAATATATAATCTACCTAGGCACTAGTAAAATGTTTTTTTTCTATTAAATCAATATTATTTAATATCAATTTATTATCAAATATCAATCATGACATCAGTTCCAATCCAAGTTTAAGTACTCTGGCTACTGAGGTCTTAAATCTTCTTCTTAAGATAACCAATCTTATTCTTAGGCCTTGTCACTAACTTCTCAAGCTATTATATTAGACATTATCTAGATCTCCAATATCTAGTTTTTTTTTTCTTTAAATATAAGGATACCTGTGTGTATTTTAATATATCCATTATCTTGTTTGCATTGCTGTTGTCTTTAATGATTAGTTTTGTTTTTTTTACAATTTTCTTCACCAGTGAAGTATCCATGCTGCTTCCGCTTTGTAATCCACCAAGTCAATGGGAATGAAATACCAAAATAACCAGCCAATCGTTAAGCTATCATGGGAGACTCCGAGAAGTAGCAATAGGCGCATGCGTACGTGCATTGCGGCTAGACATAACTTATGTCGTGAGGAACCGTTGAGCATTAGAAGGCACAATTTTTTAGATTTTGACGATTTTTCTTATCCGCCACTGTGCACGCACGGTTAAAATGTCCAGTTAAATATCTGGTTCGGTTGGAACTGGGCTTTTTGGCCATGATGGACGACAAATGTGAGAGAAATTTGTAAAAAATTTCAGGTAAGCCGTAGAAAAATTATCAATCAAAATGGCGGTCCTATATATTCCTCATCATTGCAATGCGCACAAGATATGCGCACAAGAATATAGAAAGACGCGAGGGTTTTTATCGTTCACGCCGTGTCCACTATCAGCAGATCCAGAGAACGCTACTGAGAAGATGGGGAGAAAGAAACGTTATAAATTACAGTCATGGAACTTTCTATCAGAAAATAATAGTGCACTTTTCAGCTTAGGTATCCGCCTCAAGACCTGGACTTGATCCAGTTGTATTGCGACCATGATTTCAGTAGTTTTTATTTTAAAAAGATTAATCATAAAGGACAGGTCGTATCATCATCGAATGGGCCACATTGCGCACGTTGACGTTGGCTTGGCAGATCTAGATTTCTAGATTCTAGATCTAATATTCTACATCTAGACTCTAGTTACCCCTCTTGGCGAGTGATAGATCTAGAATCTACTCATAATCTTTATTTTGGTCTACAATTTTTTTTTGGAATTGGCAAAAAGTCATTTGTGGCTTCTAGATCTACTTTGAACAATCAATGAATAAGGGAGTGTACCCCAAGACTAGACTACTCAAGAGACTGAAGAAAAATTGAAAAAAATTGTTCCCAAGGAGAATTACTGCCATCTGCCCTAAAGCCTAAGATCATCAGACTTCACCAGGACATGATTGAATTAAGATGTAGGCCTACTAGATCTAATAGCAGCATTGATCACAATGTTCCCCAAGGCCCAAGACTACCCAAGAGGAGAGAAAACTGAAAAAAAAATGTTCGGAGTAAAATTTCTGCCATCATTCCTTAAGATTTCTAGATCTAGACTTCACCAGGGCATGATTGAATTAGGATCTAGACTAGTCTATATCTATTTAGTGCAGAATTGTCTACAATTTTATTAGCAGTTACTATACTTAACCACTTGTTAGCTAATTTATTCAGCTGGTCATTATAAAAACATTTTCTTTTAAATATTAATTTTTACATTTTTAGGTGAAGATTTAAGATGCAGAAAAGTAATGCTGATAAACAGGTTGTTCAGAATTTTCCTGCAACAAGTGATCAGCAGAATGTTGCAGTCTTTCCTTCAGTGGTAACATCTGACAGTGCATTAAGTACAGATCAGCCAACTAGTGAGTATATTTAGATTCATTTCTAAATTTGAGAGAATAATGCTAGTTACTTTTTTAAAGAAGGAAAATCATTTGTTTAAATAAATATGATAAAATTACAATAGATCATTAGGCCTAATTACTAAGTATAGGCTAGGCTAAATGTTATGTAACAAGTTTTTAATTCTTTATAGCTGTACTGTCTGGGGGATTGTATCCTACCACAGTCACCTTCACCTTACCAAGGAATAGCTCAACTACAGATAAGCCATTACTAATCTCTAATGCATCTCTGTCTAATACCCGTTTGGTGTCACCTCAAACTATAAATCTGATTCACCAATTGCCAACAGGTGTGCATATTTTATAAGTAGGATAAGTGACATTCACATTTTTTGTAATCAAGAAGCATGCATTGAACAAATGTTAATACATCTGTTACCAGAATACATTAATTTTGATATTTGTTTCAGGTATTGTTGGCTTATCGACAGTGTCTGCACCAGGTGTGCAATTCTTGCAGACTTCAGGCACCCCTCTCACATTTGTTACATCAAATCCCGGGACTGCTGCTGCTATTGAACAACAGCAAACAGCTAGGCTTCTTCAACATAAGCTTCAGTCTGGCTCAGTGTCAAGCAGTGGCAGTACTATCCATCACTTGGCCACAGCAAGTCCTGCCAACCATGTTTCCAACCAGAATACTAAACAGAATTTAAGTATGAGTGCCTTGCAACAGTCACCCACTGGTGCAGGTCAGAAAAGAAATAATTCTGTCGCTGGTGCTATGATGATAGCAACATCTTTACCATCTTCAAATTCAAACACCAATATAGTAACGATGAGTAGTGATTTAAAACTATTCACCTTGCCACAGCGGTCAGATTCACCCACCTCAACAGGACCTTCTCCCAAAAAAATTAAACTTGAACAGAAGCCTGCTCCTAATAAAGAAGTAGATGAATTTAGGTCCTCTGTTTGCTCACACAAAAGGCGTCTTATGCAAGAAATAAAAGGAAGGTACAGGGAGCACTTAACAGAACTTTTTTATTTACAAGGTGGGGGAAATATAACAGAGTTCCATACATGGAAAAAGCGGCCAACTCAGCCTTTGCTTAACTTTCTAGAGGGTAGCAAACTTGATAGTGATGATGATGATGAGTTGTTAGAGAAGAGAATCAATGACGAGGTAAGGATAAATTATGAAAATACAATTTTATGCAGTATTTTTAGTCTAGTTTTGGTTTTTCTAAATGGTAAGTTTTCTTTCTGCAGGTTAAGGTGCTGACCAGTGTAGGCAGTAATGTTCCACTAGCCACCCCAGTGGCCATATCCACTACGCTTCCACCATCAGTATCAGCCTTGAATCAGCAAGGTAGTAGCGAGTCCCTTGCCTCTTTTTCATCTTTCACCAACACTAACCCTAGCTTGCTGGGTAATCACGCCTCGGGAATTGATGACTTTCTTAGGCAGCTCACTGCCTATGTCAAGGGTATCGAGGGTCTTTACAATTTTGGCACTTCTGGCTGTGTTCATTTTGTTAATTTTAATTTGCTCATTTATATGATAGATGTTGTATTTAGGAATTATTTCTTTTAACTGCCTGATTTAGCTTCTTTGTTGTTTTACTGTTAGCATGGTCACCAAGTTCCTATCTTTTTTATTTGGTTCATTTTTATTAACTTCAAAATACGAGTCAAATGCAGCTTTAAGCAGTTTTTTTTTTTCCAGCTTTGTTTTTACTGCCAAAATAGCTTGAGTTTATTTTTATTTTTTGTTTATTGGCTAATTAACAATCATGACTAATTGAGAGTTCTTTTTATTTTCGAGATGTTTCAGAAAAATCTATATGCATGAATCTAGTTCAATAGCTGTTGCTTTTCACCCTTAAGTGTCAGGTTTATTATTGCTAATAAAATTATTAGTGCGAATGTTATGTCTGTCCATTTCCAATTTTTGTATTGTGCATTGATAACAGTATTACCGTAAAAAATTTCCACAGCTGTAAATTCATCAACAACAGCTGTGAATCTGGCCAGCACATCATTACCAATGACTTCATCTTCAGAGCTTCAGCATCATTTGACTAAAATGATTGATATAAAACCAAGTGCACAGATATTGAAGTCTGGTATTTCATCGGGGTATGTCTGAAATATGCAAGTCTATGTAAAATTAAACCTAAAATTCATATTTTTAAGTGCGAAGCTTAACTTAATTGTAGTCTGAATATTACACAAGTAATATAGGTATAAATATTATGGGTTGGTTACCGAGATGCTTTTGTTTTATCAAATGTTGCCTTAAACACCAACCTTAGATTAAAGTTCATGTGCTTGTTTTGAAAATGCTTTAGTATTTTTTGAATGAGTGATGACAACATTTTTTTCTTGCCTTATCTTACCTGCTTTTTCCGTTGCAGTGTATTTGTATATTTAGCTTGTAATAAATTTATTCTCTTTACTAGGCAATCACTATCTGCAAAGAACCAGAAAACTACAAGTGTATCACCAAGTAGGTCCAGACAACAGTCTATATCTTCTGTTTACGAAAGTGTTACGGGGGGATCTCAAGATGTCATAGTAGAAAGAGCCAAACAGGTAGCCTATTTGTTTACTACATATTTAAAAAACCCTTAATTTTAAAAATGCCACTAACTCATTCTGGAAGCTATGGCATATTATCTTTCAATTACCATGTGGCTACATTATAATGCTGTTGTTGAACTGAGGGGTCAATACCCATTTGTAAATGACAGCTTGACATTAGATTTTTGTGAACCTAAATTTGTATATTGGTTTTTATATGCATGAACAATTCTCCACATTTTATTTTTCAAACAAGGAAGCACAAGTATTGCAGCGAGTAAATGAACTGAGGAAAGAAGGTCTTTGGTCTGCTAAAAGGCTGCCAAGGGTTCAAGAGCCACCACGACAAAAGGCTCACTGGGATTATTTATTGGAAGAAATGACATGGTTAGCTGCAGATTTTATTCAGGAAAGGAAATGGAAGAAGGCTGCATCCAAAAAGGTACTTTTATCGCCATCTTAACATTTCTCACATTTTTGTCATAGTTTTTTCTTATAATTTTTATTAACTTACTCCCATTTATTTTTAAACCTACTGCATGTATATTCTATATATATATTTAATAATTTTAATTGAATGCTCTTCACATTTATTTTTTCAAGTAATGATTTATTTGATCAAGATAGAGAAAATGTATTAAATTTTATATTAAAAAATTAACATTCTATGTGAGAAAATACATTTCAATTAGGAAAATTTAATCTTGACATTTGTCCATTGAGAAGGAAGCTATTTTTTTTTTTTTACTATCTGTTTGTACTAGAAGATACTCCAAACTGCCAAAAATAGAGGTCTCTGCTAATTTTCGTTACCTTTTCACTACTTCCCACCACTTAGTTATTTTATTCCACCACTTAGTTATTTTATAAAAAATTAGCCTATACTAATAAAAATGGTATTAACTTCAGCTCTTCAATAAGTTTTTTGTTTTTATATTGGTAAAGGAAGAATACATGTTTTTGTAGCTTGAAAAACATTGCCACATCACTGAGCGTAATTTTGTCAAAAAATAGGTCCTTACTGCTACATTTTGCCAGAATTTAATTAAGAAATGGTGCATTTTTATTAATGTTTTTCAACTCTTAATAAATTATTTTACCAAGCATATTCCTTTTTAAATGTACATTAACTTTAGTTACAAATAAATAACCTTTTTACATATCAGTTTTATTTTAGTAATTTTTTTGTCAATTTTAAAATACAGACTTGAAGCTGTGTTATGGCTTAATTTCCCCCCCCCCCCCCCCCCCCCCCCCCCCCCTTATTTTCTCATTGAGTCATTTAACTTATTTTAATTTATATACTTAGGTGGTTTTCCTCTTTAAATTGATATGAAGGTGATTGTTGTGGATGCAATTGAAAATATTTTGAAAACGAAGTAGGATTAAGACACGGTATAAGTTAGGCACGTTATACCTGTTCTAAAAAAATTGTCTAGGTTTGAGATAATTGTTGCTTAAGTCAGGTCCTAATAGGGCAGCAAAGTGTAAAACCAGTTTCTTAAGCGCATAACTTTTTTCCAATTGTCCTATAGACATAGAATTGGTACCCACATTAATAAAATCATTAGTACTTTGCAGAAAGGTTGTGTGTCTGATTTGAAAAATTCGTTAGGTGTACCTAGTACTAGTAGTTGATAAATATTTGTACAACTTGTAAAGTTAATTTTGTATTTTTAATGTCTTTTTGGTCTATGCTAAATGACTAATTCTGTTTTGTTTTATTTAGCTTGCAAGGATGGTTTCAAATCACTTCAGGGAACAAGAACAAAAAGAAATGAGGGCAGAGAAAGAAGAGGCCATCAAACTTAAAAAAATAGCTAGCCAGATGGCAAAGATGGTTAAAGAGTTTTGGACAAATATAGAGAAGGTATTTTTGTTCATCTTTTTGAATAGTCCAATATTGCCATGACTAGGCTTGGTGCATCAAATAACATAACTTTTTGTTTTTAAGGTTGTACAATACAAACAGACCCAGAGGCTTGAAGAAAAGAAAAAAAAAGCACTTGATCTCCATCTTAGTTTTATTGTTGACCAAACTGAGAAATATTCATCTTGGTTAACGGAAGGTTTACAGAAAGCTGAAGGTAGCAGAACATCCTCAGATGTAGAGTTTTCAATTGACAGTGGGGATGGTATGTTATGAAAAGATTAGATTATTTTTAAATTAACTGGTGCATAATGTATTATGAATTTTTAAAATTTGGTCTAGATATTAAACTATTTTGTTACTTTCAGAATTTCAACCAGTTGGTACAGCTAGTGATGATGAGGAAACAATTGAAAGAGAAGAAATAGAATCTGGCTTAGATGAAGTATGCATTTTACTGTGTTTGGCTTGCCTTATTCATTCAGACTAATTTGTTTAGGAATTTTTTTTTTTAATAGTAAAAAATAGTTTATTGGTAGCTAATTGTCTTTCTAGAATGCTACTAAGAGGGAAGTTGAAGAACTGCAAAAAGAGAGTGAACTACCATTGGAAGAGCTTTTGAAAACTTTACCTAAGGAGATGCTAGATGAGCCATCAAGTCAAATTCCTTTTGATTATGAAAGTAGTGAAGAGTCTATTGGTTCTAAGGTATGGAGTACTGACTTGCTTTATTTAATAGTTTGTATCCTCTTCTCGCTTCTCTGAATTAGCCAAATAATTCCAACTAAGTGGCTTTTTTGTGTACATGACAAAATATCTGGACATTTAGGGGCTGACTGTATGGTAAAAAGTAAGTATGGCTATTACCTACTTAAATGTAAATGAGTTTTAATAGAGCTTTAGAGTCACCATTTTGACCTTTGTTATTATGGTGCTAAAAGTCTCTTATATTACTTTCAGAAATGCAAACTGATCCTGTTTTGTTTTTGAGATCAAAATATCATTTTTGAGACACTTGTTTTTAAACTGGTGTTATTTTAGAATTCTGAGATAAATAAAACAATGGTCCACAGTATTGTAACATTTTAGTCTTTTTCAAACACTTAAGATTTATTTTAGAAACTTAATCTAAACTAAATATTTAACTAAGAGCGTAACAATTTTACTGCCGAATGCGGGATACTCGAAATGTAAAAAATTTTCAACCATCCTAAAACTATGATGCTGAAAGTCAAGATTTATTATAATATATAAATACATAACAAATATTGACAAAAAAAAAACATTCTTACACATATCTTTATTTCTTATTCACCTTTATTAATTGAAAATGTGTTGTAGGGGTTTCTAAAAACTTGACAAATGTAATACTTAGAATTTCTGACTATACTGTAAAGAGACAATATTAATGCATGGGCAACCTTCATCTGATACCCAAGTACACACCTTGGAGAGGCATTTTCTTTTATTGGGCAAAAGAAGCATTTTGCATATATAGAGCTTTAGATTTGTTTTACTTTGGTGCTTAAAAGTCTCTTAAATTAACATCCAGTAATATACATAATGATCCTGAACTGCTTTTTGAGATCACAATGTTATTTCAGAAACATTACATTTTTGTTATCCTTTGAAGTTATGTCAGACATATTTTTAGAGCTTTAGAGTCACCATTTTGACTTGTTTTACTTTGGTGCTAAAAGTCTCTTAAATTAACTTCCTGTAATATACATAATGATCCTGATCTGCTTTTTGAGATCACAATGTTGTTTCAGAAACATTACATTTTTGTTATCCTTTTGTTATGTCAAACATATTCAGGGGTGCCACTTTTCCGGGATATCCCGGATTTCCGGATTCGAGAATCATATTTTTTTCCCTTTCCGGATTCGCAAGATTTGAGTTTGAAAATTTCCGGGTTTGCAGTTTAAAAAAAAATTTTGATCGTTTTAAGCTTGAAAATTTTGGTATTGTAAAAATTGTTTTTATCATCAACACTCCCGCTAATAGCCTTTTCCGAAAAAAAAAGAATAGTAAATGACGTCAGCAACAATCTCACGCGTGCGCCAAGGACCAAATAAAAATCAGCTGTATCAGATGGGTGAGGCTGTAAACGAAACTTTTTGATGTCATTCGTGGTGTGGCTGTCTGGCTATTTTTTATGACGATATGGGTTGGGGGTAAAACTCGTATTATTTACGTGATGTCATCAATGGGATACCGCTAGGCTGTGTAATAAAACAACTAAATTCTACAATTACTAGATCTAGCTCACTAGCATCGCCGATCGTCTTTTAAAAAAACAAAGATTTTGCTCCGAAAAAAGTTTTTTTTTTTTTTTTTTTTTGTATTTGGTATTACAAAAAGAAAAGAAAAAATCTATTTGGAGGACTATTTTATGTATGAAATAGAACTGTGCTGTTTTCACTCAACTTTACCGTCACTTTTTACCACCTCGTACCCGCTTCTTCAAGGTCGCGCTGACCGTAAGACCTACGTCACGAGAACACGCAAGCACAGTCTGAGTCGTGTCTCTCGGTCAAGGCAGTTCTACAAGTACAAGCGCTGTTTAATTTTAACGTGGTTATTTTTAATTCAAGAAATTTTTTTTAGATCTGCATCGTTTTATATCAGTAAAAAAAAATATGTAGGCCTGCTATAATTTAGTTACACGATCTAGCAGGGTCTACATCTAATTTTTTTTTTTTTACTTTGGTAAAACGTCATTGAAATGTTTAAACAACCTTGAAAATAGCCGCTATCACTGCCCCCTCCCAACCGCTTGTAAAAAAAACAGCTTTTCACTTAGTCGGGCGGCTACATCTCTGACATGAGTATTACTTGCGTAGTTACTTCTAAAATTATTTTTAAAATTAACTTAATTCTGTTATTCCGCGATATGAACTTAAAACTTCCACAATATTTCTTCACGTCATCATGTATATCAAAGGTGGGGGCATTGGGGTCGTTCATAAATGACGTCACACTCGTAGGGGGAGGGGGTCCGTAATTTCGTCATGAGGGGGAGGGGTTCAGATGGTGTGACATCACACTTTTGCATTATCGAAAAGCTATGTTAGAAAACTAATTTTAGCCGTTATTTCGCGTTTTAGAATATTGTTTCAATAAAGTGTAATAGGAATTGATTAAAATACTCTATGTTGACAGAGGTCAGACAAGATTTTTGGAAAAATATCGTATTTTTAGAAAAATTCGACTGCAATTTTTAGGGGGGGGGTGTAGGTTGAGGTGTGACGTCATTTTAGAGGGCGGGGTCTGGCTTTTTGTGACGATATGTGACCGAGGTGAGGTGGGAGGTAAAAATCGTCAAAAAAGCGTGACATCATTTATGGATGACCCCATTGGTGTTGATTGGGAAAAAAGGGTTTAAGGTTTTTGTTGTGGCTGTTAATAATTAAAGCCTTGAATAGCTACAGTAAGTCAACCCTGTATTTTAATACAGTGACAATCTTATTAGAGGTCTGCATATAGTGGGCTTATTATTCAACAACAAGACGTAGAGGTTAGCAAAATATTTGTTACTTAACAGTTGGCTGACTACACATTTTAACTCAAGCTAGGAAAATTAAATAGTTATGTTATAAAAGCTGTCTGGGGGTTGGGGGGGGGGGGGGGAGTTCTACAATAGCACATTATGGGGTAGGCCTAGAGATGGGAGTAACATTGTAAACTAATTTTGTTGTAAGCACAATCCTTTAAAGATTAATTTTTATTTGAAGCTTGTTACAAAGAAAATAAATCCATTTTAAAGACATGTAAATTGAACATAATAATATATGAATCAAATGTCTAAAAAAATAATGAAATAACAGTCCATTTTATTTTGAAATTCCGCGCGGAATTAAGTTTCAGGGTTTCAAAAATTTCAAATTTTAGTTTCAGGATTGGTAAAATTTTGGGATTCATTTTCAGGATTCACTTAAAAAATGAGTGGCACCCCTGCATATTTTTAGAGCTTTAGAGTCACCATTTTGACTTGTTTTACTTTGGTGCTAAAAGTCTCTTAAATTAACTTCTAGTAATATACATAATGATCCTGATCTGCTTTTTTAGATCACATTGTTATTTCAGAAACATTACATTTTTGTTATGCCAAACATATTTTTAGAGCTTTAGAGTCACCATTTTGACTTGTTTTACTTTGGTGCTAAAAGTCTCTTAAATTAACTTCCAGTAATATACATAATGATCCTGATCTGCTTTTTGAGATCACAATGTTATTTCAGAAACATTACATTTTTGTTATCCTTTGAAGTTATGTCAGACATATTTTTAGAGCTTTAGAGTCACCATTTTGACTTGTTTTACTTTGGTGCTAAAAGTCTCTTAAATTAACTTCTAGTAATATACATAATGATCCTGATCTGCTTTTTGAGATCACAATGTTATTTCAGAAACATTACATTTTTGTTATGCCAAACATATTTTTAGAGCTTTAGAGTCACCATTTTGACTGTTACTATGGTGCTAAAAGTCTCTTACAGTATATATCAGAAATGTTTACTAGTCCTGTTTTCAAGAAAGTATCTTTCTGGAACTTTTTATTTTGTTCTTAGGTTCATAATTTTTATTCTAAAGGATTAGAAAATAACTTGCCACAGTTTTTGCGTTTTATTCACCTGTTGAGCATTGTTCTTACAGTGCCAAAAGTTAGTTTAGAAATTTATGCTGATTTTCGTCATTTTTAGAACACTTTATTTCACCATTAGCTTTTAAATTTAGAAAATATGTCAGACCTTAGTTTTGGATCCAGTTTGGACCTTTGTTACTAGTGTGCAAAAAGGATCTTGGATTATGCTTTCAGAAAAGTGTTTTCTTGCTCTTTTTAAAACAGCTTTTAATATTTTGGAACATTCATTTTGTACCTTGTCATTTACATTTTTATTGGAATTTTTAAATTTGTTTTAGGAGCAAGACACTGATTTCAATATTGAAGATGAAGATGAAGACGATGTAGAAGAAACAATTGAAGAACAAGAAACTCATGAGAAGAAAGATTATACTGTTGAATTGGATGATCTGAAAGCTGAAGGTTTGTTTTAATGTATGTTAAATGTTTGAAAACATTTTTTATGTCTGACTGTTTGTTAAATTGTTTACACAATGATTTCAGGTGAAATGAGTGTTGAAGAACTACTTAAAAAATATTCTGGTGCATATGAAGAAGATTTGAAAGTTCCAGAGGAATCATCAGAAGATGAAGAAAGTAGTGGAGATAGTGATGAGGATATTACAGGTAAGCTTGTTTGTCATCTAAAACTTAAAATACTAAAGCTTAGTTCCTTCATGATCTAAATGCTTAAATTATTATCAAATACAAATTTTAATATTTTAGAGTCTGAAAAGGAGTCCTCAGCTGAAGAGGAAGAAGAAATGGTACAAGAGAAAGCTAATGAAAATGAAGACCCTGTAAAGAAGGAAGATTTTGGTTTAGAATTTTTAGTAAAGGAGGAAGAAAAAACTCAGGTATGTATGATTTCAAAATTTAGAATCTGCTGCATATATTAACTACATCATTTACGTAATTTTCTTACCTTGCTAAAAACTAGCTTCTGAAGGTCCTGGTCTTCAGAATATGTTATTTTCCAGTTGGAAAATTTAGAGCTTTTAAAAAGAATGAATTTTTTTCAACATTTAAAAATTTTAGGCTATTGAATGCAGTACTGAAGGTCCTGGGAAAGAGTTTAATGATATTGCAGCTGCTGCCCAAAGCTTACAGCCCAAAGGCTACACACTGGAAACAACAGAGGTATTTAATTTTTTAAGGGTACTTGCTAAATTGTTGCTTGTGCATTGACATTTCAAATTTAAACATTGGTAAATTTCTTTTAACTTTATTTTAAGGTGAAAACTAAAGTGCCTTTTTTGTTGAAACATACATTGAGAGAATATCAGCATGTTGGCTTGGACTGGTTAGCTACCATGCATGATAAAAGGTTGAATGGAATTCTAGCTGATGAAATGGGATTAGGAAAAACTATTCAAACCATTGCTATGTTAGCACATTTAGCCTGTGACAAAGGTTAGTATTGTTAATAATAACTTTGCAACTACACATACATTAGCATTATTTTTCTGTTATATATCTTGCTGATTTTTAAGCTTAGTAGTTAAATCATTTTCAAAGAAAAAGTTGACTGCTGTAACTTAAGAGTGTTTGATTTACAGGGATTTGGGGACCACATCTTATTGTTGTACCTACTAGTGTTATGTTGAATTGGGAAATGGAGTTCAAGAAATGGTGTCCAGCTTTTAAAATTCTTACATACTATGGCAGTATTAAAGAAAGAAAGCTCAAAAGACAGGTGATTTACATCGATTTGATTTTTCATTACATTTCAACAAGAATTGTTTTAACATTTGTTAACAGTTACTTTTTATCTTCTGAAATATAGGGCTGGACGAAAACAAATGCATTCCATGTATGTATTACCTCTTATAAACTTGTGGTTCAGGATCATCAAGCATTCCGGAGAAAAAAATGGAAATATTTTATATTAGATGAGGTGGGTTTCTGAAACATTGGTTCAAAATGTTGTGTATACACTTTAAAATTCTAGCAAATATTAACTTAATTTTTTTTTTTTTAAATGTTCCCAGGATATGCGAAATTTTAAAAAATTTATTTTTTATATATTTCATTTAGGCCCAAAACATAAAAAATTTCAAGTCACAGCGCTGGCAAATGCTGCTCAATTTTTCAAGTCAGCGGCGTCTGTTGTTAACAGGAACTCCACTTCAAAATTCGCTCATGGAATTGTGGTCATTAATGCATTTTCTTATGCCTAATGTGTTCCAGTCCCATTCTGAATTCAAAGAATGGTTTTCAAATCCTCTTACTGGAATGATTGAGGGTAGTCAAGAATATAATGAGAGTCTGGTGCGACGCTTGCACAAGGTTTGTATCATACTTTTAAATATAAATTTTTTTGTTTTATTTTAGCAGGTTAATTCTTGATTGATTTCTTTATTTCAGGTTTTGAGGCCTTTTCTTCTAAGACGTTTAAAAAATGAAGTAGAGAAGCAGATGCCTCAGAAGTTTGAGCATGTTGTCATGTGTAGATTATCTAAGAGACAAAGATTTCTTTATGATGATTTCATGTCACAGACAAAGTAAGATACTTATCTAAGAGACAAAGATTTCTTTATGATTTTATGTCACAAAATAAGATGTCCTTATAGCAGTTATTGTTTAGCATGTAATTGGGATGCTGAAATCCTTGATTTACACAATCTTAAAAGCAATTACAATAATTTATGAATTTTTCTTTCTTACCAGGACTAAAGAAACATTAGCTACTGGTCATTTTATGAGTGTTATAAACATACTAATGCAACTAAGGAAGGTATGTAATCATCCAGATCTGTTCGATCCTCGACCTATTGTCTCACCATTTAAGATGGAAGGTATTGTTTACAGTACAGCATCTTTAGTCACAAGAATTTTGGAGTATGATCCATTACGGGTAAGACATTCATTTGATTTGGTGTTGAGTAAAATTTATTGTTGTGCGTTGAGGCTTAGAGTCATTAGCTTTATATTTTATTATATTGCTGGTGCCCCTAAGTCTAAAACATAACTCAGATGTATGACTGGTTTGGCTGTTAATGCACAAAACCAGCTACCCAATGACTGATACACATTTTCAACACAATGTTAGTAACATAATTTTTTATCCATTATATGTACTTTTGTTTCTATCAAACAAAAAATGAAATAAGCAATAAGTACTACTAGAAACATTTTTATGTAAGGCTGCTACTCTGTTACTCTTTATCTAATAAAGTAATTTATTTCAGGATATCGATTTATATTCGCTGTACCCTAACTTGGCAGAAATGGAATGTGATCTTCCAGCATTTGTTGCTCAAAGGGTAAAACAGCTAAAAGCCACTGGAAAAATGATACAAGAAGTTGACAATCTGGCTGATCCCCCAACTCGTCTACCACTTGGAACTTTAAAAAACATTAAAACATTTCCTTCTTTGGCCCCACAGGTACAATTACAATGCATATATACTCCTACATTTAGTACAAATTTAGTTCCCGTTGATTTAACTTTTATTTAAATAATTTATATCCAACATAATTTAGTATTGCAAAATTGTTATGTATAGCTTTATAATATAGTTTTAAAGACCCACTTCAAAACTATTACAGATGGCTAGACTTTCAACAACAATCACATCTGCTAGCACACTGTCAGATACTGCATCTCCAGCTAAGACAGCAATCACAACAGTGCAATCAACTCCTAGTAAGAACTTTTTTTGCTCCATCTTGTGCACTTTATTCATCTGGTTTATGGGTCCCCTTCTTTGTTGCTTCAAATTCTCTGATGCAATCATGGTTTTCAGATAGTTTTTCTGAGTAATTTAATTACATTAGGTTATTTGGGATTTTTTTTTTTTATTCAAAGAGAATTAGTCCTATTTATATCTCAATGTGTCGCATTTCACATTGTCACTTGACAATGTGAAGATTTTTATTATTGCAGTGTCTCCCATTTCCTCCTCAGCAACTGTTAATAGTATAAAGCTGCTGTTACCACCATCTTCATCCTCAACTCAACAAACTATTTTGATACCTAATCCAAATGGATCAGGCCCTCCTATCATCTTGCCATTGTCTTCCATTTCATCATCATCCACATCTGCAGCTATTGCCCAGGCAAAATTAATTTCTTCTCAGCTGCAAAGTAAGTTGTAGGTATTGTGAATTGTTAGACATTTTGTTTGGCCTGGCATTGTTCCTTCATAGAACAAGGTTGACCAATCTTGTGGTAAATGATTCAGTTTTCAGACTCAATACATTTGCTTTCTGCAGGACAATTTATTACATTGGCACTTAATAAAGCTCTGACTTGTTGTATTGCAAAAGTTGATTGAATAGCTAAATTGTTTTTAAAACTTGTGTGGTTCTATTTTTCTTTCTTTAACATTTTTTAAGTAAATCAGAAATAGGTAAGCAAATGAAGAAACTACATTTATTTTTAAAATGTATGAAACTTTCATCTCCAGGTGGTGTTCTGCAACTTGTGCAAACATCAACAGGCCATCAAATTCTTACAACAGCCAGCATTACCTCTTCTTCATCACTTTCTTCAGTAACCACAACTTCAGCATTATCTTCAACACCTTTGTCCACCACAAGTAATACTAATGTTTCTCTATTGAAGCTGTCAACAGTTCATTCACAACAGAAACCAGTTATGAGAGTGTCACCATTTGTTATATCTGCTGGTGATGTTAAACCTTTAAGCCCTCTCAGTAAGTTTTAACCACAATACTTAGTTATCTCAATCTAGACATTGGTATTTTATTGCCTAATGACTTTCTAGACTTTAAAATGACTTTTACATTAGGATTTGCAGGTTTTATTCACTTCATGACATTAATTCTTTTTTAATTGCTTTTGCTTTCCTCCCTATTGCTACTTAGTTGAAACAAATTAATTTCTATTATAGATCCTCCTCAAACAGCTGTGATTCCTAGCACTAATCTCAAAACAGATAGTCAACCCATAAAACTAGTACCCAAAAAGCCAATGAAAAAGTCTGAACTTTTCTTGGTATGTAGTTTTCATGTTATAATTATATAATTTTGCAAATTACTTGTATATTTGTTATAAAAAAATAAGTTATTTTAATCTAGTATTTATTGCCCCACTTCATTTTCATTGGTCAGGAATCCTTGTATCGCAAAAAAGAGGAACGTAGGCAACATATTTTAGCTCTCATGTCAAGATTGAATCAATCAAGATGTGATAGATTTCCAGTTTATGGACCAGACACACACGACACTGTAAACTGTGTGAAAAGCCTAGATGCTGGAAATTGCTCTACACCTCACCCATCTAGTTGTGTGACCAATTTGGCATGTGATGTTTGGCGAAAGCATGGATATGTTGATTGCTTATTTGCACAGAATCGTTTAATAAATCACAATTATCCTGATGTTTTTTGGAGAGAATGTTCACATTTAAAGCAAATAGTTAATTCTCCTGAAGAATGGCTTTCAGAATTGACAGATGTTCTTTCAAGGTAATTAGCAATTTTTTTTATCTTAGCCTTAAAATGCTTTCAATGGCATAACAAGTTAATTTTTTTTTTTTATTATGTATGATAAGCCACTGTCAGAAGGCAATGACACTCTGCAATATCCCCCTCCCCTTTAGAACAACTGTGTTTGGTCAATGCTTACCAGACATAGATCTTTATAAAGGGTAAAAAAAAAAATTGTTTAAAAAACTCTTACTATATTTTTATAGTTTAGAATCCTGGAACAATTAACAATTTTATCTTTTCAATTAAAATTTTACATTGTTTTTATAAAAAAAAAATATCAATACTGAGTTACAAAATTATTTCCTAAGGTTTGTTTTTGTGACACCGACTGTGATCTCCCCTGCTGTGTCCCTGAGAGTTTCTTGTCCAGATCCATCACATTTATCAAAGATGAACTGGATGGAAGCAAAACTTAGACCAGTTATAGTTGAAAAGTCTGCCAATTTACATCCCATTCAATCAAGGACAATGGTTACATTCCCAGAGCTTAGGCTTATTCAATATGATTGCGGTAATGATTTTTTGACCCAGATATTTAAAATGCATTTTTAAGTTAGAAAGGTTACATGTTTTATTTTTTGTGCCCTCTTTATTTCAACAGGAAAACTGCAGACATTAGATCTTTTGCTACGACAGTTAAAATCTGGTCAACATCGTGTTCTAATATTTACTCAGATGACGAAAATGCTAGATGTTTTAGAATCATTTCTTAATTTTCATGGACATAGATATTTGAGGCTTGATGGAACTACAAAAGTGGAACAAAGACAGGTTTGTATAATACATTATTGTTAATCAAATAATAAAATTGTGAATGTGAATTTTACTTATTGTGGCTAGTTACTCAAGTTTGTCACCTTTATTGTGTGATAACATGCATTATTAGCCAAACAGTAAAGTCTTTAATGATAGGGTTGTAGAATTCCTTTTCTACAACTTTGAGAACTTCAGACACATTTGATTAAAATTGTTATACAAATTATATACTGCTCACAATTTTTTAAAAAGGTTATTTTGTTTAGTTGAGCAGCAGTCCGTGACTGCTAACCCGTCTTGAGATTGGTTTACAGGCTAGAGGCCATAAACCATCCCTTAGTCAACCCCTTAGTCCGTCCAGCTCTTCTGGGGTACCTGATCTGAGATAGGGAAAATTATGGCAGCTAGGTCTAGTTAAGGCCCTTTAAAAATAATGTAAATAATTACCGAGCCTAGCTATTTTTAACATACCTTTTATAATTTGTAAGCATTGCAAGGTACACCATAGACTGCACATTATTGAATTAGTATATTCAATGGCAAGTTTTGATAGGTAGTGGGAGCAAGTTTTTACATGTAGGGGCTGGATGGACTCAAGTTTTAATTTCTTTGTGCTTAAGCTAAACATTAATTTCCCCAATTATATATAAATATGTTGCATACCTAATGTGGAATAGTTTTGGCTAATTACCAAAATCAGTCACCTCCTTCATGTGACTGCTTGTGACCTTAGCCAAATATTAAGTTCTTTGATTAAAGGGTTGTAAGGTCTATAGTTACAACTTTGAGAATCTCAGATACATTAAGTTTATGTTGAGCCCTAACATTTAATTGCATTATTAGATAGAGCAATCGTTTTCTATTCTACCTTTTAATTATTCAAACTTAGAGAATATTATGTTTATTGCATTACTCTAAGGTTGAGACATCTTGATAATTAGTTCATTTAAATGATCCACTGGGATAGCTAGAGCTGCCATTGTGACTTCAGTTATTGAATTAATCATTTTGTTGATAAAGAACTTTTTCACATTTTAAAATTATTGCAAAAATTGTTTACATGGCAGAAATATATTTTATAATACATGAACACGTTCCAAAGTATGTCTTGGAAGCTATCATTCTTATAATGAATTCATAATGTGGTTGTGCAATTAAAAAATTAAAGAGTTGAGGAAAGTTTTTAGATAGAGTACATATTCCATTGGCTAATTACCAAAATCAGTCACCAACTTCATGTGACTGCTTGTGACCTTAGCCAGATATTAACATCTTTGATTAAAGGGTTGTACGGTTTTTTTTTGTTTACAACTTTGAGAATCTCAGATACATAACTTCAATTCTTCACATTTATTACTGCATATATTCATTATGTACAGTAAGGTGTCTCCTATAAAAAAAACCCAAACAGTGGAAAAAATAGTTCTCCAGAGTAAACACATTAAACAACTAAACCTAAATCTTAATAGGCATGACTACTTTAGTTTGATAATATATTACAAAGATTACTGCAAAAAAATATTGAGCTGTACCACCTTTAAATCAATCTTAATTTTCTAAATATTCTGAATGTTGTACCACATCTTTAAAACCATTATGTTTGTATTTATGTCATGTAGTATTTATTCAATGCATCATGATTTTTATATAGTAGTTAGACATCCCATTTTTATTAAAGAAGTATTGTCATCCTAATTCTATAGAAATATTATGACTGGAATATTCCTTTATGTTGCCCATAAATTATATTTTGTTCTCTTTGGCTATTTACCAAAATCAGTCATTTACTTCATGTGACTGCTTGTGACCATAGCCATATAATAAGTCTTGCATGATAGAGTTGTAAATGTCATTTTTTACAATTTTGAGAATCCGAGATACATAACTTTCAGTAAACTAATTTATCCCTTTACATTGTTGTTTGACACATGGTAACAGTTGTATTCTTTTGGGCTAATTACCAAAAGTCAGTCACCTAGTTTGTGACTTCTTGTGACCTTAGCCATATAACAAAGTCTTTGATGATAGAGTTGTAAATGTAATTTTTTACAATTTTGAGAATCCAAGATACATAACTTTCAGTAAACTAATTTATCCCTTTACATTGTTGTTTGACACATGGTAACAGTTGTATTCTTTTGGGCTAATTACCAAAAGTCAGTCACCTAGTTTGTGACTTCTTGTGACCTTAGCCATATAACAAAGTCTTTGATGATAGAGTTGTAAATGTAATTTTTTACAATTTTGAGAATCTGAGATACATAACTTTCTGTAAACTATTTTATCCCTTTACATTGCTAACACATTATAATATACATGGTAACAGTTGTATTCTCTTGGGCTAATTACCAAAAGTCAGTCACCTAGTTTGTGACTTCTTGTGACCTTAGCCATATAACAAAGTCTTTGATGATAGGGTTGTAGAAATAGTTTTTTTTACAACTTTGAGAATCTCAGATACAAACACAAAGTGCATTCTTTATTTGGGTATGCATTTTTTATTTAGGTATGCATTTTTTATTTAGGTATGCATTTTTTATTTACTTATGCATTTTTTATTTACTTATGCATTTTTAATTAGGTATGCATTTTTTATTTAGGTATGCATTTTTTATTTTGGTATGCATTTTTAAAAACTAATCCACCACAGCAGTATCAAATCTGGAATTGAGAGCTTTAAATTATTATTCACTTCGTGCTCTATTTCTGGCAGTTTAACCGTGCTACTAATTTTTCATCAATTAACGATGCACCTAATGATTTAGATTTGTAAACTAAACTTTCTTAGCATTCAACAATTTTCCGGCAGTCCTGATTGAGAAAATGTCTTGTATATTTTCAGTATCTTATGGACCGCTTCAATGCAGATCCTCGCATATTCTGCTTCATACTTTCCACTAGATCTGGAGGAATAGGTGTTAATCTTACTGGTGCAGATACAGTAGTATTTTATGACAGTGATTGGAATCCAACTATGGATGCTCAAGCTCAAGACAGATGTCATAGGATTGGTCAGACAAGAGATGTTCACATTTACAGGTACATTTTGTCTTCAGTTAAGCAATTTTACAATAACTACAAACATTTATTAGCATTAATTCTGTGTAACTTAGAAATTGAATTTCCTAAATATCAGGACTATAATAAAACATTTTGATCAATGTACTTAAAATTACTGTTAACATTTCAGACTTGTTAGTGAAATGACAGTAGAAGAAAATATTCTCAAGAAAGCAAATCAAAAAAGATTACTTGGGGATTTGGCTATTGAGGGAGGAAATTTCACAACAGCATTTTTCAAAGAGGTGATATTTTATCAGCTTTTTAATTTTTTTAAAAAGTTTTGTCCTTTTTTACCCTGTAAGAACAGCTGTGTTGAGATTATTTTCATACACAGGTATTTATAAAGGGTACAGAAAATAATTGTTTATAAACTCTAGCTGTTCATATATCAGTATGGAATCCTGGAACAACTAACACCTTTTAGTTAAAAATTTTAAATGATTTAATTTTAAAAAAAATAGTTACTAAATGTTTTAGAAAAATAAATTTTCTCTTTTAGCAAACAATAACTGACCTGTTTGCTGAACCTTCTGGTCTTGAATCACTTGTTGAAGATAAAGAAAGAGAAAAGGAAGCAAAGGAGAAAGACAGAGAGGCAAAGCTAGCTGCTTTAAAACAAGAAAGGGAAAATGAGGAAAAACGTGAAAGGGAAGAAAGCAAAAAAGAAGCAGCCATGTTATCACAGTTTGAGCAGGTAAATCCTTAGGTTGAACATTTTTAATGATTCACTGTCACATTAAATTTTGTACTTCTTTTGCAATTAGTTTGTAATTAATTGTACACAAGGAATAATCATTTAGTTCAGAACCAAATGTTTCTTGCTACCAAATAAAGTTCACAAACTAACAGACATCATTTGCCTATTAAGGCGCTGTGCAAAGCAGAGGATGAGACGGATGCACTTGCTGCCACTCAAGTCCAAGCAGAACAAAAAGCTGAATTGGCTGAATTTGATGAAAACATTCCATGGGATGAGAGAGAAGCTGACATTAGAAAAGAAGAGGAAGAAGTATCTAGGGTTGAGATTGAACTGGCAATGATAGACAAAGAGGTACATGCATAAGATTTTTTAGTTAGATTTATTTTAATTGAAACAATATATTTTTAGCAGGGATGTGATTTTCCAATTTTTAGTGGAAATCCAATTTTTCCGTTTCAGCTGCAATTTCCGCCGCTCATTTTGTTTTCTAAATTTTTCCACCGATTTTTCAATTTATTTCAATTGTTAGGAAGTTTAAAAAAAAAAATTCAGAAAAAAATAACGGAAATGACTTATACGGAAACAGGTCACACACGCATTCCACATATTCCTATTAAAATTGAGTATTACAGTACTTAATTCAAACGGACAATCAAATATGCTCTAGGTCTGACGGTGCGATACATAAGTAAAATTGTAGGTCAAGATTCAAAATCTTTGCAGATTTCCTAATTTTTTTCAAAACACAAATTTTTTTAGTCCAAATTTTCCACGAAATTTAAGTTGAATATTTATCAAAAACATGGGGAAAAGCTATCTAAAATTATAAACTTGTATCACCCAAGCCTGGTTTCTTTACCATGAATCTTGCTTGCGATGTATTCTGACTATAGCCTAATCTACCAGAATTTTAACTCTAATCTACCATTTCTCTCAGCTTCTAATTATTTTACTTCGCAATCTCAAATAATATTGAAATCCTTGCAAAAGGTGACTGAGGACTAGACTTACCGACTTTCTTTGTTACAATGGTGGCTCTTGTGACCTCACGTTGATCTCAAATAGCTATGTTTAGGTTGGACTGCCCTAACTGCTATGACATGCTATAGGCCTACTGATTTAAAAACTCATGTAACTCAACCTGACTCCAAGCTTGTCTTGTTTGTGGAATAAGAAAATAAGATGCGGACTATTTTTAATGAGGTGTCTTCCATAAATGACGTCACATATGGTGGTCAGATATTGTGACCACATATTATTGCATTTTAAAAAGTAATGCTAGAAGCTGAATTTAGCGGTTATTTTGTTTTTAGGAGACTGTTTTAATAAATTGTAACAGCAATTGATTAAAATACCCTATTCTTTTTTCTAAAATATTAGCTCTATTAAACAATTAATTAGTACAGTAATAGTGTGGGACTGCTTTAACTGCCTTAAAAAATTGGTAAAATCATGAGTTCTGGTCCAAAAAAAAATTTCCATCTTTTTTTGTCAAAAGATTAGTAAGTTGCGAGTTATAATTTGTTATTCTTCTTGTAAAATGAAATAGCATTGTAATTAAATTTGCTTTCTTTGTAAAAAAGCATACTTTATGACTGATTTGTAACCAAATTTGCTTTCTGTGTCAAAAGTATATTTTATGACTTATTTAATTTATGGATAACACGCAACTTTTGCCTTCAGCTAACACCAATAGAACGTTACGCTGTAACAGTTATGGAAGCTCAGATGGAACCAGAGACCGCAGAAGAGCTAAAAATAGCTGAGGTATTTGCTAAATTTTTGTGCTACACTTAAATTATTTTTTCTTGTTTAAATGCTGGTACAGACAAGCCTACCATCTTACCAAAAGTGGAATTGTCCTGTTCTGCCATCTAGCTTTTGTTTGGAAAAGGGATTATCTCCCTTTTGGCAAAAGTTTGCATTTCCTTGTTTACTTGCAATATTTACAATGAGTATAATCTAATATTAGATTTTCTAATAGATAATGTGGACAAGCTAGCTTCTGGATGTTTTTTTTTTTTTGTTATTTGCAATTGAATTGTAGATTTAAATTATGCCTTACATAACTTGCAGGGAGAAAAAATACAATAAAATCATGACTAACACTCTCATATCTAGGTTAGATATTAAATCTATACTATCTTCAATCTTGTAACTTACTAACAGTTACTAAGATGTAAATAGGACTTTAGCTAGGTAGGTCTTAACTGTCAACTTAATATTTTATATTACATATAAAGCATTCAGCATTTTTTTGTTCATATGACCTAGAATATAGAAAAGTACTGAAGTAGGAATAATTAAATCAGTTATGTATAAGCTATGGTTTTTTATTGGGGGGGTCCTCAGGTTACTGGTTAGCTTTTTTATTAAAAATATAAGCTGGCATTAAGCAGTATTTAGATGCAGCCTAGAGACTAGTTATATATAACTAGACGCTTACCTATGCTTATATGTATGCTACTGTGTACATGTCATTAGACTTAAGCATATTTTTAAAAAAATTTCGACTTAGTACAGTAGCATCTGATTGCATGTTCCAATTTTTGGGTTCAAATTCCTCTTTTTAGATATCACTGTTCCTACTTTTGGTTGCCAGTAGTAGGCATGTCTGCTTGTACTGCTAGTAATTTGAATATTAGATTTCAAACCCTGTTTATATTATCAGTAGCCTTGAATTTTCACTTGGCAGTTAAAATTTAATTTCCATATTGCTGTACAATTTTTTAAATTATTGGTTTCATTTAGATCACATTTTTATTAGATTTTTATCTTGTTTTTATAGGAAGATATTGAGAATTCTAAGAAGGACTGGGAGTTGGCGAGGTTGAAAGCTTTGAAAGAAGAAGAGGAAAGAAGAGCAGAATTAGAAGAAGATGAAATGCTCTACATCTACTCTAAGGATGAGTCACAGGTGAAGAAAGGGAGGAAGCCTTTAAAGATAAAGCCCAAACCTAAAACTAGTAGCAAAGCATCCTTATCTGGGTCAGATTTAGAAGACAGCTTTAGTGGCAAAGTAACTGGAGGAAGAAAAGCCAGTGGTTCACCCCAAAAATCTCCTAGTCATACTTTAAACCCTGAAACAAAATCTGGGGTTGGAAAAATTAATTTAGGGATTAAAAAATCAGAAAAATTGTCAAATGATACACCAAAAGGCCAAAATGTTCCTAAAAAACGGGGTAGGAAAAAAGGTGTGAGCAATCCAAATGTAAATCAGAAACCAGTTAGACTAAACAGTTTAGGACAGCCTATACGTAGAGGTAGACCTAGAAAAATAGTTCCTGTAGAAAATGTTGATACAAATCAAGAAAAGAAAGAAACTGTTGTCCTTAATACTCCTAAATTGCTACAAAATGGACATAGCCCATCACTTTCTAACATTAATAGTAAAATGACAACTCAAGCCAGAAATGCTTTACTTAAAGTTCAGGCACAACAAGCAGCTCACATTATTGTTTCACCCAATAACACAGCTTTAATTACACCTCCAACACCCTCTATCACAGTACCTGTCACAAATGTTTTAAGCAGTCCACCAGCAAGATTGCCCACTAAACCAGCAACTCCCAAAAGTCCTTCAGATCCCAATATTCCCCCACCTTGGTCAAATCCTAATCTTGTAATTCGCACTCGTAAAGCTGCTGTACACTCTCCAGTTATAGTAGCACAGTCAAAGCCCCCAGTTCAAAAGCCTCTTCAATCTGCCCTTCAACAACCTATTAGTCAACCTGTAACTATAAACACAACTACAATTACTGCTGTTAGTAATCCCATTACTCTATATACAACAAATACAACTTCTACATATAATACCATTCCTGCAACAACAATATTTACATCAAATCCCACATCATCAGTTAATGCTGGTAAAATCCAGTTGACGCCAGATAGAAATATATTTCAACTCTTTACTGCTAATACCTCTAGGGGAAATGTTACTTTCACGCCAACAATCAGGCATGTTAGCCCAGTGGTTTCTGCTACACCTGTTATAAATCAACTCCGTGGTGCTACAGTTATCAATTCAGTTTCTTTAGTTAATGCTGGAACTAGATTTATAACCACTGGAGTTGCTGGTCAACCTTCTGTTGTAGTTTCTGCTGCACCTAAACCTTGTGCAGCAAATGTAGGAGGTGCTGTGTCAAATATTACTTTAGTACCTACTGTAATTAATGCTAGTGGTGGTCAAACATTAATACCAGCTGGAGGTGCCACTTTACTTACCAATACTGCAGGTGGAGGTAGGGCGGTTTTAAATACAACTAGATTGACTTCTCCTATTACCCTTCAAAGTTTAAGCTCAATACCATATGCTGTAAACATTATTAAGACTAATACAGGGCTAACATTACCTGTTAGGTCTCCACAAATCCTACACACATCCTTAGCTCAGGTGGCTGGGCAACCAGGTTATGTTTTAATAACTCCTAGGGCAAGAAATCCTGCTCCTGGTAACTTGCCAGTTACTTCACAAACAGTTCCCATATCTCTAGTGCAAACAATTCCTGGCCAATCATTACAAACTGCAAGGGTACATCTTTTAGCCCAGGTGCCCTCAGGGGCTACAGTAATGCAACAACCCCAAGTTCAGAAAGCACTTCAGCCCCAACTTCCAAAGACTGCTCAGCCAACACAGCAACCACATCAACCAAATCCTAATGTAAATGGTGTTGCAAAAAAAGATGGGACATAGTTTTTTTTTGTCTCCTAGTAATTTGACTAAGATAATTTTTTCTCAGGTGTAAATATATTTGAAAATGTCAACAATCAAAAATGGTGCTGTAACTTTTAAAACTCATGTAAAGCAAGATAGAGGGGCCAAAGTCACTTTTCAATGTTTTTATTATTGGGGCAACCGATAAAGTGATAACCTTGACATATCTATCAACTGGTTTTCAGTATCTTGGTTATTTAGAACAAAACTTAATATATGTAATTAAAAAACGCAAATTGTATTTTTTAGACTAAAGAAATTGTAATTTTTAAATGTAAAAAATTTGCATCTTTGTTGGTGTCCTTAAAATATTGTTCTCAGATACTGTCTACAGAATTTAAAAAAACATTTTGTTCATGAAGAACTATGATCAATAATTTTTTTCCCTTTTCTTAATGACAAAACACTTTTTAGTTTCCTTTTCTTGATTACACATTTACAAGATTTTTATTGTTCAAGTGTTAGTACTGTGGACAACTTATGAAACTTTTGTTCAGAAAATGAGATTGGTAATCATTTCATTTATTTTGTTCTATTGTGACTTGGTTTTTTTGCATGTAAATTCAACTTTAAAAAAAAATTCCCCCATTTGCTAGTGGGTTTTTATAAGGGCAAAAATTGTAATGATCAAATTAATCATTTAAACTTTTTGTCTCTCCCCCCCCCCCCCCATCCATCAGTCAGGTTTTCAGCTGTAATATATTGTATGTAAATTTGATTATTTGCTTGTTGTTAGATACACATTTTTGTTACTTTATGACCTCAATAAAATGGATTATATTTTAAAACAGTGGATTATGATTGTTTGCATTTTGATATCTTGTTGTGTTGTGTGTCCTTCAGACTACTTTGAAAGATAGGTAATGGTGTCAAGCTTGACCACAGTTCCTCTTATCACTCTAAAAAATTCTCAGTTAAATAAAATAAAATTTTGCTCTCATGTTGGTGATGTGCATCATTCATTCTGCCATCAGAAATGCTAATTTTTTAAGAAACGGAAATTAAGGCTAGGTCTTTAATCTATATTTTATGAGGCACCATTACCTAATGAATGGCACACATCACCAGATATGAGATGCAGTCTATCATATCTTATGATGAATTCTTTTTTTTTAAAATAAAAAAATTTTGTAACCATTAATGGCAAATGCAAAACAGATCAGTTCTGGAGTATTTACTGTCGCTAACTCAAGTTTTAAATGGGAAGTTGCAAGAAATTTCTTTATCATAAGGAATTCACTTGCAAAAGTAAACTGGAAAAAAGCTCTTTTGGAAGATCTAAGTTGTGGTTAAAAACTTATTAGGCCCTAATGAAATGTTTTAAAAATTGCAAGTTGTACCTCCTAATATTTAATAATTGGAGAAACACTTAAATCACTAAGTTACGAACCAGTATATGATGTTCCTCAATAAAAAAAAACTGTATAAAAGATACAACATACCCTTTTCCAATTCAAAATGTTGATACACCACCATGTAACTTTTTTTTTGATAGCTGAAAAGTACTTCACTACTCGTTGAGTAGTTGTGCGAAGTTAATGAGTAAAACCATCTATAGTGACTGTAATCATATTCTTTTTTCCTCAAAGGGGTAGGTTATTTTTTATCAGAATATTTTTTTTTCACTCCCAGATGTTCGTCTCTGGTTTTGATGGAGCTGAAATGCCCGTAAGTTATTTTGAAATAAGCTAGTGAAAAATGAGGACATTTATTGTTTAATAATTTTGAGATAACTTTAAGATATTGTTGGTATGAATGACTTAGCTGTTCTTATAGAAGCAGTCACTGCCTTCACAAGCTGTATGAGCCTGCACGGTCTTAACACGTATTATTGTACTAGTTTGTGGAAGTTTATTTTAGACCAAACACTGGGTTTGATGTTTTATTGATATGGTTGTGCCTTCAATAGATGTGGTGTCCTCCAACTCCCCCACAAGATGATAATGATATTTACATGGATGAGACCTTATCATTCTTATATGAGCCACGTGTCATGCCAGAACAAACATTGCCACCTGTTTATGTGCCCAAAGCACACAAGAAACCAAAGACAGAAGCAATCACTAGTCAGTATTTTTAAAAATTTATATAAATCTACATGGTTAGAAAAGCTACTTACATTATTTTCTTATCACAAGTTAAGCTAAAAGAAAATTATTTTGCTATAGCTCGCAAACAGAAACAGCGTAAAGAAGAACAGCCTAGAGTACCGAGATCTTTATTTGATAAACCAAAAGAAGTGGTCATGAAGCAAAGAAGAGATGCCAAGATGCAGAGATTAAGACAAAATTTGCAAGTGAGATAAATTTAATCATGACTGGTTTATTGTTTTTTAATCTTAAGTTTTTTTTAGTATAACAAAGATTGATGTTAATTTCTTAAGTAACTTACAAATACACCAAAAGACTGTTAATAATGGTAATTTACTTGTTAGACCTCTGATCACTAATGTAATAGCAAAAAAATTGAGTAAACAAAATACATAATATATAGAGTGCCACCATAATATCGCAAATTAAATATGTAATTTGTTTACTGAGGTCCATAAAATATTATTAACAGACTTTATTAGCTAGACATAATGATGATAAGAGAGTTGGACCATTTGTCATATAGCTGTACTTTCATTTAATATTCACCAAGCAGGTATCAACAAAAATAATGCCAGGCAGGGCACCTTTGGGTCAGCAGCAACAGCAGCAACAACCACCCCCTCCCACTCCCGTTGTTGCCAAACCAGAACCAGATCCCAATTATCCAGAATGGCTGGTTCATGAAGAATGGGCACTGTTAGAGGTAAAACTTTACTGCTATTTAGACCAGATATGTCCACAGTATTGTTTACTGGACATGTTTTATTTAAACCAATTTTTTACTTTTAGGCTGTGCAACACATACAAAAGCTGAACCCTGACTTGCTGATTGACAATCCAGCACAAATAGTGAATTGGGATTTTGTTTCTGACTTTGTCAGTGTGGTAGGCCGTATTTTCCGTGCAGCTAAACATTGCAGATACCAATATGAGTATGTTGTGTTACCACGAGAAGATGGCAAGATACTCTACAATTTAAAACAGAAGAAAACACCCAAAAGTATTTATAAGGTGAGTTTCTTAATTAACCGCTGCATGATGAGTAGTGTTTGTTCTGAGCAGTGTTGTCATGATGATTCACTCAATACTTCAGTCTTTCTGATTTCTGTGATTACAAAGTATTCTGAATCACTGCATCAGCTGTCATACACTACAGCCCAGGTATGTTGTGATAATGTACAACTCTAGAGAGACAAACTAACATAGACCTCTTTAAAAACACAGAATAACTTTGAATCACATAAATCTCTTGAAAAGAAAGTATTAGCTTGGACCAGCCCCATCTAAATTAAATAATTGTATGTTATTAACGAACACTCCATCCCAGCACAACTGTCATAAGTCTTAACAGCTTTCTCACTTGCTCTTTCTACAAAGATGTATCATAAACTATCCAGGCTATGCTTTTTATTGTTGTCAGTTACATTTTTGCAGCTAAAGTGAAGTAATTTTAATGAAACCAGTTTAAAATTATGCATACTTCTAAGACTATGCAAATTATAAATGCAGTGATGTAATGATGATTATTTAATACTTCAGTCTTTATGAATAGTTTGATTAGAAAAAAATCTGAAATCACAGCATTATAATCAGCATTGATTTTATTAATATTCTGACACTTAAATACAGATATGTTTACTTAGTCCAATTTAAAGATGAATTGTTACAAATTTTAACAGTCAAAAAATACAAGACCACTGAGGACTGAACAGCTGTACTCACAAGAAGGCTTGAAAAACTTTTCTCAGCTGTTTGACATTCGCTTTGCTGCTATGACAGAAATTGGTACTAAAAGACCAGCTGCCATGAGACAAACCATAGTTAACCCAGCAGCAAAACCAACCAAGCATGCAGCCATATTGGCAGATAATGGTATCAACTATGACAGCCCCATGTTGCCTAGTCAACTTGCAGCAAAACGTGCAGAGAGAATAGCCCTGGATAAAAAGAAGCAGCAACAAGCAGCAGCAGCACAAGCACAGGCTGCTTCAGCAGTAAGTTTCTTTCTGCTTAGTTTCATTCTTTTACAAGCCCTTAAAGCAAAATATAACTGGAATAAATTGTCCACAGAATGCTGCAGCTCAAGATGCAACAGTTGCTGCTCAGAGGCCAGTCCAAGCTGCCATTGTTGCCACTGGGGTAACTCCAGCAATCCAGGGTCAGCAACTCTCATCCATTGTTTCTGTTACACCAACTACAATTATAGTAAGTAAAATTCAGATACTTCTAGTTTCAGAACAAACTAAGCTTTTGTTAAGTACTTTGCTAATGTATTCCTTCATGTTAATAACATCACATTTAAATTACTCTATGCAAACTTGTTTTCCAATGGATTGGTCTTATACATGTTTTTAAAAAAAAAAATTTTCTATCACCATAGGCAGGTCAAGTTCCAAAAGTTGCTACAGTTGGTCCAGGTTTGACAGCTGTTTCTATCGCCAGAACACTTGGGGCTGCTGCTGGTAACATCATTGTCAATGCAGGATTGCAATCTGGCCCTTTTGCTGCGATCAACAAACGGATGTCTCAAGCCTCTTTACCATCTACTATTGTAAGAACACATTACCCTGTTTTTTAATACATATAAATTTCTAACCACTTAGCTTAAGTTTCATAATTCTAAACTCCCAAGATTCAATATTTAAGCATTGTTTGCTATTCTTCAAATATTATGATTTTGAAACCACAGGCTGTTTCTGCAAATCTAACTCCAACAATTCGTGGGCAGCGGCCAGCAGTGGCAGGTACACCTACCATAACCATGCAAGATCTAGGTGTAACAGGTGTCACTTCAACAGCAGTCACAGTGGCAGCTCAGGCTGCAGCTGCTAGGTCTGCCCTGCAGACTACTGTAGCCTCAAGCTTGGCTGCTGGTCAGAAACTGGCTGCATTAACTGCTACTGGTGGGTTGTGTTCTAAAATGTGTTGGTTTTAGCTGTTTATAGATTTTAGATTTTCACATGGTTTAATTACTTTTATTATAATCTGCAGCTACAACTCTTCAGCCTCAACTTGTTCAGACCCGCAATTTAACCCCTCAACAAATAAACATATTGCGCCAACAAAATCAGTCTATCATTCGTGCTCAGGCAGCAACAGGCACACAGCAAATACGTGGCCAGAAGTTACTGACCACTGACCAACTCAGAGCACAGCAAATTAAACAACATCCTAAAGTTATTACACAACAGTTATTAGTACCATTTAGAGGACACGTAAGTTTATATATTTTTCATGGAACAGATCAAATTTTCATTTATATTATTTCATCAATTTTAAATTCTGTTACGTTTTTATCCGTGATATTTTAAAAAATATATTAAGAATTTTCTTAATGTGAACAGTCTATCCTGTCAAAGCAAGGGCTATTGCGTGCAACTGCGACCATACCTAAAATGACAGATGAGCAGCTTCAAGCTCTCAGAATGAGGACACAAATACAAACTCAGCAAGGAAAACAGGTGTGAATGGACAAAATTGGAAAAATTTAGGTTTTATTCCCAAAAAAATTTTGTTTTCTTTTTTAAATTAAATCTCCTACACATAATCTAAGCTTTTTTCATCCTTTCAATTTTTAATCCTTTATTTTAACTATAGAAACTACTCCATGTTGAGTAATAAAACTAAATTATTTATTAAAATGTTAAAAGTAATAAATAGTCTAATCATAAACATGTCATGATTGTTTTTTGTGTCACATTTGAAGTTAACTGTACATCAAGTATGTACATCTAAAGTCTACATCTTATTCCTTGTTCCAGCTTCAAACAGCCCAAATTGTGCAAGGTCAGGTGGCTACCATTAACCCAACAGGTGCAAGTCCATCACAAACACCTGTTGCTTTAGTCAAGTCGGTGTCAGCATCTCCTGCTGTCACTGTTCCTGTGACTATTCCTGTCACTGCCATTAATGTGGCCACCCAAAGAACTGTAGTTGGTAAACTGAATTTAGATTTATTTGTACATTTTAATAGGTATTTAACCCTGTCTCTCTGACTGCATTGCATTTTTCAGTATCCCAGTCCTAAGTTAAGCGTCGCAACTTCTTGAAATAAAGCTTTTATTTCTGTTTGCTGCATCATTTCCAAAAAAATTTTTTTTTAGAAACTGAATAGATTAAATTCTTTTAGCTGCATCCCGAGCAACAACAGTCAGTCAGATTCAGCAACAACGCATGCAGCTTCTTCAACAACAACAGCGCAAAGTTGGTGCCCAGCAAAAAGTAGCAGGTAGCCTACATTACTAATCATTTTTATTGTTAGATAACTGCAGAATTTACCCAGATGCTGAAAATAAGAAATTTTTTTTAGGATTAGCTACTGGGAAACCAGGGCAGCAAATACCTTTACTGATCAACCAACATACAAAGTTGAATACTGTCCTGGCTGGCAACCAAATCCTCCATCAAATTGGTCTTGTAAACAAGCAGCTCATAACTCATGGCGCACAACCTACTATAATAACACAGGTGTCTCAAGCTGGGGGCCAGCCCATACAGCAAGTTGTAGCCAAGGTAATGCATGCATGTATTTATTGCAGATGTTGCATGGGTTTTTTAAACTTGTTTAACTATTAATATGAATAATAAACATTGTTCCTTTTAATATGATAAGTAAAAATGTTGATTGATAGACAAGAAAATATATTGTGTTGATGATCAGGTCTTGCTATCCTATTGTGTTTTAGTATCAGTTTTCAGCTTTACAACTGATGGTATGTTACCATTTTTACAGGTTTCACTCCAGTCTGGTAATCAGACCATTGCTGCTGGTACACCTATAACAGTCACTCATGTTAGCTCCACTGGTAACTTGGGTCTAGCTGGCCAAGGTGCTGTTAAAACTGCAACAATCACTTCTCTTGATGGCGGAACTTCAGGAATTCAGGTCCATTCAGTTCAACCTGGACAGAAATCTGTTTCTGGCTTGCCTCAGAACATACAGACAGTACAGGTAATAAGTTTGTTTTTTAATTAGACCCAAAAATGTTTCCTAACTCTTTTTTAAGAGGTATGAGGGTAAAGTGTAAAGATTTTATGAATAAAGACTTTGCGTATGATTGTCAATTTGAACAAAATACAATTATCATTATCAATGAGAAAATGTCAAGACAGAATATTATGTGCTTCCCCTAAAATAGAAACCAGTGAGTTTAACCTAGGTCGATAAGTGGTAATTTTCAGGCAAGTGAAATTGCGGTTAAAAATGTTTTAAATGAAAACTTTTCAGGTGCAACAGGTCACGAGTGCACAAGGAACATCATATTTACAGGTGACTCCTAGCACTGTCCAATCACAGTCCACATCACAACAGCCTCAACAACAAACTACAGTGACATTGCCTGCAAGTCTTGTTGCTGCAACTCTTAGACCCACCGCAACAACTCTACCATCAACCTCTCGGTCTCAGACACCCACACAAATCAGCCTTGTCCCTGCCTCCACACCAACTTCAGTAACAGCAACTATTTCAGCAGTTCAGGTAATTTTGTTTGCTCATCTCAAAGTTTGCTGCAGTTGATTGCATTAATTTATTTGGGCAATAGTTAAAAATATCACAAATATCTGTTCAATGTAGGTTCAAGCTGCCACACCAGCAATTGATGTGACATCCTCAACCCAAGTCATTGCCCAAAATGTGCCTACTCCTGCTGCTATGGCAACAGTTGTTACACAAACTAGTCAGCCAGACTCTGCACAAGGGGCAGCTCAGAAAGCATCACCCTATGCCATGAGGACTAGAAACACAAAACATTAAGCCACATTTTCTTGTAAATATCATTGGGACCAAATGGAAGTTGCAAATTTATGTCACCCACATCTTTAGAATGTTGTATAAACTTGTATATATTGTACTCTCTGCGTAATAGTAGACATCAATGTTATATAATCAGCAATTATTTGCTAGTTTGAATGTTATGTAAGCAAATTGAAATGTATCACTTGTACCTTTTGAACTCAGTTGTATGTTGTTTTTATTAATAAATAAATTGTTAAATTTTGCTTAGTTTTTTTTTTGTTCTGGCCAGCAGAAAAAAATTAATTGATGTAAGCATAATTATACTAACATCAATTTTATAGAAAAATACTGGGGTCTAGGACAGTGTGGCCTAAGCAATAGAGTGCTTGACTGCTGGAGGTGAAACTGGGACCAAGTCTGTCACCGAACTCATTGAGAAAGTAAAGGTAGCTGAGCAAATCTTTCATATGCTGAGGTTACGAAACATGAACTGTGCTTTATTTGCCAATGGATCACTAGGTCTTGAGGATTCTATACTTTAAAGTCCTAGATTATGGGGAAATATTCTTAAAAAAAAATAAACCGGGAGTGATCTCCCCTAAACTTTCTCAAATATTCTTATATAACTTGAAATATAGACATGATTTTTAATTACTTAAACTTCTAAAAATAGAATAGAATCTCATAGAAAAAAGAATTGCGCACCAAGCGAACGCCAAAACAAAATGTGCATAATAGTGCGCAATATTATTAGTACTTTATAAATTTACATGCTTTTTTTGAGAAAACGAAAATAGCGGAAATTACTCAAAATTTGAAAGAAGGTAGAGAATTAGATCTTCCACTTACATGTGAAATTTCATTTATCTATCTGAAATGGTACTCAAGTTATAGGCTTTTGAAAAATTCAAAGTAGAAAAAGTACCACTTCCGGTTATCGGAAATCGCTCAAAAGTTGATACAGATCTACGATTTTGATGAAATACTTATATATGAAATTTCATCAACCTAGCTGAAACGGTACTCAAGTTATCGTGTTTACACACAGACAAGATTGCTTATGTTTAACCGTATCAGTGAGGTGTAAAACGCAGAGATTTGTAAAAATCTTTTTTTTTTGCATGATTACAAGACTTTATACGAGAAAGTAAAACTGGTAAACAATTTTGAGATTGTTTTCCTCAAGCGTCATTATTGATGTGCTTGTCTTAACCTCATCTTGCTTTGCAAATGAGAGATTGACTCAAGTTCTTTAACCTATATATTTTTTAGGTTTTATTGAACCCCAAGGAAAATTATTTTCACATGTAAAAAAGTGATTTCTGCCTTTCCCACTTGAACAAGATTTTATTCAGCAATGAGTGAACACAAGAAATTTTTTTTGTTCTTCTTTTAAACCACTTTTTAGGTGAATGACCTAATTTGCCAAAACTGTTATACTATACCCACATGAGCAGTCATACCTTACTGGAAAATTTGACATACATCATTACTTGAGCAAAGAAATTCAAAGTACAAAAAAAAATTAGTTTATTCATAATTTTCTAAATGGAAATACATCTAAAGATTACAACCATCCACAGGTATCAGCAACTTTAACAAATTAGTGGTGGTGTTTTCCTGGGTGTAGCTCCTCTGATCCCTCATCGTAACCTTGAGTAGTTGCATTGTAGTATTTGTTGTGGAATAATGAATGTTCTCCATCTCCCCAAGGAAAACCCTGATGAACAGACACAAAAATTAAAATAGATAAGTCACTGTTAAAATATAACCTGTCATATGACAAAGTTTCATGAAAGCTTTGTGAGGACAAGTAAAACCTGCCTTGTTCCTTATGCGTAAATGGGGGTAGGCTACAAATTCTGGCCTCTCAGGATGTTGTGGCATCAGATAAAAAGCATTGTAGTACACCAAGATTACAGTTGGAACTCCACCAAAGATAAAAGCTTTTTTCCATGTACTTGCAGACTCTGTAACGATAAACATGAATGAATAATAGAGAAGACTGAAGCAAAAAATAAGGTTAGTCCACTCACAAGATCATGGTATTTGGGATACTGATTCCTGAGGACAATGCCAATCTTTTAACAAAAAAAAAATCAGAAAAATATTATTGCATAATACAACTTTTAAAACAAGAATTCTAATTTGTTTGGAACTACTATGGACATATGTGCTTTTAAAAGAAAATGAATATATTTAAAATTTAAGGAAAGTAATAGTAATATCGCTGCTACTTTTTATTTTTATGAAACATCAAACACTAATGAGAGAAAGTTGTTAAACAGTGATGAATTACAACACAACCCTGATTATAATTTACAAGTAGTTTAATCAGTAAACTTGAGAGCAGGAGCAAGCTCCCCTAAACTTTGTATAACTGAGTAAGGTATGGCACTTCCAGTGCAATAGAGCTTTAGAAAATGAAAGCTGAACTCAAGTACATGAGAAAAAAGGCAATTGTTCATACAATACTAAATGCTATAGAGCTGCTGATCTCTCCTGCTAAAAAGAAAACCCGAGTAGCAATCATGCTGGTGACAATGTTTGGTCCTTGAATATTTTTTCTTAAAACTTCCATTTAGATCAACAAGACTTTTTTAAAATACATTTATTGCTCAGGTTTACCCATCTCATAGATCAGGGGTCTTTTCAGCCCGAGGGCTGCATTAACTATCAAATATCAGTTCGGGGGACAGTTTCCAAGTCAGAAAACCACCACTGAAACTGCAGCTGGAGGTCTTTGATGATCTTGCATGGAAATGACGTGGGGAACTCAGCTGTTGCTTCAGCCATAAAGACCTTGCACTGCTGAAAGTGGGTCACGTTGTTGGACTGTCAGCCAAAAATTTAGCACACAAAGCTTGCTGGTGAATGATACAGTGCAGGAACATTGGTTGTAGAATACTTTCCTCATTTGCTTGTCCAACAAAGCCTTTCTTTATGCCACTCATGTACCACTTTTCTCCATCAACAGTCAGGTCAGTGCAGTCCAAGTTATAATCAGCAAATGTTTTTTAACTCATTGAATATATCTCTCCGGTAACAGTGCCATACATGTTATGCAGGGAAGCCAGCTCTTGTGTTATGTTCATGTCTTCATCCACAATTCTATTGAACACAAGCAGTTGAGAGGTGGAACAGCTGCCCAGCGACTAATCCATTGCAATTCAAAACTCGTGAAAACTCATGTCTACAACACAGCAGGCAATGCTATTTGCACCCAAAGCTTCTTTTTCCAATTGTTTTGAATTTTCTGGGCAAAGTTCCTCAGCTATCTCCAACAAACATGTTTTCCGTGGACAAAAACATCGCGTTTTTTAAAGCTCATCCTCTGTTTTTTTTTCAACAGCCATGATATTGTGTCATTAAACCGGCATATGATTTTAGATACCAATTTCCGATAAAAGACTCTTCCTTAAAATAGATGTGTTGGGTTGTTAGTAGTATTGTAATCATGACTAATTTTATGGTTAGAAATTAAGGTTAGGCATATGGTAGGACCAGGGTTGGGTTTAGGGACAGGCCCGGTTAGTAGCATTACACACTAGCTTGGAGGTTCGGTCGGTTGCTAACAATAAGGCGTCTGGACCGGACGCTTGACTTCCAACGATTTTTCGGCCAAATTCCAGAGACCTTCTACTAATTAGTTTTAAAAATGTTTACCATGCGCAAAATGGCGGGATTTCCATGTCATAACAACATACCATAGGTGGCAGGGTTAGATATGCCAGAAAAGCATTTTAAAATTTGGTTTGGAGAACGGAGGCTAAATTCAAAAGTTGGTTTCAATAAAAATACTAGAAATTTTAAAATATTGATTTCCATATTACAAAATTGATTACCACAGTAAAGCATTATTAGTTTTATCAGTCTATGAAAAAATAAATCAAATATTGTCAACCGTTTTTTTATAAGACCAGCCAGAAAAAAAAACACCATGTGACCACTATTTGGTGATCACTAGTGAGGAACTCTTGTGCATGGCCACTTAAAAAGTCTAACAGAATTTGTGGTTTTCTTTAGCTTCAAGCGTAAAAAGAGTTGTCATGGAGAGGTGTGTTGTGCATGTGAGTGTCAATAAATATTAAATTAAGTAGGCCCTAATTTAGTTTAAAACGAACTAAAAACTTCAAAATTAGTGCCTAATGGATTAAATATTAAATATGGATGTCCATCATTCAGTAGTCATGTTTAGTTTGAAATTTGGGTAAATTCTAGATTTAGTAAGAAAAACTACGGGTTAGCATTGACATTAGCCAGCCTTGTGTTAGCTAAGGCTAACTGCCAGTAACCTAACACCCCTTTTTCCAAGAAGATTCCATGATTATCGGACACCGGTATAAAAATTATAGAAAAAGATAGATCTAAATGTGGAATATTTCAATAAGAAAATTTTTAAAATGATAGAAAGTTACACAGAAATGACAATGTTTATTCTTTTTTTCCGCTCAATGTTATTAGTCGATCTCCTTACCAAAACCGGAAGTCAGAACCTGACCCTGAAACGTCATGCTCTTTTAGTTTTCGCATTTTAAGTGTTTTTGGGGGGTCCTATATACAAAAAATGAAAAAACTGCTAATCTAGCAATATCTCATCACTATTTTAATGCGAAATGCTAAGGAAATGGATACTATGGCTTAAATGCCAGAAACATTTGCGAGATATGTAGTAATAATTAATACAAGCATTTCTTATGGAGCACTCTCATTAGGAACTGAACTGCAACGAAAAACGACCGACCTCCGGGCATCAGCGCTCGACAGCTCCTAGTTAAATATATATTTGAGATATTTACCATGATTAATTACAATGATGCTGCTTCCCTTCTGCCAAAATCCAATTCCCCATAGAAATACCATGCCGCTGCTATTTTTAGCAACGTTACGCCATTGTTACGCTAGTTGTCAGATAGAAACAACTAATTTTTGTTTTTTGCGGAATGCACTGTTAAGTCTAGTATTTTAATTATAATTCAGTTTTAGCATGTGCAGAAATTGTGGGCATTATTATTGTATTAAAGTATTAGTAATTTTATAAGTATATTGATTTTTTTTCTTCACTGCAAGCCAAGTAGGCCGACTGCACTGTTAGTTTCATTGAACATAATTCGTGACCGGTCATTAACCTTGTTAATATTAATACTTCGTGGCCTACCCGACTGTATAATTTATATGAAATTATATGTAGTTTTTAATTAGGCCTTAGTATTGTATTTTAAACAATGCTCATTCCGAGCCTTTTTGTGCTAGATGTAATTAGGCCTACTGGCAATTTTTTTTATTTTTAGACTTGGTCAACCTCGTTAATGCTGTTGTGTTAGTTAAAAATATAGGAATTGTGTGTAAAATTTACGCAGTTACTCAGTTACTACGTAGAATGATATCAATAAATGAAGTAGTAATTATTTCCTTTTAGTTTTAGAAATATTTTGATACAAAATGTCTAATATTTTATTTTCCAATACATCGTGGTGTGTGGCAGAGTAAACAGAACGGTGCGGTAGGTGACCTAGAATCTCCGAGTTCGAATCCGACGTAAATCAGTTGTGCGTTATTTTATTGTTTCACATGGGAAATGCCACGAGCGGTTTTCTTTTCTTTGTTTTTCAAAAAAAATTTTTTTGAACGAAATAATATTTTAAAAAATAATTATTCAAAATTTTCCAAACATCGTCGCTCGCATCGCTCGCGAGATCGACTGCTTACATTTTCTTGTCTGCGGGAGAAAAATGTTGACACGGTCGAGGGTTCACCGTGAGTTCAGCAGGCCTACCATACATACGTCACAGCATTAACTATTGCTGTTAGAGATCGTCGGTGGGCAATCCCACCCCTCCCCTCATAAACCAAGCAAATTGTAAATCAACTTAGGGTCATTTTAAGTTCACGCAAGCTTACAGGACTGTAGATTTACTACGCATAGCTGGTAAAAAAAAAAAAAAAAAAAAAAAAAAAAAAGAAAACTTCGCCTAACCTAATGCTACTACAGAAGATAATACTAATTATAGAGTATTTAATTTGAAAGTTAAAAAAAAGTTCATTTATCATCTTACCTAATAATACTGTATTGTCGTTACAGTTAGAAGGACTAGATCTAGATTTCTGTCAGATCTATTTTTAGTTTTGGATATTAATTTTATTGTCATCTTCATGGGTATTGATTGTTCAATTCATCATGGAATGCCTAATGTCTTAAAATTGTACATTGTACATAGAATTTATAATAAATATGTCTGATATTTCCTTAATAAACATAATGAATATAAAGTTTTATTTCTAACAAAATGTTTTGGTTTTTTTTGGTAACTAAAATACCCAATGTTGTCGTAATTGCTATGACATCATGCTACGAATGGAAAACACAAACCAACGTAACTTTTTGATATCTTTTGATGGCGAAAAAGAGTTTCGCATTTTAAGATGTTAATACTTTAGGTCATTTTGTTTTTGTTTGTTTTCTCGGCCCCTAATTAATAGGCCGGATTGTTGCTTATATGGCTGGATTGACCTCTGACCCTGAAACGTCACGCGTCGTTTTCTGACGGTTTTTACGTTTATTTTAGGGGTCCTATACACGACAAATGAAAAAACTGCTAATCTCGCTAATTCTCATCATTATTTTAATGAGACATGCTATATAAATGGACGCCATGCCTGAAAATGGCCGAAAAAATAGCCAGATATGTGGTTTTAATTAATACATGCTATTCTTGTCGAGTACTCTTGGGAAAAACTGAACTGTCGCTTTAAACGGCCCAGCACTCGGTCGAAACCCCCCGGCACAGAAGTAGTAATATATAATTGAGATATTTATAATGAGTAATTACAGTTATGTTGATTCGCCTATTTTATATCGAATTTCCATATGAGGTACCCATGCAGACATTTCTGTCCGCTTTGTTTACTATCGTGACGTCATTGTTACGCTAGTTACCTCACAGAAACAACTCGTTTTTGTTTTTTTGCGGAATGAACTGTTAAGTCTAGTATTTTAATTATAATTCAATTGTAGCGTGTGCAGAAAAAGTAAAATTATGGAAATTATTTTTGTATTAGTAATTTTATTAGTATATTGATTTTTTCTTCACTGTGGGCCGACAGTAGCTGCATTGAATTTAATTCGTGACCGGTGGTTAACCTCGTCAACGCTGCGTGGCCTATTCGTTTATATAATTAGTGATGCTCGTTCAGTGGCCTTTTTCAGAGCTAGGCCTAATTACGGGCGTTTTTTAGACTTAATTGATCGGCCGTTAGCCCTTTTCATTGCTGCGTATTTTAAAAAATGCTCGTTCAGCGGCCTTTTTTTTTTTTTTTTTTGGCGCTAAATAATCTGTTTACGGGCATTTTAAGCGTTTATTTATTTTTTTTAAGCTAGACGTAGATCTAGTTTAAAAAATACTTTTTAATACAGCTGGCTGCAGGGGGGGGGGGGGGTGCAAATCGAAAGTTAGAGGGGGTGGGTGCAAATCGAAAGTTTGAGGGGGGGCGGTGCAAATCGAAAACTTGAGGGGGGGTGCAAATCGCCTTTGGGGGGGGGGGGGGCTGACACCATTAAGTGCCGCACCGGGTGACACCCGACCTCGCTACGCCACTGGCTGGCTGTCTTGCATGCCTGATATGTGAACTTAAAAAAAAAATGACCGAACTTTAAAAAAAAATGACCAGAAGTAGGGAAGTAGGTCTGTTTTTCAATTGGCTAGAGGGAGGGGGGGGGGGGAAGAGAGAGAGAAGTGAAGACACCGACCATCTCGTGTACGCGTGTTCATGCTATGACGTGTACTATAGGCCTGCTGAACTCACGGTGACCCGCGACCGTGGTGGGATTTTTCTTCCACAGGATAGTAAACGTAAGCAAGCAATCACGCGAGTGACGATGTTTGGAGATTTTTAAAAAAAATCACATACGTCATGTTTTCAAGATGAAAAAAAATGTAATGTAAAAAAAAAAAATACCATGTATGAACCTCAGCTGCCACACTGTTGACTCAATATAATGTGAATTGAGTGTAAAATGTATTTGTATTTATAAACGATCATAACTGTTACTATCATATTATTTTAAGCATATTTATTATTTATTATTTAAAATTAGAATTTGAAATAAAAATATTTATTATGGTCATTTGATTTATGCAGGTGTTCATTACTTCATAAAATGGTATGAATAACATGTAGAGTAGAATTTAATAAATAATAAAATAACTAGATCTAGTTTTATTATCAACCAGTTGCTTTTTGTTATTTTCCGGTGAGTAAATTACCTAAGCTGACGCAATTACCATGGCGGGAATTAAAAGCTCGTGTACACAAGTCGACGACATCATGTTATGCCAAGAACGCTGTTTTGTCATTCATTTTCAATTTTGATTAATTTTCAAATTCTCTCTTTTCTCGTCAACCGAGTAAGCTAGATATTTAAATGTGGTGTCAAATGTTCTCTTAAGGGGTAAGGAACTTAATGGTGTATTTGAAATAACAGAATATTTTATTTTAAAAAATCCATAATTTAACCTACTAATTAAGCTAGACCATTAAATTTGGTCTCAAATTAACCAGTAAGTGATATGGTTTGTAATGATATATGATAAGTGACAGAAAATTTTAATTAAAAAATTGTAATAAGACAACCTAATGTTATAAAATCTGTCACGTAGGCCAGTCCAAAGCCAAAACCTCAGCCAGCTCTTCAAAATGTAGATCTAGATTCTATGTGCGTTGGTAAAAAAAAGGAGTTTCTAATGTTTTTTAAACACAACAACTAATTCAAAATAAATTATCACGAACCACCGTGACTTCCTGCCGCAGCCTTAGCAGAGTAGAATCTTCTGTAAGTTTGGAGGGCGAGATTGAGAGCTCTAGCTCTTGAAGCCATTTTGTCTTTACTAGGGGACAACTTATCAAAAACTATAATTTCGTTTTACAAAACATGGAACGATGAAAGAAAAAAAAAACATAATCGGAAAAATGAAAAGGATTTGTGTGTAGGCCTACAGTAACTTATTTAAAAAAAATGTTAGGCTATAAAAGTAGGCCTATATCTATATAATATAAATGGATATTTAATTTAAACAGGGCATTCAGAATTTTTAACGGGCGTAGGAGATCTAGAATACTAGAATAGATCTAGAATCTCAGCCGGGCAGTTAGCCTAGCTAAACTCTAGAGAGTAGAGTTAGATTTAAAAATAGTAAACGGAAAATAACAAATATTCTATTTTTAATTTTACCCTAGAGCTAGATTCTAGTTCTAAATCAGCCAAATCTAGATCTAGACTCTAGATCTAGATCAGAATCCGACTACATTTCACTTTTCAGAGATCTAAATACTAGATCTAGATCTAGATCTAGATTTAAATCATATCTAGAAGTCTAGATCTAGAGTCTAGTAGAATCTTAATCAAAGTTGATCGTACACAAACACTTTGGCTTAATCAGGAGCATCCTTTATTAAAGATTCATTTTTCGGAATTCGTCATTCATTGAATCATTAGTATTTAGTAATGAATCATTACTCATAGATCTATATTAAATATTATATTTTATAGTATAGTACTCAGCCCTCTCTAATGATCACTAATGTTAATGAGTACCCTACTCTGTAACTGTACAGTGTACTCTTGACATTCAAATAACGACCAAAAAGTGGCCTAATGATTAGGCCATTAGGCTATTTTTTGGTCGCTATTTTATTTTTTGTTTTAGTCCAACTAGAATCACTAAAAAATCTATTCTATATTTAGGCCCCCTACTATTTATTAATTTAAGTAATAATTTTAATAGATATTTTGGCCCCTCTAATTTGTTTTTAAAAGATTTAGATTCTATAAAATTGTGGATGATTGCAATTAACCATATTTGCTTTAAAACACTATCAGTAGCTCGTTAAGGATGATAACCCCCACCCCCTCCTTACCCCTACCCCACCCCCACCCCAGTGAAAGCAGCCTCCTCTTAGTTACCTCCCCTAAGTTTAAAATAGTTTCAAACTAAATTATCAGCCCCTAATAGCAATCACTAAACCCGGCTCTATGATTGTAAACATTTAGCGTGAACCACAGCTCACCAGACCATGTAGGGGTGGGGATGGTAAGGTGCGGGCTTACAGCTTGGTGTTTTCTATGGTCTCCAAGAAGAGAATTTTATATATAGATTATTAGACAACATAGATCTAGCAAGAAACATTGGTAATCTATCATTTTAGGCACGTAAAATTGGCTGAGACTTGTAATGTGAAAAAAAGGTGACTCATTAAATTTTAGTAATTGTTTCACATTTTTAAAAAGGTTTTATGTTTTGAAAGTTACAAAAATGTTTTTAAGTTTTATTCATGTACCTGTTTTAAAAAAAAATTGTATTTAAACTTTTCAGTAATAAATAAAGACTAGCGATGTTTTCATCAGATGCAACCAAACTCATTAACTTTAGCAGATATCTTGTATACATTTTTTAATAAAATTATAGTGCAGGATTCAGGGGAATCTACTCTAATGTACAGATTTTATATATAGCAAATCTTGCTCGCAAACACTGCTGTTTAATGTTAATTTCTAGCCTATGTTGATATATTTAGCCATTGATTTTGGTTGATTATTCATTTATCTATAATATTTGACACAAATATATCACAATATACATCTATTAAAGCCTTAACAATGAGACAACTTTTTTTCACATTACTAGCCTCGCCAGAATTAGCGTACCTAAAACGATAGTTTACTGAATCATGATATTGCCTAGATGTAGATTCTAGTTGGAAACTGTAAAACACATACAATTTTAAAATTTTGCCAATTTTGAACCTGTTTACTTTTTTAGTCATAGCTCATAGGTCAGTGTTTTGCCAATGTTATTGATAACTTATAGGCCTATAATTATTATTATAGACTCGATATAGTATAGTATAGAATATAGAATATTATAGACTCTAGCCTGCTCTAGCCCTTCTCACCATTCTTTGCCACCCCCCCCCCCCCCAAATTCCCAATACTAAACAATTTAAACATATTTTATTTATTCGCCTACAATAAGCCTAAAAATCTAAAACATTAAATATATTTTTTACTGTAGTGTAATTAAGTGTAAGAAAGAATGAGATCTACACTCTATCTACCTCTACAAATAGTCAGATATATGTGAAACATTCATATAAAATCTATAAATACAACTAATTAATCTTTGTTCTCAGCATGATTGGCATCTGACATAAAATGGATGCCAGAACAAAAGATTTGACAGCCTGGGCACAGCTGGTATCACTGACGGAGTTGGAATCCTCTGCTATTCCAATTTACCTCAACCGTTTTACTATTGGCAGAAATAATGGTTTGTGAAATAGATTCTATACTTCATTATGATATATTATATTATTATGATCTATAGGCCTATCTGCTTCTTGGTCAATAAAGTTTCAATGGCAAATTTACTGGCACATATCTTACATTGTAAAGAATGGTAGATCTGCTTTCCTCACTGTACAAACAAACAGTTAGGTCTTAAAGAATAGTGAATGGGATTTTCCTGACACAAAAACAAAAGTCTCCATCATCATTAACATATCATGAACTTACCATTAACAACATATTTTACACATTGCCATTAATATTAATAAAACATCAATATATCCTCATCAGTAATTCTTATTTTGAGGATTGAAATTGTATCAGTATTTTGGCTAGATTTTATAAATCTTAAACTGTATTTGGACATCTTTAATTATTTTTATTGTATTGTGTAATAAAAATATGTACTGTCTTATCTGTTTTCTGCTTGAAAACCATTTTAATGACCTTATTAATTCTTAAAATATTTATACAATTGTAGATTGTGACTTGCCTCACACAGGCAATAAACTTGTCTCCGGTGTTCATTGCTATATTGAAAAAGATCTTAATGGAAAAGTGTGGCTTTATGATACAAGGTAATTTGTAAAATGTTTGTGGAATTTTTTTGTCTAGCACATGCATGAACATGTAACAATTAAAACAATTAAAAAACTAATGAACAAAAACAAGATTTGCATACTTTTTCTCTTGTTTGCAGTACCAATGGCACCCTCCTTAACAACAAAATTAAACTGACAAAAGGGGAAGTAAGACATTTTTCAGTGCACTATTTCTTTTTTAGCTCATAGAATTCTGGGTAGTCCATATGTTTATACAAATGCTCAAGTGTTGAACATATCCTCTGCAAATTTTCAATTAATATTTTCACTATTAAAAAAAAATAATGTTTTTTTTTAGTTTATTTGAGAGAATATTCTGACTTTCTGAAATATTTGTTTGCAAAATTTTTGTGTTTAAATTCTTTAGTGAAATGTTTGTAATATCCGAGAAGCTGAGGTAATCAAATAGGCCTACTAACCTCCTTAGACTGTTTTAAGAAGGAACTTAAATAAAATAAAAACCTATGTTACCTTGTTTTAATTTGTCTAGCGAAAAGAAATTCACCATGGGGATGAAATATATATAGTGCATAAAAAGAGTGATACAAAATTTGGTAAGTTCAGTGGAGAAAAAATAAAAATCCAAAATATAATGTTATAATAAAGGTTAAGTTTTTGAAGTCTAAGAAGTAATTGTTAATTTATATACTGTTTAAAAAAACAAGTTTGTTTGCAGATATTGGCTACATGTTCCAAGACATGGAGTCCCTTAGAGCTGAAGCCAGCTCAGACACTGATGACACCCAGGAATACTCGTATACATGTGGAGAGGCCGACCTGACTTTGGCTGGTCAGTTTGGATATTAGTTTATGCTACACATGGCTTAGATGATAGTAAAATTAACAATGAAAAATTCTATCAGGTGATAAAAATAATGAACTGTAAAACTTAAAATAAAATTTAAATAAATAGTAGGAAAAAAACAGGTTAAAAATCTAATTAAAAAAAAACAACAGTAGAAAACAACAGTAGAAAAAAACAACATAAAAAAGTACTGTACATTTAAAATTATTACTGACAATCATTTTAAAACACTTATGACAAACTAATTTTTTCCATTCTTTATAGATGATGCAATTAATGAAGTTTCAAGTCCTTCCCCAGTAAAGAAAAAAAAGGTTCATTTTAATTTTTCAAATGTTTTATTTCTTAAAAAAAAATTATCTTCTTAAAATTGAGTGAAATTATTGCCTAAAAATTACTGTCAATACATTTCTTTCATCAATAATTTCTCTTCCAAACAGAGGTCAAGGGAGATAACTTACATAGCTTTTAAAAAAGCCAAACATGATTTGCCTGGGGAATCACCAGCAACAATAGGTTTCTCCTCTTATATTACCTCTCATTAAAATTGTGTTTAGTCTTTGATATTTGCATCTTTTATTGTGTTATTGTTTAAAATAGGTAATTCTTAAATAAAACAAAAAAGATCAAGTTTTATGTGAAATATTGGATTAGAATAATTTATATTTTTTCCAATCACTTTAAATGTATTCATTTCATAGCTTTACACCACTTATTTAAAAAAAAAGTTTTTTTATCTATTTTTTTTTCCTTTAAATAAAACAGCTTCTGATACAGACAATAAAAGTAAAGACACTGTTGTAGTAGAGAAGCAAGAAAAAACAGAATCAGTTGCTGAAAGTAAACAGACAGGAACTGTTGCCACAGCACCAGAAGATGATCTTAAACTCAAACCAGCGGCAGCTTCCACATCAGCGGACTCCTCAGAAGATGCTATAGCAGAGACTCTTTTGTGTATCATTTGTCAAGGGCTTCTTCATGACTGCATCAGGTGAGATACACAAGACAGTAGGTCCTGACTTCTCTTACAAGACATAAGGTCCTGACTTTTCTTACAAGACATTAGGTCCTGACTTCTCTTACAAGACATAAGGTCCTGACTTCTCTTACAAGACATTAGGTCCTGACTTTTCTTACAAGACATTAGGTCCTGACTTTTCTTACAAGACATAAGGTCCTGACTTTTCTTACAAGACAGTAGGTCCTGACTTTTCTTACAAGACATTAGGTCCTGACTTTTCTTACAAGACATTAGGTCCTGACTTTTCTTACAAGACATTAGGTCCTGACTTTTCTTACAAGACATTAGGTCCTGACTTTTCTTACAAGACATTAGGTCCTGACTTTTCTTACAAGACATTAGGTCCTGACTTTTCTTACAAGACATAAGGTCCTGACTTTTCTTACAAGACATTAGGTCCTGACTTTTCTTACAAGACATAAGGTCCTGACTTTTCTTACAAGACATTAGGTCCTGACTTTTCTTACAAGACATAAGGTCCTGACTTTTCTTACAAGACATTAGGTCCTGACTTTTCTTACAAGACATTAGGTCCTGACTTCTTTTTTTTTTTTGAAGACAGTAGGTTCAGATTTTCTTACTTTAGGGATTTACATTTGTTCAGAGAAATATACTTATATGTAACCATTGACAGACTATTGATGGCAAAATAAAACAAGTCCCACTAACATGGAAGATAATCTTTTAAAATCTGACAAAAAATTGTGAACATGTTTCCAGATAAATGTTCATCAGCAAACTAAAAAAACAAATTAACAATTTGTTTTGAATTTGAGGACTTTAATTAAATTAAAACATGACATTTATATTATTACTAAAAATTAAATGATTGGTAATTAATTTAATTTTTATCTATGTGGTTTAAACTCGTTGAACCTTTCATGTTATTCTTGTTTTTGTTATTTAGTCGTCAGCTCTTGCCTTTAGTTATTCCTTATTTAAATTCTTTTTTTTGTTATTTAGTCGTCAGCTCTTGCCTTTAGTTATTCCTTATGTTTATTCTTGTTTTTGTAATTTAGTCTTCATCTCTTGCCTTTAGTTATTCCTTATGTTTATTCTTGTTTTTGTTATTTAGTCTTCAGCCCTGTATGCATTCCTTTTGTTCTGGATGTTATTCAGAGTGGATGGAAAAGTCTGATGAATGTCCGTCGGTAAGTTTCTACACTTTCTACTTCACCTGCCCTATGGACTGTCATCTTTGAAAAGGGAACTTTACTTTTAAGTTACTACAGTGGTAGTGATTTGAATTTTTGACGTTTAGTCGTCGTTTGCCAACTACAAATAAAAGAAATACTAGCACTGATAAGGATAATAAATAATATCAATTTTATAAAAAAAAAATATTTTTTTTTAAAAATTAAAAGAATCATTGTTTCTTTTATGAAAACATGAAATACAATTAATTAAAATGCTAAAAAGCCTTGACGAGAGCTAAATAAATAATAGATTTATTTTACTTAAAGTTGTTATTTCCCTTGTAAAGTGGTTAGCAATTTTTATTGATATGTTGTCCCATATGTTTTTCTCCAGTGTCGTATGAAGGTAGAACGCATCAACAAGAACCATATTGTTAATAATCTAGTGGAAGCTTACCTTAAAGTTAAACCAGGTACTTGCTTGTTATAAGTGTGGTATAAGTCATTTGAGGAAAATTGTTATGTGTGATGTAAGACATTTGAGGAGAATAGCTTGCAATATGTATGATGTAAACATTGAATTGGGCTCCAGTAAGTCAGTGCTGTAAAGAAGTAAAAATTTTAGAAATTTAAAAAACCACTGTACCAACATGTGGTTATCTTTTAAGACATTTTTACAATAAATAACATTTTAAATCTCATTTTTGTTGTGTAACAAACTAGTGTTCAGTTCTAAAATTGATGTGATAATTTAGCCTATTGTGTGAAATTTAATTTGTAGAGAAGCGCCGGCCAGAAGATGAGATAGAAATGCTGAATGACAAGAACAAAATCACCAGAGATATGGTGGGTCTGATTTCTTCAAATCTAGACACAAACTTGTCATGTGGAAAACTTCTCTTTGTTTTAACCATTTTTAAACATCAATGAAAAGCTCAATTTTAAATTACTATCTAACAATTTATCTTTTTTTAATATTATTATTTTAGCCAGCATATGAGACTATTTTAAAGTCTACTATGTATTTTCAGCTGTACCCAACCAAATTACTGAGGGAGAGAATATCAGATGATGATGACTATAGTGAGGGTGATAGTGATGAGGATGAGGATGACAGAACACCTGGGGGAGACAACTTTGGTGCAGGAGCTGGTCTCTTCTTGGGGGCTGGGGGAGGAATTTTTAACCCCCCTGTTCCAGCTTTTAACCCTGGTGGTTTGGTATTTGGACTTGGAACACCATTTTTTGGAACAGCTATCAATAGGTGATACAACTTTTTATGAACACATTTTGTTTGTTTCAGCATTTATTTACCAGAGGAGCTGGAAAAACTCTGTCCTTGGTTAAAATTTGCTGCCTTGTTACACATACCCAGAAATCCTAGCATACTTTGGGTTAATTACCTCCTCATACAAAATAATTGCTTGTACCATATTCAATTAATTTAAGTATTATTTGCATAAAACGTTAATTATTATTAAGAATGCTCTCTAGTCAAATGATTGTTTGGAATTTAAAAAAAAACAACTTGTTTTTCAGAGCTGCCCGACCTATTTGCAGACAGTGTCCAGATTATGTTGATCCTCTTGCTGGCCAGGATTTGGGTATTATGGGAGGTAATCCATTTAAAAAAACCCACTTAACCCTTCTTTTAACATTTTATTTATATGCTATAATGAACTAAACAAACTTTATCCGATTGATAATTTTAAATTGACAATACAAACTAGTATATGATATAAACAAATTTTGTATTTCAGAAATATATTTTTAGATTTAATATGTCAAAGTAATTTATTTCCCTTTGCTAGCTCCACCACCAACAGCAAACCCTGGTCCAGGGGCAGCAACCACAGATGCTCAACCTTCAACCAGTGGTAATTACATTGTCAAGTTTTTAATATCAGCACACCCATCTTATACTGTAAACTTTGTTACAAGTCAATAACAAAGATGGTTTTTAAAACAAAAGTGTTAAAAAACTTTCCAGGCCAAACGGCTGCTGCTGACCCAGATGTGAAAACAATGCCAGCTGCACCAGACTACACATGTCCACCAGGGGGCAACCATGTGCTGTGTTTGTGTTGTATGCTCCCCATGCCAGACAGAAGGGCAGACGGACTGCTGCCCCCTCAGCAATGTAACCACTCACACGTTTCTTGAACATTTCTATAAATCATTACATTCCTATCTAAAATACAATTTTAATCACATTTTAAAAAAATATTGTTCGCTTTAAGACTAGCATTGATGAAGATTGCTTTGTTTTTGTTTAGGTTCAGTTTGTTACAGGGCTTTCTGCCACGCCTACTGGGGCTGTCGTAAAGTAGATTGTAATGGATGTATTGGAAAATTCAAAGGTAAATAATTCATGTTTTTTATAAACTATTCAGCTGACATCATTTCCTGTGTGCTACAATTAAATGCAGATGTTATTTTATGCAGATATGAATTTTGGGAAGAAGTGCCTGACATCGTTAATTCTTGATAACCAGTTCGAGTCTGAGATCTTTAAGGTCAGAAATCAATGCCCACTCTAACTTTAACCCTATCTTTGCTATCCACATCAGCAATATGTTACTTTAAAATATCTAACTTTTAAAGAAAATTTCCATAACAAGTATTAAAAATAAGTAGCTTAATAACTAGAAAAACATGCTTTTTTTAGTTGAAGAAACAAATAATTATTTAGGAATAGCCTTTGATGAATTCATGTTTACAATCTTAGACTGCTTCATTATTTATGCAGCTGTCATAATTAATTAAATTATTTCCTGTGATAGAATTATCTAGAGGGAAGAGGCTTGTCTGTAAAGGCAGTGTTAGCTGACTGTCTTTCTAAGATGGTGGCAGGAGAGTTTGTCTGTACAAGTAAGATTTTTTTACTGCTGCAACTGCATATTGGGTGTCAGGGAAAGTCAACGTTTTTAATGGCAGGGTACAGTGTTATGGTACTGTTGGGTGAAGTGTCTTAAATAGTTGATGTGATGTGTCTTACATAGTTGATGGTGTGATGTGTCTTAAATAGTTGATGTGATGTGTCTTAAATAGTTGATGTGAAGTGTCTTAGATTAAGATAATGGTGTGATGAGTCTTAGGTCAAACTGATGATGTCATGTGTCTGAAATACTTGATGGTGTGATATGTATTTGACCAAGTTGATTGTCTGTTGTGTCTTTGTGTAGATCAGGCCGACCTCATGTCCAAAAGAGGAATCAATACGCCTGTTTGTTATGCTTGTGGGCTGAGAAACTTCAAAGATTTGGCTTATTACTACAGAAAAAACATTCCAAATGATGAGTTACCAGGTACACATTGCATTTGACACATTTGTTAAGAAAGTTGGAACTGGGTTGTTACATTGTTGTCTAAGCACTTACAATTGTTAAGAAAGTTTGAACTGGGTTGTTACATTTTAAAACTTTTCAGCTGAAGTGAGGTCAAGGCCAAACTGTTACTGGGGTAAAAACTGTAGAACACAGCGCAACAAGCCTGAGCATGCCAGGTAAATATTTTATTACACCTGTGTTGTCCATAGACTAAGGTGTTGCCTCACTTGTGATGTCCATAGACTAAGGTGTTGCCTCACTTGTGATGTCCATAGACTAAGGTGTTACCTCACTTGTGATGTCCATAGACTAAGGTGTTACCTCACCTGTGATGTCCATAGACTAAGGTGTTACCTCACATGTGATGTCCATAGACTAAGGTGTTACCTCACCTGTGATGTCCATAGACTAAGGTGTTACCTCACTTGTGATGTCCATAGACTAAGGTGTTACCTCACCTGTGATGTCCATAGACTAAGGTGTTACCTCACCTGTGATGTCCATAGACTAAGGTGTTACCTCACCTGTGATGTCCATAGACTACGGTGTTACCTCACCTGTGATGTCCATAGACTAAGGTGTTATCGCTGGCACCAATCAAGGTTTTAGGTGAAATGGTTCATGCTAATTATATCTGTTTTCAGACGATTTAATCACATCTGTGACCAGACCAGAACTATGTAGAAGGAACTCAAAGTTTACACATGTGTCTGATGGTTTAAGTCATCATCTCCTCATGTCTACGAAGCAATGGTCCACATATCTCTGTATGGGTCTGAGTGGTAACTATCTGATGTGTGAAATGTTTTGTTCTGATTTGATACAATATGATCATATAACATAGCATGTATGGGTCTGAGTGGTAACTATCTGTGTGAAATGTTTTGTTCTAATTTGATGCAACATGATCATATGACATAACATGTATGGGTCTGAGTGGTAACTATCTGATGTGTGAACCATGTTTTGTTCTGATTTGATACAATATGATCCTATAACATAACATGTATGGGTCTGAGTGGTAACTATCTGATGTGTGAACCATGTTTTGTTCTGATTTCATACAATATGATCATATGACATAACATTTCTACTTCAAATATTTTCTGTGATATATTATTGCATAGAAGTTGTGCTGCTTGCATGATTGTCTGTTAAATGTCAGCTAAATGTTATTGCCTGTTTAAAGTTAACATTCAGCTATATGATGAGCACCACTTTACAGTCCATAGTGTATTTGTTAATTGGGCTACATGATTAAACTTTGTGTATGCCGAAGATGGTTTATGTCTGATAGTTAATGGAAAATTTTGTGTCAAGTTTCACCGTCCAACAGTTTGTTGTCTTTGATTGAGCTTATTGATATGATTCTGTCAAATAAAATATCACTGATTAACAGTATTTGTTTTTATAATTAAATATAAGAATTCTTTGATGTTTTATTAAAGCACACAAGAAAAAAATATCTATAAAATAAAACTTAAGTTTCACATTTAAAAACAAAACAACACAAAATAAAATCTTAAAATGTAAGTTTATTATAGTAACGAAAGACAGACAAAAGTTGAATTAACTTGGCTTGAAAACAGTTTTTTTCCTGATATTACAACTGTTATTTACAACAGCCTATTTAATTTGCCTAAATTTTTTTCTTAATCTTACAACTGTTAAATACTACATCCTATTTGATTGGCCAAATACATTTTTTTTCCAGATAAATATAAAAAAAATTATATTTTTTGGAGATAAAATCACAGAAACTTATAAAATAATTTCAGATGATAGAGCTGTCACTCTAGAGGTGTCACATGGCAATAGTCCATCTCATGAGGTGATGGTATTGTCAGTGTCACATTTTAGTAAAGATAGACAACTCAAGTTGCTAGAGAATAAGGTGAACAGTCACATGACTATAGTCAATCTCATGAGGTGATGGTATTGTCATGGTGTCACATTTTAGTAAAGATAGACAACTCAAGTTGCTAGAGAATAAGGTGAACAGAGTGCAGTTTGTGCCACTACACCAAGTTAATTATTAAATTAAAAACAAATAATTGTTGCACAGGCAAACCCTAAACTACATGTGAATTACACAGTATAAAATGGCTAATTATTGCATCTAATTTATTCTAATTAGTTAATGGATATTTTACAATATGCTTTTATTAGAACAGGTCATATTTTTGTGCATAAATATTTTTATAATGGATGGCTGCATTGATGATATATAATCAATTAGTGTTTGCCCTCACAAGATGGTAGCATTTCAAATTATTATTAAACCTTGAAATAATAGTTTTTGCAGTGCAATAAAATTTTGACCTTTGTTTTCTTTCTTTAAGTTACATGAGTAAGAAGACTTTATCAAAACATTTTTGTCCAATTATTAATGCAATTTTTAAAGTGTAGAAATAAAGCACCAAAGAAATAAAAATGGTTAAAAAATACGTGTATCAACTGATTGACACTAAAGCTCACAAATCTTGAAAGTGTTATTTGTCAACATGCACAAATAGCAAGAAATATAAAATAGCTAAATAAACATTTGAAATAAAATAATATTTTTTTTTTACAATTGTTACAGAGAACATGGCGCCCTCTTTAGGCCATTGATGTCGTGAGTTTTGGTAATTCATGACTGAAAAACACCTGCATACAAATAATGACACATCAGTCTTAGCAAAGATATTTTAACTGGTCTATATTAGACGCTGGTGTTTTATTCCTACTCTGACCTAAAGTGGTGTCACACCATAAACTAATCTATCACAGGAAACTGAGTTTACAAACAAGAAGTTGCATAATCCAGTGATCAAGCTACAGTTAACACACAACTTAGTAGACAAGCTGCACTAGCTAATCTCTCCACAACAGATCTTCTCATTTATATTGCCAGAGTATGTCAGTAGATTAAAAAAAACAAGAGTATTTGTCAAAAACAAATCTCTAAGATATATCAACAACTCTCTTTTAAATTTATTATTTACATAAAGCAATGTTAAAGGCTGCTATAGTACAAGTTATATTTTTAGACATTCATAGATGCACATTCTCCAACAAGTTCAGTGTATAGACAGGATAATTTTGGTTGCAAGTTATTTAGTAGAAGATAAGAAAAACAAAGTAAGTTATTCTCTGTCACAGCCTTTCAGATATAAACAAATTTTCATTTAGGACATTAAAATGATCTTCTTAAAACAATGCAGTTTAAGAAATAGTCAAAATATTTTTTTATTGCATAACATAAAAGCCTATTAAAAAATAGTTACTTTCAGCCATTACCCATCGAATTAAAACCAACTTATGGACCTGTTACTGCAAGTTTCCAGATCTCATAGTTGGCCAAACCAGCATCATTTCTTAAAGCTTTCAGTGCAAGGCATCAAAGAGTTTGATCTGATCAACCATATACAAACAAAAGTCAACCACATATATTCTTCCTCTGAAAAAAATCTTTCAAAATTACTGTTATGTATTTTATGCATTTAGCTTGCAAAAAATGAAAACTTGTATGTACAAAAGTTACAACAAATTATAAGCATAAATATTAATATAATTATACATGTAACAGACGATATACAACTTGCAAATGAGGACCTTATTTAATATTCTAGCGGCTCTACACAGGATGAATTTTTCTCCTGGAATAATGCTGAGTGTTGCAGATCTTAATGCTGTGTTATACTGGTGAGAAAATTCATGATCATTCTAACTCATGGGATACAAAACCTAAGCCTATCCAGGTGAAATAAAAATATGGAAAAATAAAAATATCTAATCACTTGTTAAGTAACAAATGAGAGTATATGCCAATTCTTTTTCACACACAGATAAAGTAAATATCACTGGGCTATATTAATGCAGTCTTGACACAATTTTTTGCACAAAAGAACTCAAAATAAATATTTGGTTCCATAGTTTTATTTAAAAAAAATAGCAAACCCTTAAATATAGGTTTTGACGAGGTAAATTCTAGAAATAAATGCTAACCAATTCTACATGAATAATGAAACTTTTTCTCTAGTGCCCTGATCATAAATATACTATTCTAACAATTTACTGCTCAACAGCAGCTGTTTTGTTTTTCTCATGGTCTTTCAAATGGCGGTAGATGCTTTGGACATAGGTAAACACACACTTCCAATCCGGGTTTTTCATTTTCACCATGTCATCCACATCTAACAAGGGAGCAATGTCAGCTTCTTTTCTGAAGTTCAATAAAATAATAACACATGAGGGAACTCAATTGGATTGATAAATAGTGCGACAAAATTAATTGATGTATTTTAAAATACAGGTACAAAAAATAAACTTCAACATTGAAATTAGATTGGTACTTTTTAATTGTACTAATTGAATCAAAACATTTATTTTATTTTAATGATGTGTTATTGAACAGCAGTCAACAAGTCAGCAATGAAATATTTAATAGAATAATTAAACAATTAAATATTAGATAAATAGAAACTTAAATTTTTTTTATTAAATTGCCAGAAAAAGATCTGTAAAACTAGCTAAATAAAAGAAATGTAAATGAAATGTTGATCTTACTCAGCAGTGTCAAAGGCCAGTGTGAAGTTATATCTTCTCTTGGTGGGATCCAATGCAGAGAAATCAAAAGCATTGGGGAAGAAATGATGAATGAGAGCACAGAAGGCCATTCCATTGTTCCAACTTGAGGAAAAGTTGGTGATCTCAACATTCTGTCAGCAAAATATTTGAACATTCAATCTCAACTTTTTGTAACAGTTATACTTTTGTTGAATGATGTTCAAAACAAAAATATAAAATATTGTGATTGCTCATTTTAAATGTGGGCAAAATAACAAATTATTTTCAATATTTACTTATGCAATTTTAAGAATCAAACTTTAGTTACGTTTATACTAATACTAATTTGAATAGACAAATAGCTTTAAATACTACTTAATATTTAGCTTGCAATCTTTAAATGAGATATTACGAATATTATTAATATAATACATTCAGGAAAGGTTTAAAATCACACATTACATTAAGCAAATCAAAAAAAGAAATTAAAACTTAAATAAAATACAAACTATCATGTCTTTATAACTAGCTTAGCAAAGGAACAAACAACAATTTCAAAAATAAAATTGTAAAGCACAAACATAAAATGACTCAAGAATGCATTATTTCCCATTACCAATGTTAAGTTACTTCAAATCTGGCAAGTTTCAAACTGTTTTTAATTTAAACAAAACTGGTTAATTTTTTAAAAATCTTCTCACTAATAACAACTACTCTTTCATTGTTAAACCAAATACCCCTAGTTAATCTTATTTAAATTAAAAATTATGTTTAGTTAAGAGATAAAAATTAAAGGTATAAAAGTACATTATAATTGAGTTTTTTCTTTCCCAAGTTCTTATAATTTTGTGAAGAAAAAAATAAAAATTTTGAAGAGCAAGCAACACTGCATCTAAGAGACATGTTTACTCTCTATCAGAATATTTAACAATCAACATACAGAAAACAAATTCATGGATAGCTATGTCATGCTTTTTTAGTTTTTCATCTATTTTATAGCCTTCAGCTTAAACCAATGTAAATTCTTTCTTCATGCAAATACAGAAAATAAATATAAAACTTTTTTTTTTTTTTTTTAAATTTAATGTGTATAACAATAGCATGCAAGGCTTTCACACCCTTCTCCATAATTTATTCAGTAAATAAATTCAGATTATTTTTAAGCTGATATTTTGAAGTTTCTATTTAACACATTTAGATCACAAATTTGTTGCTTTTTAAGAAGAGCCAGAATAAAATATGTTTGTACGATAACATAAGAAGAGGCATTATTTGAATGAATTTTAATTTTATATGGGATTGTCTTTAAGAAAAGAACATTAATTTTAAAAAATGATATAGATAGTAGTGTAGCAGCTAGCATTAGCTAGTTTAAGTCAAGAGTTGAGCCCAGGTCTATTAATATGACAACACGCCTGTATGTTAGATGGGTATAAGCAAGAAACCAGTTACATGCAGATTTATTTATTTGTGTTAGTAGTGGATACATGAGGAATAAACAACAGCCATTTTGTGTGTTGTAGATTTACCGGATACTCTCTAGTCATGGCCTTGGTCCAGTCCAAGAGAACTTGTTTGATAGCAGAGGGGCTGCGTGCCAGTGCAGCTCTGGATGATGGGGGCGGGAGAGTTAGATGTGCAAGGAGATGGGGGGAAGAAAATAGTGCAAGAATATATAAATTAATCATTACAGAATCATTTATTATGCAAGCTGAATGAACAGAGACGTTTCTGTAGGTTGAAGATCCAAGTTGGCTAGAAACTGAAATTTGAGAAAAATTCAGGAAAATTAACCTTTGAACTTTTAGTTTGACTTACTATTCCCAAAGCAGTTGTGAAATAAAATGTAAGTTTCAAATTCATATGTTCAAAGGTATATTTTTCTGAAGAAATTAGTGCTAATATAAAAGCAAAGGTTCCCAGGTTTTATAAATGTCTACCTCATATTCTGCAGTGTTAGCTCGGCAGAAATTGAGAATTTCTTCCTTAATTTCTACTACATTACGTTTCATTGTAGTGGCCGCTCTCTTCACAAGGGAAACTGTAACAAGGCCACTAAGGGGAGAGAACATCAATATTTTTAAATGGAAACTTTTCCTGCATACTAAACTAAATGTAGAAAAACTTTGTTTAAAAAAATTGAATATTAAAAATATAAAATGAAAATAAAATCTTTAGTAAACTATAACATTTAAAGTGTTGCATTTTTTTTAAAGCTATTAGAACATGGTAATGGTAGTGTATTCAAACAGTTTACACAAAAAACCTAAAGAGAGTGTCTAGTTTCTTTACACTTAAAATAAATTACGAGCTTAGTATGGTTAGATTAAGACATATTACCATTCTTACTTTTACCTCTTAAAGATGCCCAATATTCAACAGCTGTGAGTTTCATAATTTTAGCCTTAGTACAAAAAATATAATTTAACTTTTTAAAAACTAGAGTGTTTTAATAATATAAATTTTTCCCAAAATGTATTATAATAAAATATAGCAATTAAAGAAGCCAAATTTAAATTCTTTTAATAAATAAGGCAGTAAAGCTTACTTGATTATACTGAGGGTTTTGGCATTAGAATTATAAATAAATGCAGGTGTATATGCATACATAAACACACACATTTATGTGCATATGTTTATAGACCATACATATCCTAATGTTGATGAGCCAACATTGTTTTTTATAGCCAATAGTAATAAAATAAAGTTTACTCTTTTTAGAACAAAATTATTTTTCTCCTTCTATGCTGGACTGTAGAGGGTTAAAATGATACATCAGCAGAGCCATATGGTGGCATTATATTGTTGGGATATGTTTTATATATCTTTCTTGTTAGATGCGCCATAAAATATTATTTTTTAATGTAATTATTAATTTTTGAAGCATAGTTTCTTTTACAATTGATAGTTCCTAAAATGTTTGGCGTTCTTGAAACACAAAGCAGTGAAGACAACTGTAATATAACATGCACTGTCTCAATATCTATGCTGAAAACAAATATATTGTTAACCTTACACTTATAATTTGGGGGGGGGGTATATAGACACTTATACCTTGTAGACTAGAGGCTTTATAGGCAAGTTAAAGCTGTGTTAGAAATATGACAATAGACATGATTTATATATATGACTTCTATGTGACTTCATAGAAATGTTGTTATAGATAGAAGAATTTATGTATGTGACTTCATAGATATGTTGTTACAGATAGAAGAATTTATGTATGTGACTTCAAAGATATGTTGTTATAGATAGAAGAATTTGTGTATGTGACTTCATAGATATGTTGTTATTGATAGAAGAATTTGTCTCATACATGTTAAAATACAAAAGTATTTAGAGCATTGAGTATCATAGAATGAAGTACATGTGTATGGGTAAAGCAAGTTTGGTTAACACAACAATTACCTATCAAAATGGACTTGTTTGAAAACACTGGAAATTGGAAAGCAATTTTTAAACACGCTCATTATTGTCACATGACATATTATTATTGTCACATGACACAAACATCTGACCCTCCCATCCCACAATTTCTAGAAACATTTGAATGGCATGTTACATCTGAGCTAGAAACAAATTGCTGAGTTAAAAGAATGTCATATTTAAATTAGCTTTGTATAGGAGAACTTTGTACACAAATTAGAATTAATGATATGAACTGGAGCTCAAAACTTAACTTTAACGCCTCTTACATCCACCACCTTTGCTTATCTTAACTCAAACACACAATTAAAAATTACCTCTGAGCTTAGTATACTAAAAGAAGTTTCAAATAAAATAAACCTATTTTAAGAACTCATGTGTTTACATTAGGTATAGCAGACAACATGAAATAAAATAGGTCATACTTAGGCTTGACTCCACCAGCGGGGGCGTTGGCGTTATCCATCTGTTTGAAGGCTGCCATGGCACTCTGAGGTTTGGCTGGAACACATTTCAATACAGAAATCTTCACTTTGTGGAAACAGATATGCTACTAGAAAATTAGTCCATGCAGCTAAATTTAGTTTTTAATTTCTATACATTCAGGAATTGCATCATTCAAAGATTAATTCACCCAAAACATAAAATAGTAGCTATCACCAAATAATTTCAGGATGAGGGGGACTTTCAAGATAGGTCATGCAGCGCTTGGGTTAGTGCAGAAAAATTCAAACCAATGGGGAAAAAGATATTTCAGATGAATCAAACACTTGTGTTGATATGGATGAGTTAACAAATGTAGCCATGGAAATATTTCCACAGGTCTAGGTGACATAAACACCTTCTGTGAGTAGCCACTGGTCAGGGCACTCATGACCAGATAGACACACCAGGACTTTTCATCACAAAATTTTGTCATAAGAAAATTTTACAACCTTTTCCCCCCTCTTCAATTTTTTGAATCCAACTAGCAAACGATTTATCAAATTTTGGGTGATATTATTAGTTAATAAGTATCAATTATGATTCATTAATGGTTTCTGGGTAATAATTGTATTACTGGGTTATCATATGTTAATTGAGATGAATATATTATAGTGTGAAACAGTTGCTAGGAAGAGTTGGAAAAGTTTGAGAGAAAAAAGAAACTACCTCCCCATGTTTGCATTTTTTCAGATTTTTGCACCTTCCCATCTGCACTGTTCCAGGACTCTGTCTTTACAGTGATACGACCTGAGACGCCAGGCCCTGACGCACTCATTAACCTTTGGGTTAGCTCTTGAGCTGTCTCCTCTGTGATGATCATGGTGATCACAATGATGGTGATGATGACATATGAAGATTACAATGATGATAGACATGATATAGTTTAGCATGTTAAGTTTGAAGCAGGAGAGCACAAATTATGGGACGAGAATATACTGCAGGATAAGTCAAAGTCTAAAGATTTAAAGTTTCTCAAAATTTCTTTTTCAATTATATTTTAAAATCTTTTTTTAAAATAAGAAACGCAAAGGACTTAGATAATGTTTCCTTTGTTGTTACTAAAAAAAAACTTAGTCAAAATGATTTGTTTTGTTAATTTCTTGAAATTTATTTAATAAGACTTTCATGTTTTTTAAATAAATTTAAAATGGGAAAACCTATGACCCTAGTATTCCAACGTTAAATTTTTTTTCCATCTCTGACTTTGGCTTCTGTTCCTGGTATCTTAGAAACATGTCATGCTGTTAGGTGTAAACAAAAGACACACCACAAGACACACCACAAGAAACCACTACCTAGCTGGTCAACCCCACACAAGAAACCACACAAGAAACCACTACCTAGCTGGTCAACCCCACACAAACACATACAACACATCAAGTTATTCATTCAGTTAGAGACATGTGATTTTTAATGGCAGCATTTTTTTCTCTGAAAATCTCAGAATCTGATTTAATCTTGTGTCACAAAAATATTCTATAAAAAACCATGTTTTACTCAGAAGGCAATTTACCTTGATGTATACCACAATGTCACTTGTACATTGGTTGTATGACATTTAAAACAAACCTTTACTGTAATGTCACCTCTATATAATCCACAAATATTAAGTAGTTTGTCATTTGTTTCTAAATTGGGCTTAATAGCCATTTTTATTTTTGTTGTACAGCTGTTTCGATGCTGTTTTTGCAGCTGTTTTTGAAGTTGTTTTAATGCTGTGTTTACAGCTGTATTAAGTTGGAGGAACATGCAAAAGCCTATAGATTTTACCTGCTGGTTTGCCGTAAGATGTGCCACCAAAACTTTTTGTCGACGTCTCAGTTTTGGTTGTTGTTGTGGTAGTCCTAGTCCCACCTGCTCACAGAGAAAAGGTTAAATCAGCTGGATGTGACTGGACAAACAAACATCACCAGACAGACCAGTACTTTACATAAATAACTACAATAATAACCTGATTTGCCTTCACTCTGTATAATTATCTATCTCAGTTTCAAAAAATTCATCATATAAAAAGATATAAACAAATATTTATATTGAGAAAACGATTTTCTTCAAAGTTTTAAATATATTTGTATCAGCAGTTTAATGAACATGGATATTTTAAACCAAAGTTTAAATAGTTTGACCTAGTTAAACCATTGATTATAAAAATAGAAGTGTAAAGAAGTAGATGTGATCACCTGGAGTTTTCTCTGAAGAAGATGTGGTTGTGGTTTTAGTGACGGTCTTCTCCCCACCTGGCCCTGTGCTCTCAGCTATGTGGGAGTAGACGGCCAACTTGGCAGCTTTCTCATCCTCTGCTGCCCTGGGGTTAAAAAGGAACTCTTCAGTGAAGGAAAATTACTTTAGGTCAACTTTCACTAAGACAAGTAAATTTAAAGTGTAAGTGAATTAAAATTCACAAAATACAACTATCTTTATTGCATTTATTTTTTAAATAAAGTCAAGCGCAGACCATAATACTTGTGCAAAAAGTGTTCATTTTTTGAAGAAAAAGAAATTGAGTAGGTCTACCACAGCTTATTTTAGAAAAGCTTCTTGTTAAATGTGAACACATAAACCTATTTGTTTTTTAAAAGATCATCTCTTTTTTTTTTAACCATAGATAGCATCAGGCAATTGTTTTTCTACAATGATTTTATATGTTTTCTATAGTTTGATCTAAGTTGTGTTTGAACTTGTGTATGTCTGTTGTCAGACTTTGTGTTTGTACTATTAACTTGATTTTGTCTGTGTTTTTACTACTAACTTGTGTTTGTCTGTAATCAGACTTTGTGTTTGTCTGTAATCTACTAACTTGCATTTGTCTGTGATCTACTAACTTGTGTTTGTCTGTGATAAGACTTTATGTTTGTCTGTGATAAGACTTTGTGTTTGTCTGTAATCAGACTTTGTGTCTGTGATCTACTAACTTGTGTTTGTCTGTAATCAGACTTTGTGAAATCTCATGGTATTTGCTCTCTCTCTCATGTGTGGGTGCCTGCTGCTTGTAAGCCTCCATCTTTTTCTTCTTTTCTTCCTCAGCCTTCTCAAACTTTTTCTTTACCAAATCTTCAGCCTCTGCCTCCCTCTGTTTACGTTTGGCTTCATAGTCCTCTGTTGAAAAAACATATTAAAACTTCAGTTAGTTTTGGCCTTTTGCATTTGATATTTAATCAATTTTTAATCTGGTTAATCATTTATTTAAAATTTCCTTTTTGGATGAATAAAATCAAAAGCATATAGACTTTCCATTAAATCAACATATATCCTGATTTAAAATGCCTTACAGATTTGTAAAATACTAAAATGAAGTTGCCTGTATAATACGCCATTTTGGAAATTAGAGAAAATTATTTGTTCTACAAAGAAATAAAAAAAAATCAATAACACACACACACAAACAAATAAATAACAATTTAAAAAAAAGATAACTTTTAAGCTATGAATCTTATTTAAAACAAAATATCTTCGGGGACACAATCATGAATTTTTACTTGTAATTTTAAATTGAAAGAGTAATTACCCCTTTGTTTATCTCGGATTTCTCGTAATCTCGACCTGATCTTTTTTCGCTCCTCAAAATCTTCTGTGCTGTTCATCTGTGAATAGTGACAACCCTCAGATTTATGATAACAGAGACTGTGACAATGACACTCATTTAATGAACATTTATACCGATGATAATTTACTGTTATAGACACACTAACTGTAGCGAGAGATCACCAATGGAAGCCGCCTTACAAAATAATTTTCTGTGAAGTTAAAGAATGCGACTCTGAGAAATTCTAAAAACGAATCCTGTTAATGTGACGGGTACCAGAGAAGATGCGTGTCAGGGTAGATTAAGCGGCTCACTAAACTACACTAAGCTATCAGCCAATTAAAATAGTTTAAATTATCTTAGCGTCTTATTGGATTCACAAGGAGATAGGTGTATAAAAAAACACAACTTTCGCGTGAGCACAAACGTCACTTTGATTTAAAATGATGAAAGGTATCACCTAAACAAAATAGGGATGTAGCGCAGATGCGTAGCGAGGGGGGGGGGGGGAGGTACATATGTCCCCGGGTGCCGACCTTAAGGGGCGCCAAAATGGGTTGGAGAAACAAATTAAAATGTCATTTTAGCTGCATTTTTGCATTATAAATAGTTTAAGGGGGGGGGGGTGCAAATATAAAGTTTGAAGGGGGTGTAAATCGAAAGTTTGAGTGGGGGGGGGGGGGGGGTGCAAATAAAAAATTTGCTCCCAAGGGGGGCGCCAGATTGAAAGTTTGAAGTTTGTCCCCGGGCGCCGGGAAGGGTCGCTACGCCTCTGAAGTAGCGTCATTATACGTCGTGTCCTTACTAACGCTTGTCATCACAACTACATATACGAGTACACACTGCTACACACATATACACACCCATTAATACGTGTGTTGTGTATATAATATGCATTAAGGTATACGAAGATGTAAGATATAAACATATATATATATATATATATATATATATATATATATATATATATATATATATATATATATATATATATATATATATATATGCAAACACACATGTACGCCCTATATGAGCGTCACCTACATGTGAGCGATTGAGTGTGCGTGGAAGAGAGTATGACGTTATGAGTGCATAGTGTATGTGTGAGTGTGACAAGAAAAGCCCCATACATCACTAGCAGGAATTCCCGGCATCCCCGATACACCAGCACCACGTGACATACACCCCGAGAGGTCAACACCTTTTTGCTACTACCTGGGGCTAGGGGTACTCGTTAATTGTGTTCTAGCTCGTCTAGCTGACGCCGGGAATGACGGGAGTAACTTACTCTGACACACAGCAGTAATGATGGAAGTAACTTACTCTGGCACCTAGCGGAAAGTTGCCTGCTTGTTACGTTACTTGTGGAGGGTACCCAAATATCATCAACTCACGTTTTTTAATGCCCACAAATTTTGTGTCGCCCAAGTCTGATCTGATACATCATAAGCTCTAGGTCTAGGTTTATAATGCATAGCATTATTTCTACACAAATATTAACCACAAAATCGCATATAGTATTCCTACAAAAACCCACTTAGAATCCTGACAAAAGCCCATGTAGTTTCACCCAAAAGGCCATATTCTACCCCCCCCCCCCCATAAAAAAAGCCCACAGAGAACCCCTACTAAAGCCCACATAGAACCCCTACTAAAGCCCACATAGAACCCCTACTAAAGCCCATATAGAACCCCTACTAAAGCCCACAGAGAATCCCTTCGGAACGTTACTGGCACATATTCAGAGTAAAAGGTCACAAATGAAAAGGTTATAAAAAGTGAAGCCAACAATGAATGATATTGTTTTGTAGACAAGATCTAACTCTTGGGTGTACTGAGACATCCATTTGTTTAGCATTTTAAAAAAACATTATGATGCGTAGTTGAGTGAATTATAGACACATTGATTATATGTTATAGGAAAAATAGTACAAGATGTGGACTTAGCTACTTTACATAAGAATGAGCTATCCGTGAACTAAATAAATAATGTTATTTCTTAGTTTTTGTATAACACACAAAGCCTAATTGGCAACATTACATTTTTATTTAGGCTGAGTCTGCTCATCTTTACCTGGCAGCTAAAAATGGATTCCCTTTTCCCCGCTGCACTCTAGAGATTCTCAAATTAATTCTCCCCCCCCCCCCCCACCTAACTCGCCCGTTAACATCTCCAATGAAATAGAACTAGCATAATTTTTTTTTGGTTAGTTTGTTTATATGCGCAGCCTATTAATGTCTCTTCACATAGCGAGCTCCAGGCTGGTATTTTAATCACAGGCGTTCATAGTAAAATCTATAGTTCTAAAAAAACAACAAATATTTCGGAATAAAATGCTGTCTGCACGTTAAGTTCACGACAAATAATAAAATAACAGAAAAATAACAGTTTATTCCTATTTTTAATACGCAATTTACTATCCTATAAATTTCATAAACAAACTTCTTGTTTATATAAGTAAACAGATGTATAAATACTTATATATCTATGTGTTAATGTATATATATATATATATATATATATATATATATATATATATATATATATATATATATATATATATATAGTCTATGTGTACTATGTAAACATGTATGTACTCGTTAGTACTAAAGTCCGCTGGTGACGAGGAGCATCTAACCTAAAACTGTTACTTAGCAAACGTTTGGGTTGACGTCTGGGTTCTTGTACAGGTTTAGGACAGGCTCGATGTGACGACAATGCTACATGTAGACATTTGCGCACCGCCGTCAATGGTTCTCACTGACATTTGCGCACCGCCGTCAATGGTTTACACTGATATCTGCGCACCGCCGACAATGGTTCACACTGACATTTGCGCACCACCGACAATGGATCACACTGACATTTGCGCACCGCCGTCAATGGTTTACACTGATATCTGCGCACCGCCGTCGGTTCTACTAAGCCGCACCATCTTGCACCGCCTGTGACTCGGTGAAGTTATCGTCAATTCTACCCCCCCCCCCCCCCGATGCTCCTGACAAGAGACCCCCTCCCCCTCCCCAGTCGTGTTGTTCTAGCCCAGCCAGAGAGCTAGCAGAAGTGAGTACTACCCCACCGGTGTATTCCCACGCTCGTCTAACATTGCGACATGCACACAATGCTTTCAACAAAACACGCCATCGGCCAGGAATTCAAGGAACAGGTAAGCACACGTTGAAAAGGTAAGCTGGCACACATAGGGGTGGGGTCCGGGGGAGGGGGGTATCAGAGGATTGAATACTGCTCACCGCAAGTAACTTGAGCACATTAAAAAAAGCTGCTCTTTGATGCTTGAAATACGAATTAGTTTTTTCTCTAGTCAACATAAACTAGTCAGCAACGACGTTTGAACTTCAGTTTTAACGACCTAAAGTGTTTAGATTTTAACCACGACTGTAAAGAAGTTTTTTTGTTTGTTCAGATTAAACTGTTAGATTGGATCGGTGTCTATGTCTTAACCTCTAATGTTTTCCGCTATACCTGCTATACATCTTATATACTTAAAGTATGTCTGTAATGTACGCTAGCATGTAATTATGAGGTGTAATACACCGAATCTATCCACCTTATGAGGTGCACTAACAAGCTGTATACTGGTAGTGTAGGCTACTGTATGAAGATCACTGACAAGCTGTACACTAGTATTGTAGGCTACTATATGAGGTGCACTAACAAGCTATATATTGGTAGTGTAGGCTACTATATGCACTCACAAGCTATATACTAGTATTGTAGGCTACTGTATGAAGATCACTGACAAGCTATATACTGGTATTGTAGGCTACTATATGCACTGACAAGCTATATACTGGTATTGTAGGCTACTATATGACGTGCACTAACCTATATACTAGTAGTGTAGGCTACTATATGACGTGCACTAACCTATATACTAGTAGTGTAGGCTACTATATGACGTGCACTAACCTATATACTGGTAGTGTAGGCTACTATATGAGGTGCACTTTCCTATATACTAGTAGTGTAGGCTACTATATGAGGTGCACTGACAAGCTATATACTGGTAGTGTAGGCTACTATATCAGGTGCACTAACAACCTATATACTAGTAGTGTAGGCTACTATATGAGGTGCACTAACCTATATACTAGTAGTGTAGGCTACTATATGACGTGCACTAACCTATATACTGGTAGTGTAGGCTACTATATGAGGTGCACTAACAACCTATATACTGGTAGTGTAGGCTACTATATCAGGTGTACTAACAAGCTATATACTAGTAGTGTAGGCTACTATATCAGGTGCACTAACAACCTATATACTAGTAGTGTAGGCTACTATATCAGGTGCACTAACAAGCTATATACTAGTAGTGTAGGCTACTATATGAGGTGCACTTTCCTATATACTGGTAGTGTAGGCTAATATATGAGGTGCACTAACAAGCTATATACTAGTAGTGTAGGCTACTATATGACGTGCACTAACCTATATACTAGTAGTGTAGGCTACTATATGAGGTGCACTAACAAGCTATATAGTAGTAGTGTAGGCTACTATATGAGGTGCACTAACAAGCTATATACTAGTAGTGTAGGCTACTATATGAGGTGCACTAACAAGCTATATACTAGTAGTGTAGGCTACTATATGAGGTGCACTAACAAGCTATATACTAGTAGTGTAGGCTACTATATGAGGTGCACTAACAAGCTATATACTAGTAGTGTAGGCTACTATATCAGGTGCACAAACAAGCTATATACTAGTAGTGTAGGCTACTATATGAGGTGCACTAACAAGCTATATACTAGTAGTGTAGGCTACTATATCAGGTGCACTAACAAGCTATATACTAGTAGTGTAGGCTACTATATGACGTGCACTAACCTATATACTGGTAGTGTAGGCTACTATATGAGGTGCACTAACAACCTATATACTGGTAGTGTAGGCTACTATATCAGGTGTACTAACAAGCTATATACTAGTAGTGTAGGCTACAATATCAGGTGCACTAACAAGCTATATACTAGTAGTGTAGGCTACTATATGAGGTGCACTTTCCTATATACTGGTAGTGTAGGCTACTATATGAGGTGCACTAACAAGCTATATACTAGTAGTGTAGGCTACTATATGACGTGCACTAACCTATATACTAGTAGTGTAGGCTACTATATGAGGTGCACTAACAACCTATATACTGGTAGTGTAGGCTACTATATCAGGTGTACTCACAAGCTATATACTGGTAGTGTAGGCTACTATATGAGGTGCACTAACCTATATACTGGTAGTGTAGGCTACTATATCAGGTGTACTCACAAGCTATATACTAGTAGTGTAGGCTAATATATGAGATGCACTGACAAAAACTGAACTAAATCTATCCAAACTATCCCTACCCACGACACAAGGATTGCTCCGTTGCCCATTAATTTCATGCACATACCAAGAACCTTAATACTTTTAAAATTTCATCCATCCTTATTTCTGCTGTTTTAATTAAATTATTTTGACACCTGGAATTAATAACTGTAGTAAAACGTATCATAAAACGGATGAAAGCTAAAATAATCATTACACATTTTTATGTGGCGGACTTATCATCCCCCCTCACCATTATAACAGCGCCATTCTTTTTGTTGATTACACAACTGATTTTTACAGACATAATGATGAAGTAGCTTTCAAGCTTTTTAATATAAATAGTTGGATTAGTTTACCGGCAGCTGTAACCGTAATCCCTTTAAAATTTGATCTACGGTAATTTCACTTATTTTAAATCAAATTAGTTTGACACTTTGAATTACTCACACTAGAAGCAGGTGCATATTTGAACGCAGTTCAGCTCAAATCTAAGAGGAATAAGTGATGGTAGGTAATGAGGGGAAATAATCCGACGTCTGAGGGGAGGCAACTCATAGCAGGTAGGTAATTAAAGATAAATCTAGTAAACCTTCAGGTGTCGCAACTGCAAGGTATTAGACGCATCAGTTTTTTTGTCAAGTAAATATACAAGAATTAAGCCTCGAAGTAAAATGTAAGTAAACATTGAGAACTCCTTAAAAAGAATTGAAACAAAATAAAATAAACGTAAAAAAAAATATTAAATATTTTTGTTGTTGTGGAGGAACATGAAGAAAACTGGAACGAATCTAAAAATAGATTCGGCTTGCTTGCGCAGCTGAAAACTTGAGATATCGGGTTGAGTTTTTGTAATGATAAACTTTGGTGTACAAACACATGCGAGATCCAGGCAACAAACAACTGGTGGGAGCAGGAGAGAAAGCTACACTCACAACACCATGACACCTTTCTAACGGTCTGTATCGGGGTGTCCGGACAGTACAATGTACACTCACAACACCATGACACCTTCATAACGGTCTGTATCGGGGTGTGCGGCAGTACAATGTACACTCACAACACCATGACACCCTTATAACGGACTGTAGAGGGGTGTGCGGCAGTACAATGTACACCTACAACACCATGACACCCTTATATCGGTATCGGGGTGTCCGGACAGTGACACCCTTATAACGGTCTGTATCCTGGCTGGAGCAGGAGAGACACCTACACTCAAAACACCATGACACCTTCATAACGGACTGTATCGGGGTGTCCAGACACATTAAATAAATAATCCACCCTTGTGTGCACACAAGTTCAAGGTCGCAGGTCAAGCTGGGTGGGTGTGATAACAAACCTGGACACGGCTAAAAGAGAAACAAGAAACGATGCCCGGATGTTGTAAGATGTGGGTCAAATGACCTGTTCACCTAGGCCACCCCCCCCCCCCCCCACCTTCTTATAACAACGACACGAAATATATTTAGTAACCTCTTTGTGATCTATGTATAATGTTTGGGTATTATGAGTGTGTATTTTTGCACGTACTTGTGTATGTATGTTTGTTTATAGGCTTGTAGGAATCTAATAAAAAACACAAACTGACAACTACATGACAATCTAGTTAAGTAAAACGACAACCAAATGACAACCAAATGACAACCAAACGACAACCAAATGACAACCAAATGACAACTAAATGAACTCACCAACTTGTGGAGTTCCTCCTCATCTGTGATGTCATCATATGAAGGCATTGTGGGTAATTTAGGGGCGGGGAGGGCGGACTTATCCCTCTGAAAAATGAAATAAAATTGTTATGATAGGTCTTTACCTGGGTACCATGGATGTCACTATGTCATGTCATATAGGTGGCAATGTCATTGGTTTGTACACGTATAGATGTCACAAAAATGACATGTAACCCAAAAAATGACGGAGTGAGTTAAGCTGTGGAATGAATTAACTGGACACACACAACTATTTCAAAATCTAGTGTCCGGCAATTGACCGCGTGTCTTCTTGATAGGATTAAGATTATCAATAGAAATTGTACTGGAAGATTAAGCGTAATTACATCAATAATACGAGATTATATCGGCATAGATATTTATAGTAATTAACTCTAAACTTGAACCACAACCCACATCAATAAATCCTAACACTAACACTAAAAAAATTCTTAGACACACAAAACAACAACAGAACACGCCATAGAATCAACGTGCATGTATGTGTATGTGTTTTTGTATGTAAGTGTGTGTGTTTGTACACGATTAAATGTCAAACATCATCAACTGAGTGTTTAAACTGAACACATAAACACGGCATTATTCCCAGCCTAAGGATCATACCGGCCAATTAAACAAATGTAAACAACACGTAATGAGCTGTGACGTCAGAAGTTTCACCAAATGGCTGGGTATATTTAAACACGCTCAGGAAGACACGAGTTAATTAAATAATATACACACGTTGTAAACAAAGTTACTCAAAAAGACATGGGTTGATTAAATAATATAAACTATAAACACATTGTAAAGAAAGTTACTCAGAAAGACATGATTAAATAATATACACACACGTAAAGAAAGTGCTAGGATCGTCTTCTCCCCACAGCTGTATCTAACCTGAACTCACTCGCGCTACACACAAGCGCACGTGTAGGGTGTGTTGTACCAGCACAGCACACCTTTCTACCGCTCACAATACCAGCACAGCACACCTTTCTACCGCTCACCATTTACTACAGACCCGCGCCATTTTGTTGCTAATGTCAACATAGACAGAATGTCTGGTAAAGCAGACAACTGTAGCCACGACACGGTTTAAAACTGACGTTTACAAAGTTGGTCATTCATTGTACTCCACGCTAAGGTGTTCCATAATCAGCTGTAAAGACTAGGTCATTCATTGTACTCCACGCTAAGGTGTTCTACCATCAGCTGTAAAGACTAGGTCATTCATTGTACTCCACACTAAGGTGTTCTACCATCAGGTGTAAAGACTAGGTCATTCATTGTACTCCACACTAAGGTGTTCTACCATCAGCTGTAAAGACTAGGTCATTCATTGTACTCCACACTAAGGTGTTCTACCACCAGGTGTAAAGACTAAGTAATTCATTGTACTCCACACTGAGGTGGTCTACCATCAGGTGTAAAGACTAGGTCATTCATTGTACTCCACACTAAGGTGTTCTACCTCAACCCTCCAGGTGTAATGGCTAGTCTACGACACAGACCACAATGTGAGAACCTCGAGTTCATAACAGGACACGGGTACTTAGTGAACTACATGGGGACCACTGGCTCCTTCAATATTGTGACAGTTTGCTGACAAGATGGCTGACTGTGTCGTCTGCTAACAAGTTCTATCAGACACCAGGGCCCGTCACGTGACTAACAATGTTCACAGCTCCAAACGCGAGCAGCTCTAGGTTTAAAGTGAAGACGTTAAGAGTTGAACAAAGGAAAAGTATAGAGGCTAGAAGAGAAACTCGTGCTAGAAGGTCTGAGTCAGTGACTTCTGTAAATGTAGAGATCACCAAAACTTGACATGTCAGGACGGTATTGACAGTGACATTGTCAAGTCATATACGGTGACAAGAACAATTCTCTGATCGATTCATTGTAAGGTTAAACCTCCTTAGATATCTCACAACTAGAATGTATACACACCTTTACTCACTGCGATTTAACAAAAACTACTTATGTAGATCCATGGTGGGTTCAAGGAAATAAAAACAACGGGATCATATCCCAAGTATCACCACTGAGATCCAAGTATCACCACTGAGATCCAAGTATCACCACTGAGATCCAAGTATCACCACTGAGATCCACTGATCCTATGCCAAGTATCACCACTGAGATCGACTGATCCTATCCCAAGTATCACCACTGAGATCCAAGTATCACCACTGAGATCCACGTATCCCCACTGAGATCCAAGTATCACCACTGAGATCCACGTATCACCACTGAGACCCACGTATCACCACTGAGATCCACGTATCACCACTGAGATCCACGTATCACCACTGAGATCCACGTATCACCACTAACGTTCCCAGATCCCAGCCGTCGAGTCAGCAGAGAGCGGCACTACTCACCAGAGTCGGTGTGTGCACGAGCAGGACTGGGGTCAGAGCTCACAGCTGGTTCCCACTTCCCCCCCACCCCACCCCTCTCTACCTGGGGAGCTGGGGGACCCACAATGATTCGTTTGTTTTCAAAACTCTAGGTCACGTGACGGCATCAAAAGGGGGAGGGGGAGGTTGTGGTAGTAGTGGTGGTAGTTGTAGTAGTAGTGGTGGTAATATTAGTAGTGGTGGTAGTAGTAGCAGTCGGGGTAGTGGTGGTAGTAGTAGCTCTACCTGAAGCTCTACCACACATTCACATTACAAAAAAACTTGAACAAAAATTATTGGAAACATTAAAACGTTACAAGCCAACTCAACAAAAACATGATACTCTGGAATCATCCAAAGAGAAAGTGTTTAACGTGTTCCACAACAAATGGCCAGATTTACAGGCCATCAGCAGATCCAGACCACACCAGGTGCCGGCTGGCCAGATTTACAGGCCATCAGCAGATCCAGACCACACCAGGTGCCGGCTGGCCAGATTTACAGGCCATCAGTAGATCCAGACCACACCATGTGCCGGCTGGTCAGATTTACAGGCCATCAGTAGATCCAGACCACACCAGGTGCCGGCTGGCCAGATTTACAGGCCATCAGTAGATCCAGACCACACCAGGTGCCGGCTGGCCAGATTTACAGGCCATCAGCAGACCCAGACCACACCAGGTGCCGGCTGGCCAGATTTACAGGCCATCAGTAGATCCAGACCACACCAGGTGCCGGCTGGCCAGATTTACAGGCCATCAGCAGATCCAGACCACACCAGGTGCCGGCTGGCCAGTTAGGACCACTCTACTCCCAAAGGTTAGCGGGTACAGAACCCAACTAGACTGACGCGAGATATAGGGCAACTTGTTTACAAACACAGGCGATAGGAGGGGGGGGGGGGACGACAGGCGCGGGAAAGTTGGGTTCTGCTAGAGGACAGCACCAACACGGAGCTGTTGGACTTTTTACATGACGTCATCAAGTTTTCCGGAGGGTGGGGGTGGGTCCTAGCGATGGGAAACAATTTAGAAGCTATAATGTAAACAGACTTCACTTTACACCTTACTCTTTAGGTTAAGCTTACATTTAAAATATTTTCTAAAGCGTCGCGTAAAGACAGCGTATTTGGTTGATGTAGAATCTGAGCACGAACACACACAGCAACACACACAGCAACACACACAGCAACACACACGCCTACAGTACACAACTCCTGCCTGTAAGGTCATACACTTTCATCCTAAGTCTACTTTGTTACATTTAGTTCTGTAAGGTCAGACACTTTCATCCTAAATCTACTTTGTTACATTTAGTTCTGTAAGGTCAGACACTTTCATCCTAAGTCTACTTTGTTACATTTAGTTCTGTAAGGTCATACATTTTCATCCTGTCTACTTTGTTACATTTAGTTCTGTAAGGTCATACACTTTCATCCTAAGTCTACTTTATTACATCAAGTTAAGCGAGTTATGAAGATGTAACAGATGGTAGTTTTGTATGTAAACGTAATATTTAATATCGATACTGACTTTAAAAATATCTCCCACGGTTCTTTATTTGGACGCTGCACCTTACTCAGTGTACTAATATACTCAAGTATCGATACTTTCAACCGTAGAGTGTAGACTGGCTTACCAAAACAAAGTTATAAACTTCTAAAGACGAGAGCCATAACAGTTCATAGATACAGCCACGAGTAGAACAGTATTAAAAATATTTTTCTTGTAATTTACCATGTGGACATTTTCATCAACCCAATGCCATAGTCTCCCCCTCCCCCCACTTGCCCATAATGCCATAGTCTCCCCCCCCCCCTCGCAACTATCTACACCTTCAGTATGTTTAACCTCCACCATCAGGCCAGAAGTATCCTCCCCCCCCCCATGACGTACTACAACATTATCAATGGAATCAGACAAGAAATCAACTAAAAGAAAATCTACCCCCCCCCCAAAAAAAAAAAACCAACCCTGCTGTTCTCAAGTGCTGGTAAATAAACCCTCGCCTATCTCTCGTCCATTGAGTGGTGTATCCCCAGTGCCGAGATTATTGTTGGGCCACGTATCTCGCGAGCTTTGTTTTTACATCATTTACCTACTCTACTGCCTCCTTCCTCCTCCCCCCCCCCCGCCGACCTTTGCTAAATGCCGCGACCTCATGTGTTCAAACACACGGATATTAAGACTGGAAACAAACATTCAAAATGTGAAACAAACAAACTTTGGTGAGCTCAAATCTACCCCCCCCCCTTCGTAACTCAACTAACGGGCGGAAATTGGGGGAAACTAACCACATATGCATTCAGTTTAGTTTCTCATCTATCTATCTATCCATCCAACCATCCATATATCCATCCACATATGTATATACATATATATATATATATATGTATATATATATATACATATGTATATACATATATATATATACATATGTATATATATATGTATATATATATATATATATATATATATATATATATATATATATATATATATATATATATATATATATATATATATATATATATATATATACATGATGCATATGCAATATATATACAAAGCTGAAAAAAGCTAGTGAGCTAACAAAGCAGTCAGCAGAAGAAAAAGACCTATTGTCTAAACTGATCAAAAGGTCACACACTACTTGAGCGACACA